AGTCTTATGAACTGTTGCTTTCCCAAAGCTTTTGTAAGTAGATCTGCACACCTGAACACTTAAGTCCTTACCCTATACCATAGGGTCATACAGAGTACCCTGTGACCCAATGGGGTTCCCAGGAATAGTGCGAGATGAAGGTACATCTTGAGAAGCATCTCCAAGATCTAAAAATCCTGCTAAGTCCCCTTTCTATAAGGGAGCTCTCCACATCCCACGCATCCATCATACACACACCCCACCACCTCATCAGGACTCCACCACCCTTCAAAATGTACACCTCATCTGCTCAAAAACACACAATTCTACAACAGGGTGATCCATTGCACATGTACTTCACCCCCTGAACAAGGACCCCACCTCCCTACAAAGCTTGCGACAATGCCTAATCAAACCTCCCCCCTTGACTTCTTCTAACCCTTCAAGCCCATAAAGCGCTGTTACTTACACCCATGTTACATCTCCTCACCACCTCAGCCTTCTTTATACACGCACCCTACATCTCCTCACCACCTCAATCTCAAACGCACTCGAAACACCAACATACACTCATTTGCACCACCCTACCCAGCAGCACACATACACTTCAAGTACCTACAGTTTCCGCCAAGTCATCTACAAAACACCGACACACTTGCTTGGACACACCAGTGTAGTATAGCCCCACCACCCAAGCTACTTTCTTACACAGAAACCAACCTAATACCCACATACCATACCCTAACCTCACCACCTTTTACCGCTTGGCTTGATTGTCCAAAGAATTACACATCACATGCCGATTACACCCACCATACCTCTACCAACCTACCCAAACCAACATCTATCCAACCAACTATATCAACTATCAACAGAATCTCAACAGATTCACAGCAACATGGCATTTTCGAGTTGCTCTATGGTCCCTACCTCCAACAATGCTAACCTCCTTCAGCCACCACCGCATGACCTTATCGCACCCACATTAGCCGCAATGCAAACGCAACTCAAGGCGCATGCCGCCGCCAACGGATACAAGATTGTCATCCGATCCTCAGATAAAACGGATGAAAAAACCACCAGCATTTGATACGAGTGCCAACGATCAGGAAAAAAACCAACCAACGATTCATCTTCCCGCAAGACCGATTGTCCATTTGCCTTCACTACCTACGAGGTAGTCCCCCCTAAGGTGCCTAGCCACCTTCAACAGTTGGTTTCCAAACAGAATCTGCCACCGGCTGGCAGCTGGGTCATTCACATCGAAAATGCCACCCATAACCATGCGCCGATCGGATCTGAGGTACAAAGCTTCATCTTATCACTTGACATCACATCCATTGCTGATACCATGGCTACAATCCTCATAGTCAACTACAGCCTCATCTATTGATTCCGCAACAGTCATCAAGGAACGCTCGGCGCGGGTAAGATCCTCCCTTTCCCTCCTCACTCAGACTAATCATTCATCGCCTTTGATAATTCATTGTCTTTCAGATATCCAATGTGATTTCTCACATCTCGGCCGAACATCGAGCTCAAGTGCTCACTGAGATTGAAGATATCCTCGCCAAGTATTGCAACACCATGCCACCTCAAGGATCTCGCATGCAAGCTGATCGCTCTGCTAGCATAGGACCTACATCACTCTCCCTGACCACATCGACCACATCGACCACATTGAAGACATCACCTTCAATACTTACTACAATTAAGTCACACCCTGTCATTTCCGATGCAGCAGAGTTACCCACTCAGCCTCCCAAGGAGTCATCGCCCGAAAAGAAGAAACGCAAAAAGAACCAAAAAGAGAACACAACTGTTTCACTAGCTCATCAGTCCTTTGAATCAACCACCACCACCACTACTCCAGTCCTACCATATCTTGCCCAACAGCCACGAGTCGCCCCTTCTACAGCATCCGCCCCTCCTGCCGAACCTGAATCCAAATCAAGATCTACAGAAACAAGATCTACATATGATTCGCATCTTATTTCGCACCCCACCACTTCTTTTCTACCACACCTCGCCCCACCATCACAAAGTGCCAATCCGGAATCTGATTTGCGATGTCCATACACTACTGATCTTGCATCACAGCTTTCCAAATCAGTTTCATCAGTCCTACTGCCTCATGATCATGAAATTTCGACTCTTAAAAGTGAAAGCGATTTACCAAAGCAAACGAAAATCACTGCAGTAACCGCCATTGGTCTTAAACAATTTTTGGTCAACTATGAGTCTGAGCCCGACCCTGCTGACGAAAGCGATAGCTTGGTAAGCCTGATTCATTTCATCTCCGCCTCTCAGAACAACCTATTAATCAATCCATTGGCCTGGCAGCCCTCACCTACGCTCATCCCAACCTCACTTCCAATGAACCAATCCCCAGTCGTGATCTCCCAGTCACTACAACAGCATGCCATGCAGAGTCCGCCCACGACTAACAGGCAGCGCGATCCCCCTCGACCTCTGATATCGACGACTCCAAATGGCAACGATTCAGGTATCGATGATGGAGAAGACATGGATGGCAGCTTTCAAATCGATTCCCTGATCCCAACCGCATCCGACCACACTCACCAAGACAAGTCATTGTCAAAGGAAACTGATTCAAAAGTAGACAATCAATCCCTACAAGATGAGCCAAAAAGCGTGAAAGAAGCCAAGTGATCATCTCAAGTAAGTGCTCTATGCACCCTTGACCTACTGCATCATCACCAGCGCCTAATCAACCTTGATCACTTACTTTGTATAGGGACCAAAGGCCAAGGCGACGTCAGCAGACCTGATGTCTCTGCGAAGGTCTACTAGGCGCAACGAGATCGAAGCAGAACCAGGTCAAGTCCCACAGCCTCGCCGTTCTAACCGCCCCCGAAATACCAAAAAAGTGTGTACGTGACTTTCCATTTGAAATTGCCCTGTAGTGGACTTCGGTGGATCAATTTTGACCGGCATGCATCACGCATTCCTTATCTTTCAGGATAATCGTGTGCCGCATTGGCTCCACCCTTATATCTCTTTGGTTTCGGACCCAGTCGCCAATGGCCACTGTGGCTATCGCGCAATTGCTATCAGTTTAGGACGTCCTGAAGGCGAATGGCACTCAGTGCGTGAAGATTTGATTTCCGAGCTTCAGTCAAAACCGGATATGTACGAGGCACACTTTGAAGCACGTCGGCGAGGATATGGAGGCGTGGCTGAACATGTTTCAGTCATCAGAACCACCAGGGATGAAGTTTTGGATACACCTACGCTGTGGCTCAACTCGGCTCAAATGTTATATATCATTGCCACAACTTACAAGCGTCCTTTCTGTGTCTATGGTGAACTTGACGACTGCTTCTCAGCTCTGCCTCTTGAAGGAGCGCCGAATGACAACTCACCCATTTTTCTGTGTTATGATCGCAAGGGTTTACATTTCCTTTTGCTTTCTTTAATTACATCTCAAACTATCCCAATCCCAAAACCTTGGGCAGAATGGTACAAAATATCCAATCCAAACGCGTCCGAGTGGTTCAATAAGTATGAAACAAATTTCAACAAGTTTGATCAATGTATCCGGCCTATCTTAGTTGCTGAAAAACCGTGGTTGTACGGTCCCCGGGAACCTGTCTTACTCTCTGACTCTGATTAGCCCCCTTGTATCTTTGTATTCATGTATCTTCTTGTAATGATGATATCAGGGTTTTGCAATAAGATAACAATGATATATACGCATTTGTATAACTTTGAGTGTAGTAAGATGAAGAGATAGTGTGGGACCAAGGCAGATCTTAACTGGCAAAATCCACATTGAAGCCATCTGGAATCAATCAGATCACCAATTGAATAAGATTACACCATTGACGATTATTTAAAACAAGCTTTACAACAACTGATTATTTAAAACAAGCTTTACAACAACTGGTATGCATATGTTCTATACTGATTAAATCTTATCTTATGCATCTTATGTATGGTCTGACTTCTCCATTCATGTCATAATATAGCTCATACACTTGCTCTTCACCGTTCTCGTATGCGTCAGGCTCCTCAGCCTGGACGACTGTGACTCCCAGTAACTTGCTCCACTCTTGTGCCACCCATTCAGCAACCGGCCCCCATTCCCTTTCTAATTGATCATCCAACTCACCAACTCCTGCTAGATCAGTGCGCGTATCGTGTAGCTGCCTCTTGAGCTCGGTGCTCCAGTGCTTCAACAGCTTAGAGGTCCTACGCGCCACCATTCGGTATAGTGCAGCATTTTTCTCCTTTTCATGGGGGGCATTTGCTGCAAAGTTTAATACTCTCATCAGATAGGTATCACTTCAGTTTTGAAAGTCTGCGGCCCACCTTGCTCAATCCCCACCTTCAGAGCGATTATCTTCTGATGGTATTGAATTGCCCATCCTAACATCTGACGGACTTCCCTTGCAAGCCGACAAACTTCCTCCTGAGCACTTCTCTTATTTAAGAAAGCATCAATTCCTTGTCTTAAACTTGCACTAGCCATTTGGGCGGCGGGCGCCGCACTGACCCCGGTATTTAATGGTAGTATTTGTTTTCTCACAACACTCCTGTCTGCAATAATTGTTTAAACAATATTTTTCTGGTCAAAGGAATCCCTCAATGAGATTTGTATTGAAGTGTGTTGAGATGTGACCCAATTTACAAAGGGTGAATTTACTATCAAGCAATAATCGTGTTGGGCTACTTATGCGGGCAGATCACCTTCCAATCATGAACTCTCAATACATAAGACTGGGTTTCACAACAACTCTGCCCTCTTCATTTTGGTTAGGCTACATAATAAATTACATAGGACTGGGGTTGACAACAACTCTCACTTGTTACACACTTGGAGGGCAAGAAAAAAAATAAAAAAATTCAAGCCAAAACAACTTTCCAACTACCTTCCAAGTTTTGTATTCATTTCCCTCCAGTGCTCCTAACATTTGGGACTTTTTTGTTACATTCATCAGTTATACAATAACATTTTTTCTGCTTTGCAACATCTGTGAAAGGCAAATCAAGAATTGTCAGATGTAGTCTAACACTTCGATCTCAAAGAAATATTTACTTACTAATATATCTTCATAGCTCAGTTCACCTTTGAATTCACAACGTATTCCAAATCTTTTGAACAATCTAACCAACCCGAGATTTATCTCATCACCCTTGTAAGTTATTAAAATCAACAATTTCCAATTCACCGGTTTAACAAACTGATTACTGTTTAAGCTTCTTAACTGACTGATCCAATATTTCTCTGACAACCAATAATTCGTGATAAAGACCTCCAGGTTTTGAACGACGGGAAGAGTTAGCCACCTGAGGTCGGGCCGCATGGAGCTGCAATCAAAGCATCGCATAATCTTGAGGCGAGGGAATATGGTGCTGTAGACGCTACGTGGAAGCCCGTCTGGTATTGAATCCATAAATAGTATTTCAAGCGACTCCTGCAGACCTAGAATCACTGCACTTGGGTCAACATAATCAGGTGGCGGGGCACATTCTACAAATCTAACTTTCTCCTTTTGATCTTGACAAAAATCACGTATGACTTCAACGTTACTGCTATAATACAAAAAACACAAATGCTTGAGGTGTGGCAACGCGGTTGTCTTTAAACGTAAAGACGGTATTGAAGGAAACATAAGTGATAAGGATTTCAAAGGGGTAATGGCATTAAGGAGGTTGTTTAACGAATCGGAATCGCTGTCGTCAGATTTGGGAGTGCCGGTTATTATCAATGCTGTTAAATTGTCAACTTGTTTTATACTATCAATAAATCTTGATGTGAAACCAACCGGGCCGTCGAATACCAATTTGACTTCAGATAAAGTCGTGCTGCAGAGACTGATGAGTTCCGCAACATCTGACATCGAGGTTGATGACACGTTGAAATCCTGGAGATCAAGTTTGGAGTTCTTCGACCCTTGAATTGCCTGATTTGAATCACCGCTCATACTTGTTTTTACATATGCCATCTTGTTAAAGCACAATCCTCGCAAGTGAGCATTGTTTGCAAACACCAGTGTTGTTTTCCAAGTTCCCACCAAATTGCTAATCATTAAGGCTGATGTTAACTTGAGGGACCGGTAGGCAAAAGGTATAACTGCGTTTGACCATAATCTATTAATTAATCGTAATTGTAGGAGCTGTATTAAAGCAGCATGCTCCAAAAACGGAGGATCTGCGCTGTTCATATAATCCGATGTCGTTGTTTTACAATCGTCGATAAAGTGATGTAAAATCGACTGAATTACTTCAAGGGGAAGTTGCGATTGATTTTCTGTTGGTGTCGTCATTGGTATACTGTAGATGAAAAAACTCTGAATACTGATTGTGCAATAGTCGAATTTGGTGAGATAAGATTGAAGTTTGAGTAAGAAATTGATTAGAAGTCAATTTTATTTCAAAGAATCGAAGCAATGATAGAAAGAAAACTCGACTAAACCTTTGTTCAATTACACCTTTCGGAATATAGCGTAATCAGCTCAGGTAGTCGCCAATAGACCAAAAACTGGCTTTGATGTCGGTATCTGAACTTGTCATGTTGGAAGACGTAAGAAGAAAATCATGGAGTCAGGACAAATTGTTCTGCAATCAGAAATAGTAGTGAATCTACGCTCTCACAAACACCTAATGGAATCAGTTGGAGAATAGAATGAATCAGCATCATTACTGGAATCAAAAAGTGGAATTAACAAAAGCTACCTACAATACCTTGACAAAAAATCGATATATCTAACTTTGATATTCGACAGACTAAGATCTGATACAAAATCGCACTACCTTGACAAACAAAGTAGATATATCTAACTCTGTTTGATATTAGGGAAACCAAGAGCCAATACGAAATGGGATCAGCATAAAGTAAGACCACGGAGTTATTCATTACGCAATCAGACAGATAGATGCAAAGAAAGTTTACCCTGACAAATTTTGTAACACACCTCAAGCGATATTTCTAGCCTATGCAGCAGCAACACCACCACCGCCCCGCTCCGCTCCGCTATAACCACAGTTTTTACGAGCGGAGCAATTTAGCGCTAATATAAAAGCGCAATCACTACGCTATAATTTTATGGTCGCTATGGCCATTCCGAGCGGGGCGGCTCTTCCGCTCCGCTTCGCTCCGCTATAGACAAATCTCACACTGAATATCGCCTGATAGCGCGGTCCAAGGGTTTTTTTACCCAGTTTTGATTATACAAGCTAACAGATGTATCAATAATCTAATCGCAGAGAAGAATACAAACATTGTCTTGTGTATGTTGAGACCAAATTGGGTGCAAATTTGAAAGATAGTAAAAAGAATTGTTTTATAAAACATATGAGTGTATTTTAACCACATATCCGGTCTCATCTTTGACGATGAAGACGCAGACAGACTTGAAGAAGAAAGCCGATCAGCAATCAGCAATCTCACCTTCCAGCCCTCTTCTCCCTTGGATTTGAGTTACATGCCTGGTGCTATATTCCATTCCTTTTGGAACCGTGCTGTGGGTGATAAGTTCAGTGCAATATTGCTAGAAGCTCTAGATTCAGAAGGTCGCACACCAGAACTTGAAGACCGGGCTAAAAATGAGCAGCGCAAGGTTCGGTTCTCGTATATTTGCTCCAAGATCATCGCATCCGATATTTGGAACCACACCTTTCAAACTTTTGCTCAGGTATTGTGTGTGGCGGAGAAACCCTCGATAGCTCAAGCAATCACAGAGATAATCGATTTCAAATCGTGAGAACAATCTGGTCAACACCTCACCCGTCCGAACTTGTCAGGAAGATGCCCAAGGGAAGCACTTGAACTGACATTTGAGAAACTGCAACACATTCTTCTTTTGCGTGGGTCATCAAAAGCGACAATCACCAAATAGATATGTCAAAAACTTTGACTTCACTTATTGACTTCTTCCTTTGACTCAGCAAATCAGCTTTGCCGCCACTTCGCTCTTGGGCCATTTAACTCAGTCTGACTTCGATGCACATCACAAAAAATGGTCAAATTGTGACCCGTTTGCCTCGTTCGACATGCCAATCGAGCGTTTTGTCACCCCTGTGCGTGAAATGGATCACGCGCCTTCTGTGGTCCTCATGATCAGTACTGACCATCTTGAATTCAAGAGAATAAAGGTATTGAACATAATCTGCAGGCCGAAGCTCAAGGATCCGATCGATCGATGATATAGACAGATTGTGATAGAGAAGGCAAGCACATCGGTTCTGAGATCAAGTCCGTATGTCTGAAGGCCAACCGGAACATTACTGTCTCTTGGGCTCGCTTCAGTGTGATCATCCCTGCGTGCGTATCAAGTTTCCCCTTTACAAGGCTTCACTGTCAATTGAAATGAAGGTTGCTGGTAGCTACATATGAGGCGCTATAGGGCGCTCTGCTGTGCTCTGTCGCTAAGCGCTCGCAGCCGCTGTGGCGGCTCATAGCACAGCGGGAGATCGCTATACAGAGCGGATATCCAAACCGCTATACTTATTTGGGTTTCACCATAGCTATAGCAGTGCGTGAAACCCGCTATATCTGAAAAGGGCTAGCGCGGGCGGAGCGCGCGCTCCGCTACCGCCGCGCTCACGTTATCCCAGGCGGAGCACCGGTGGTGTTGGCAGCAGGCTAGAAAGTAGTTACCGAAATGAAGATGACACACGGACATGAGAGAAATCTGATAAATTGAGTCACAATTGGACAATCTTCTTACCACTATTGCTCAAGCCACAGCTAGCAATCAAAGGTGATGATAGTAACGGTGTGGGTATCGAAGATGAAGAAAATAACGTCGAGAAGATTCAAACCTGTCATGTGGGAATGATAAGAGTAACATTAGCAGAACATCAGCTGTTTGAAAACCGGCGGGACAGAATTGAGATAAGTCCACTACCTTGATTCTTATCAATAGATACCCTGTGTTGTTGGAAGGGTCTTACAATATCGCGTTTCCAGATCAATGAGTCTGAAATCGATGAGTAACAATGGGTTGAGCATCAGCGTCGCATATGGGGTTTTGAGTTAAGAATGATACAAAAGGCAAATGAGACGAAAAACTTACCGATTCCTCCTGACTAACAAAGTTACCTTGAAGCTGCCAGGTACTCGATTGGTGATCAAAGATCGATCAAACTACAGACCGCCGTATGGTATGCCAGTTTGTAGCACAGAGGCCGACACCTGACAAACCAATCAGCTGGAAATGTCGATGGAATTCGTTTGATTTGAGATGTGTGTGAGATGAGGCAAGTGTGTGCTAAAAGCTATCTTGAATCTTGATGGGGTAGTGTCTGAAGCGGTTGGTGCGAGTAGAGAAGCACAACATCGCATGATGACTGTTAGGTTAACAGTCATCATGTGACCATGTGTATGTAAAATACACACATACACACCAATTGTAATAAGTCAAAGACCAAATCGGTTATATATTGATTATGGAAATCATGCTCAATAAATCCAATCTGTTCTTGTCATAAATGTGAAGTTGCAATATCACACACAACCAAGGATTTTAGAGAAGGGTGCAATAGTAGAAAACAACGAAAAATAAAAAAAAACAGTTTCAACGTCCCCTGCCGGTTTGTTAACAGGAGATGAGGAAAAGAGAAGAGGCCATAAAAAAATGATGCAATTTGGTTTCAATACATTTGAAATTGACTAATTGCGTACTGATGATGCTAAGGTTTGGATTGGAGTTTTGCTCACAATTCGGTTCTGGTCTTCAAAATAATAAAAATTTATTCATCACTTCAACAGGTCAGTCGTGTTATCTGATTATGATCAATTGGAGTCAATTTTGTAATATACTTATTGTGGGATTTCACTTTATCTTTGTTTGTCTTATTCAGTTGGTATTGATAAGATTCAATAATCATTCTATTTACATTTTCTCTTGGATTGGTGTTGGGACAGAAACCCACGGAGGTAGAAGATTCCACAATGTATAGTGGTTTTGGAAATTGCAAGAGTCGAGTTCATCTTCCTCATGATATGTTCCTGTTATTTTTTAAGTCATTAAGCATTTCCTGTGGCATAGATGTTAGGTAAATTAGTTGTCTTTCATGTCAGTTATGAAACTGGGACCTCACGTACCAATATCTCGGTGTGTGTCAACTGCGCCCTATAGTGGCAACTGATACCTTGACGCTTAAATCCATTTACCAAGCCTATCTCTGCTTGGATTCTGACATCTCCGGTGATAAAAATGAAATGCTTGAGACCGGGCGGCGTGATTAACTTCGTACTTCCCAAATGAAGTAATACTTCTCGCCAGTAACCCGTCTCATCCCGGTAATTAAAAATTAAAACTTCGACTGTCTGAAAGATTGGCCACTGCAACCATGTTGGTATACGGTATGAAGGATCAATGTACCTACACCGGACAATTCGCAATTTGGGAAATCGAACTGAGTACTGTTCTCTAATGATGTTGTCTGGGATTCTGCTAATGAAAATACTCTCTACGGATTGACTCAGGTTTATAAACACCGTAAAGGACTCGTCGCGTGCATATGTAGGCATATAGTCCAGTAATTTAATGTTTTTTGCTTCGGTTCGAACAAATTTGATGACTGCATCGAAGTTCCTTGGGTGAATTGATATCAAAAAATGAAACAAATTGGGTAACGACCCAGGGTCCAAATTCATAGTGTTTAAGGTTGCAAAGTTCAAAGATAAGGATTCTAATGATGTTACACTACTCAATACAGCACTTAATGATTCTGCATCGTTCATCACATTGTGGTTTTGAGTTCCTTCAATAATCAATTTCTTTAGACTTTTGATGTGACTATTTGCGATTATCATGTCTTCCGAAAAACCAACGGAATAAGTGAATTTCAATTTTAAATCTTGTAATTTAGATCCGCATAGTAAGATTATGTCTGCTGCATCCTCCATAAAAATGGATCCTGTTTCCTTGTGTTGATACTCGAAATCCAGACGTGCATATCGTGTACATCCATAGTGTGCATTCAAAGCTTCAAGTCTTGCTGCCGGGAAGAACATCAGTTGATTAAGACAAAGCTCGCAAAGATAGGAGATGTCAGATAAAACAACACAGTTTGTCCACATTTTGATTACAAAGCCGGTGACCCAGGGACATTTCAAAGTTAAACGGCCATAAACAAATCTTGGAATTGCATATGCCCAGGACCTTGAAACAAATCGTAAATTTAATAAGTTCCTTATTGATGTATGATCTGGGAATTGTGAATCAGCGCTGTTGGATTGCACGATTGGCACACGAGGAATGTCATTGTAGAAATGCATGATGATTCTTTCTATAATTTCAATTGGTAGGGATGGTAATGAGAGCATGACTGATCGTTTGGAGTGATGAAGATTCCTAAAACAATTTAGTAGGTTAGTAAATCGTGGTTTCATTTTGTTGGACTACTTTAGTGAGAATAGAGAGAACAGGCGGGATCAGTTACTTACTTGAAAAAGCGCTTCAAAAAATTGGTTTGCTTGCGCAAGTGACTTGACAAATAGTTAGGCAGGGATTTGAAAGACGTGTTGATTATACTAACATATGTATGAAAGAGATTTTATTTATTTATGATTTTGTGAAAGCGTTAGGATGCAAGGGATTAACAATCCCCTTCGGCGAGCAGCTTACACATTAAATGATTCAGAGTCCCGAGAACTTGTAAAAAAGATCGCGAAGTTCCAAAAAGTCCCACGTAAGATCTGAGAAAGAGGATCTTCTTTGTTCAAAAAAGGTAATCTGGCCGGCTATTGTGTGAATTGGATTAATCATATTAGAGAGTGGGTCGACTTTAAGAAGCGATTGAATACCTCAAACAATGTAGGCTTCTTAGCTTTATTGGTAAAAGTCACTATTGCAATGAGATTCATTGGGGAACTGACCGATTATGAAGGAGAACACCAAAAAAACTACTAATCTGATGAAATTTATTGGCAAACTGAGCCGAGTATTAAGGTGAACTCCAAAAAAAACATTCATACCACCAAACAAAGCAAATACACAATCAAGAATGAGAGAGCAAGAAAACAGTAAAGATTAATTGTGAGAAAGAAGTAAGGTGTTGTTGATTTTCAACTTTTTGAAAAGAGTATCTGCATATGTTGGATACACTTGAAAAAGACGTTGAAAAAATAAGATAAGTCAAGCAAATGATCAAAACAGAAACAATGAAGCCGGATCAACATGTTGAGCATCAAAGAATCCCGCGTTGATTGAACCAAAATGAATAATCATGTAGTGAGAAAACTCACCAATGATGGCAAGGAAAGATGAGCATTAAAATTGGAGGACCGGGTGAAACACTATGTTGTTTGTTTCTATGTTATTAGATTGAGAAGTAATGCAGACGTGCACATTTGAGGCCATTGTGCAACGCGAGAGAGCTACATATAGTTGGCCATGAGAGAAAACGGGACGTGGGAGTAAAACCAACACTCTATTCAAACTCTGCCCTTGACTTTTATTAATTGTCATGCAGAAAGCTGGAGTGATAGGGAATTGGTAACGAGAAAAGGGAATTGGACAGCTCTCGTTCCCTTCATGATAGAGCCTAATCTTGGGAAGACTAACAGATGTTCCTTTTAGTTCCCCGGTCAAGATGCGGCATTGAAGAGCGCTTTTCTTGCAGTCGGTGATCAAGAGCCGAGTCCCGTTGCAAAGTCCATCTGCTAAATTTAAATTCCGCAACAACATGACAGAAGCTCCAACCTTGAGGTCAAGTCTGTGCGCCGGAAAACCCGGAAAGTTGAAGGTATTGAGGACATCAACAGTAACTGGGTCAAAAAAAAGCTCGTCCATTTTATCAATCGAGACCGAATTCACACATCTGCCTGGAAGTGATTGCATTACTTCAGTGTTCAACGCGTCGACAGTAGCATTTAAAGGTGTAATTAAGCATCAATTAGAGTATAATTCGGTGAGTTCGTTCCAATCACCACATCTTATTAGATGATCAACACCGCCATACTCAGTATCTAACATTTCTTGATCAAATGCTGACGGATTCCGCGTAACCGTAACGTTACAGTATTTCAATGGGACCGAGGCTGTATACTCTTCTTGCAAGTTGCCTGATCCTAAGTCGAGTAGCCATTTTGCAAAGTTGAGATTGGTTGGGTCGGGTCGAGCTGTAGCACCTCCTAGACGAATGTTGACAGTGAGCGAAAACTTTTCTATCTTGTCCCATAGATAAGAAGCTTTGAGGGTAGCTTTAGCCTGCTCCATGAAATTTGAGCGCCGAACTATTGGCAATGTCTGACGGAAATCGCCTGCAAAGAGAATGATTTTGCCCCCGAAAGGCGTGTTGATACCGGTGAGGTCCCTTAGAGTTCGATCCACTGCTTCAATGGCATGCCGATGCTGCATCGCCACTTCATCCCAGACAACGAAGCGAGTCGAATGTAAAGCTTGTCCAATAGAATCCCTGAGTGAAACTGCACAAACCGAATCATCATATACTGGTATTGGTATTTTGAATGTGCTGTGAGCAGTCCTCCCCCTTAGTAGTAATAGAGATGCAATACCTGCGGCAGAAACCGCTTGGAATGGAACATGGTTTGCATTACAATAATGCAAGATGCAGTTAAGAACAAAAGTTTTACCTGTTCCTCCAGGCCCATCTAGAAAGGCTAGGTATGGCCTGTTTTCTTCAATAGCATCACGAACACTGCTGACCACAGTTCTTTGCTCATGTGTTAGGACTCGTAGCATAGCTGTGCATTTGTGCTGACTTTCTTCTGGATTTATAGTATTGGTGCGATCGGGCCTAAGTTGATCTGGCAGCCGTAGTTCAAAGATTAGGGCTTGGTTAACTGGCCTGAGCCCGACTTGTTCCAAGGTAGACTCCATTGCTGTGATACACTTTTCAAGTAAGTAAAGTGCATAGTTGTGAATATGTTGCTCAGTCGGATTCGATAGAGGATTTAGCTTTTCGATTTGGTACTTGCAATTGTCGGATAAATCGTCAATATGTTCGTCCCATAAGCTGATTGGGTTAGCTGGTGAGCTATGACAGAGGATGATTGCTAACATATGTCGTAGTTGACGTCCTGTTTTCCACGTTGCTGCTTCAGTCAAAGACTCGTGGTAATTCCGATCATCAAGCAATAGTCCCAATTTGTCGGCAGCTTCACGGTAAGTGTTGTAGACTACACCGTTGACGGTTCGAAGGTAAGCAAAAGAAGTTGGGCCCGGAATATGAGTTAAAAGAAGCCGTAAATAATACACTTCACCACGCTTCACATTTGCAAAATAGACACGTCCAATTGAAATTACACTATTCTTGCGAGGTGTAAGCTTCCTCTCTTTTTCATGCCAGCGGAAATACTTTGAAACTTCTTGGTAATTTAATGAACGGACTGTGCAATCTTTGGACTTAGGTAGTTTGACGTTTTCTTGACATAAGCGGAAAAATTTGGTTAGAGTCGTCCTTTCGGCACGGCCTGTCTCCAAAGCCCTGCGCAATCCGTGCTTGTCAATGAAGTATACCGTTTGACCGTCTTGTAAGTGTAAACTTAGGCGTTGAATTGCAGGAAATCTTCCTGAGATCTCGAACATCAAAAGTCGCCAGACAGCTTCCAAAATTAAGTCAGCTCGTAATCTTTGAGGAGGTATGCAAAAAGAAAAAACATACCTTCTGGCGCACTGAGATAGCGTGCATTTACAAATGCAAGAATCTCATCATTTTTGTTCTCGTCTTCTATGTTTGCAGCAGTGCGATCATGTCCCTTTAAAATGTATTTAAATAGGTATTTAATTGCTCTAATGCTACCTGCTACTTCTACATTAATATGGCACCGATATTTCAAGAGAAGAAAGCGATTATGAGGTACTACACTTCCATTATTGTATCGGACACCACCTTTTTCAAAATATTGCCCATTGTTTGGGCGCTTGTAAGTCGGGTAAGAGTCCTCGGTGATTGATGTCACCTCACACAATGGTCGTGGGTATCCTAGTCGGCACTCAGATCCTGTCCAGCACTTGTAACCCTCGCAAGGCCCGTGGAGCATGTCGCGAGTTACCAAGTCAAATAATTGGGGATCGAAGATTGGGTCCGGAAGCTGTGCTGAGATGAGACGGTCCACTTCCTCGGGAGTTTCAGGCTTTGCATCAGGGTCCAAGAAGAGGATCAAGTGCACATGAGGTAAGCCACGCTTCTGGAACTTGATGGTGTACACGTATGCAGGACACTTTCCAAACCGCTCGTACTTGGTGACATCTTGAAGCATAGCATGAAATCGATAATAAAATGCTTGTGCAATAAGGTCCGGTCAATCGCTTGGTTTTTGTTCGTCTTCTAAAGCTTCGATTATCTCGGGCCATTGAGGATTGGCCGTCATTGTGATGAAGAGGCTTGGATTCCCGTATTCCGAAACTAAAGTCATCGCATCTTGGTACAACTGTTGCATGCTTCGAGGGCCGCCAATGAAACTGGAAGGTAGGACAATTCTTTGGCCTACAACCTCGTCCTTGACTTCATTATCCAGAGCCTCGATTGCACCGCTGTACACCTCAGCACGAATTTCTTTTTGGTGGTACCGGAGATACTGTAGTCGTGAGTGTTCAACACACACGTACATATCTACCGCAAATTCTTGAAAAAGTCTGCCAGATGCCAAGATAACAGAATAAGAGGGACATTTAAACAATAAATATGCAAACCATTGTAGATTCGAAACTTGTCCATCGGGGTCTAAGAAAAGAAAGCCATTCGAAAAAACTTCATCAACTCTATACATAAGAACTAATTGATCATGAAATCTAAACTCACTTGTGGGTGTTGGATTTACATAAGATTCATGCCACATTTGTGATCCGTACAAAAATAATAATGGATACCGTAATGCAAAATAAGCCGTATGAAGTTCAGAGATACGTTGTAGTTCTCCAGACTGCTTCTTGATGATGATGTCACGTTTATACTGGCCAATCTGCCCGTCTCCGTCTATTATAGCAGCGACTTCATTGCAGGTTGGCCGGTTGTAGCGTCGGTGATCCATCCCAGGGGCTGTGACGGTCCTAATGCGAAGGGTACGTGGTGGTTGAGGTGCAGAATTACATATGGCCGCTGCTGATCTGAATATATGTGTGTAAGGATTGTGAGCATCCATGAATTTTCGAAAAAGGAACATGATATGGGGATCAAGATCGCAACCGCTACAGTTAACTCGGAGGGAAGCCTCTTGTTCATCTCCGCCACCATGTACAAATAATTGAGCAAAGCCTGGACGGTCGCCAGGCAGGGGCATCAAGGAGCCTATCCTATGAGTAAGTTGGCCGGATATTCTGAAGACATAGACACCCATTTGTCCTATTACTGAGGTATCGATATTGGCGCCGAGAGAAGTAAACGATAATGCATTGTTATATTTCTGAATCTGTTCTCGGAATTGAACACATCCTGAAGAAGAATGAATCAACAACTGTCCAATGCATCGAATGATTTGCAGAATCCACTTACGCCGATCACGTCCCGCAAGTAGTTGACGAAAGAAACCTGGCACTGGTTCACCAACGTCTTCCGGAAAATATCGCAGTGGTAAGTCCACATCGCCATGCTGGCAACAGTTCAAGTACAAAGCACGCAAATGTTTGGCGTCCTTAACTCGACGTTCGATCCTCCATCTGAAGGCATTGCAACCCGTACACTGGTCATCTGCTTGACCCATAGAGAAAGGGATTTCGCCTTGAAATCGATCCAGGAGGTTGGCCTCCCTTCCAAATTCCTCAGTTGGTATTGCTGGCCCCTTGGCACGTCTTCTGGGAAGCATGGTGAATTGAAGCAGTAGAAACGAAAAATTAGTAAGAAGAATTTGATCCGGTGAAAGATGGACAAATCATTATAGCACTTACTGAAAAAAATTGTTACAGTGAACAGGAGACTCATGAATACAGTGTTGTCCGAACTATTTTCATGGTCTAAAGAACAAAGAAAGGCCAGCAGATGGATTGAAAATCCTGGTGAATAATAGGGTCGCAAATCGTTGGAACCAATACTTGTTTGATGGGCGTGAGCAAGATATGAAAAGGAAATCAGAACACGTTAGTGATAAATCTTTGATATTGGATAGATGAGCTCAAGAGGATGAGTGAAAGAATGTAAAACGGATTCTTCGAAATTAGCAAGGAGAACGTTTGTCAGTCGGATGTGATTTTGAAGTAGAGTTAACAAATCAATGTGAGACTTACTACGTAAAAGTATATTTTACAATCAACCGGAGACACACCGATGCAGTGGGATGCGGACTATTTTCATAGGCTAAATAATAAAGAAGGGCCTGTGGATGGATCGAAAATCCTGGTGAGAATAGGGTCCCGAATCGTTGGAACAAATGTTTCTTCGGCTAGGATAAGAAAGCAGTATAAGTTTGGATTTTGAGGTTTTGATGACTATACCTATGGGTTAACTTGAAAGCAATCTTGTATTTATATCTTGATGGGGTAGGAGCTGGTAGGAGGTATCTGAAGCGGTTGGTAGGAGTGGGAAAGCACAACATTGCATGATGACTGTTAGGTTTATGTATGTAATGTAAAATACACACATACACATTAATTTTAATTGAGCAGATACCAAATACTCGATACATAATCATTTGCTCTTGGCTTATCATATGCAGTATAAGAGCTCATGTTTTTACGCGTAACAACTACATAAATGTTCCTCATGGAATCTTGATGCACTTTCATGCCATGGTGTTGAAAAACAGGACATGATAGGTAGGCAGTCACCTGACCTGTTTCGTGAGTTGCATATAAATGCTAAGTAAAAAACACATCAATCATTATGAAACTTGGGTTTAATTACGCATTTTAATGGCCTAAGGTGAAAAATAAGTAGTTATCTTGAATGTGTTCATTCAAGCAGCATGGAGTTCTTTTTTCGGTTATGAAAGCAAAGCAGAGGAGACATGATAGTGATTAATTGTTAGTCTTTACATCATTTGAAGGTAGTCTACTCCAGCGGGGGCGCTGTGTGATATAGAAAACAAAAGTAAAATTTGACTGGAACAATATTGGAAGATCACCAAAAGGAAGAATAGATAAGAATGAGCGCTCGATGGCCTCATACAGAAGCACACACAACACATTTTGGCACAAATTGTGCAGAGGAAACATTTAGAAATAACATCACAAAGTATTCTAACATACGGGGAGGAGAGGAGAGGGTTAGGGGTATTCTAACATAAGGGGAGGAGAGGAGAGGGTTTATTTGTCAGTGGAAATCAAACTAAGTACTACGAAGTAAAAAAACATAGCTCACTAATACTCTTCAGATCCTTCAACGGGAGCGGGGTTAGACGCCTTTCTTTTGGGTTGACAACGTGCTTTCTTCTTGGCAGGCGGAGCTGGTAAACTGCTCAAGTCGTCAAAGTTGCAGGGAATCGGATTCTTGGAAGTACTGGCGATACTGCTCGAAACTGTGGAGAAGGACGTGTCTGGAGTGTCGAGCGCAGCATTTGAGGCTGAGGCTGAAGTTGGAAGGGGCGACTTGAATTCTGCGCCAACTCTTTTGGGTTTGAATCTATTTTTTGTAAGTCAGCCATAGTTTTAAAGAGCATTGAGCTGATAAAAAACATACTTCATTGGCTTCTTAGAAGCGGACTCAGGAAGCCCAATTTTGGGTTTGGTCTTGTCATCGGGGTCTGAAAAGGTGTCAGTGAGGAAGACCTTATTCACCTGTTGTTCTACTCAATCAGCTCAAGATACAGAAAGAGAAAGATAGAAGTCAGAGATACTCACAACAACAACATAGGACGAAGTTGCTTCATTAAAATCCTTGATAAAACCATGGATTTGACACTCGCGCCCGGGTTTGATGATAGAGGCAATGCCGGACAGGTTGGGGCTGGGACGAATAAGATATTCTACTTTCGAAGTTTTTGTAGCCTTCAGCTAATGCAAGAAAGATCGAAAATTAGCTACAGATTGGAAAAAGGTAGAGTCAAGTACTTACAGTAGGATGATATTTGGAGTGCTGAACAGTCACAACAGTGCTTAAGGGGTCCTCCGTGGCACCCACCTTCTTGAGATATTGACAGCACGCCTCGACAATCGTCTTCTTCTCGAGTACAACACCTACACCGGTGATACCGACAGAATTGATGGTTTCACCTAGAAAGTCGTCGGCCTGAGCTAACAATATAGCCTCGCTCCCCTCAAAGATCAATTGATCTTGACTGGTTGTTGAGGAGTTCGAAGGAAAGAAAGACCCCCGTAAGAAGTAGATGTTATCTTGCCAGAGCCAAAATTGAGCGGCACTGAATCCTTTGGCTTGGATTTCGTACAACAGTCGGTGGTCACGATTGGCACCAGTGCAAACAATTGATACAGTGTAGGTTTGCCACTCAGAGCGCCACCCGTTCTCGGGAGATGTCTAATCAAGAAAATGAGAGTGAATAAAAAGTAAAGAAAAAAGGAGTGAAAATCCAGAGCGAGGTCGTACCTTCTCCTCAACTTCAAACAATCCAGATACATAAAGTCCATGAAAGGTAGATTGGCTCATAATGATATTAGATTTTGGGTTATGTTTTGAAAGTAAGAGTCACGGAATTATAGATTTTTTTGAGTATGGTATCAGATGATTGTTAGCTTCGGGAAGTTTGAAGGCTTGAGGAATGTGAAACGTACAAATGTTCTGCACTATTTATATTCCACATATGCTTTGAAGTCATGTATCATCGAAAAAGGTAGAAATTGCAGGGACCCTAATTATTGAAGGACTCGTGGCCTAGTCTGACCCAGTGATGGTCACAATCCAGCACTAACCTGGATATCAAGATGGATAAGCAATATGAATATCTTACTTAGCAAAGATGGCTTCATACCCTGGTGAAAAAAATGTTGCTTACTGGTTAATATTCACTACAAAAAACCATCTTCGAAGATTGCGAAGCTGAGACGTGACAGTGGGGATGGGTCACGTCACGGGACCCGTGTTGGGAATTTCCAAATGGCCGGGTATAAGATATTGAATAGGGTTGTTCAACGACTGCCCAGCGCCTGTAATCGGCATCAACCTCTAACTAATGCGGTATGAAAATCTTAATTAGCAAAGAGGATTCATACTCTTCTAATACTTTTGTTACTCACCGGTGATAGCCTGGTAGATGTTCACTACAAAACACAATCTCTGAAGGTCGCCATAATTGAAAGTTCATACCCCTATTGGACATTTCGAATGGGCCCGGGCTAAAATCAAGCCACCGACTGTCGGTAACCAATGCGGAGTCAATCAAATAGGGAAGAAGCGTCAGAATATGATCCAGTGAAGATGATACTAAAAGTGATATTCGTGTGACTTATCTGAGGTCCGAAGTTTGTAAACGACCTGTTGGTTAGTTCGAAACTGGCCGGCTTGATGATATGTAAAAACAATTACAGATCACTGTACAACTACACTGAGGACGGGCATCAATACATGAATCGTACTGTAGTATACCAAGCGGTGACCGGTTGTGTATCTTGAGAGTAGTTCGTGGGGCAAGACTGATTGCTCGAGAGTCGAAGTGGGCTTTTGAAGATGTGAGGAAGGAGGAGGAAGGTACATCGGGTAGATAATTGTCGGGTGGATAAATGAGGTACCGATGGGTATAATTTGCAGTGTCAATCGACTAAAAGGGGTTTCTGATTCGGAGCAAAACTCTAATACTGGGGGTCAAATGAGTTTTGTTCGAGGTTTTGTAAGCGAAGCCGTCCGTCGTTTAACTATTATGATATTCAGGTGCTTGTGGATCATCTTCATCCACCTCACCACGTTTCCAAAACGGATCTTCCATTTCCATACCCAGGACGGTCTCATAGTCTGGAAGTTCGATCTTTGGACCTCTGCGGTAATCCGTTCGAAACTTACGCACTCGGCGTGCATAAGTATTGTACTTGTTCAGTAGATTCCTGGTCTTATCGCTGTGTTGGCGAGACTGGTGCTGTGATTCTCTGGTGCCTGTGGTTGATTTAGAACCAATGAGAAAGGATCAAAGGCGTTACTAGTACCAACTCCCTCACCTGAAGAGAGATGACGACGAAGCCTGCATTCGACAAGCCCCACTTTTGCTTCATACAACATGTCACGCGCAAGGGAGATAGCTAGAGCTGCATTTGCCTTATTGCCTGTCCATATCATATGACCCACTTATCAACTATATGATGTAATGATCATTAAATGTATTTGGACTGTACCTTTGGTGTCTGTCAGAGCTCAAAACTCAGCCCCTCCAAGAGCCGCCGCCATTGCTTCTATTTGTTGTTCGATATCTACTATTGACCCAGGGAGTGCCAGGAGCTCGTTATTTTCAGCTTGAGTCCTTGCCCTCCTGGTTTGGGCTTGAAGTTTGCGCAGTTGACCTCTGGTTAAACATTAATACAATATCAGATCCAGTCGCCACATGAACTATTGAAAATATTAATAAATAGCACTGACCGAGCTATCACCAGCTGCTCCTCCATTCCCAACAATATTCGAAGCTTTTCCCTTTTCTGTTTTGTTGTCTCGGTCATTACATCGAGCTGTCTGACTCTTTGCGCAACCCACTGCGCCTCATAGAAGTGTACATTATGGCCAGGAAAGCCTTCAGCCACTATCGGAACTTCCAGAGTTCTGAGACATGCCTCTGCTGTCGCAAGTCGTTTCCTGGCTTCTTCCTTCTTTCTTCAAAGATGTTTCACTGTGTACAGAGGCAAGTCCACTTTTGGTCAGCAGGCATAGCATGATCTTATAAACGGTAATGTACCGGCCTCGTGACGAAGGCATGTGTTAAAATGGGCCGAGCGGATATTGATGGCATTAACCCGGTGCTGCGGGGTAGCGTATCTTAGGGGCGCAACAAGCGGACCAAGTCCTGACCATATCCTCTCTTCACCTTCTCCATCAGAAAGACCCCACCCCTGATTGAGTCTGGGATTCCATTGTAGCTGACATGTCCAGCGATGCACATATGCGTGGAAAACGCTGGTGCCAAACTTCAATCGACCGGCGTTGAGATCCTCTTGGAACATTCCACGCTGAAAAATTGGGTTTGTGCACAGATTAGTCAGGATGTCAAGGTGAGATTTTGAAAGGCGGCGGTGAAGGATTGAAACAGGGCAATAGCATATTCACAGTATGATGCACTCACTTTTTCAATTCCGGCCATAATGGTACAACCAATGTCGTACAAAAACCCTACACAACGTGGAGTCATCCCATGGGAGCGGGTCATGTCCAGTATCCATTCGATGAGAGTGTAGCTGTAATGCAACCTAAAAGATATGGTTGCAGTGTCATTAAAAACGTCAAACAGCTATTATTTTGACCTCTCCCACTCACTTTTCGCCGCTCTGCCTGATGTTGGCAAATCGGAGAGGGTGGTCATGGCGACATGCCATACCAAAAAGGCCCGTCTCATCACAGCCCCCCCAGTGGCCTTTACCACGCTTATCATTTGCTGCAGTATGCTGATCCGCACACGCTTGCTATACGATGTTGCTTTATCAGCTTCTTGATATACATTAGCAAGCTGGAAGTGGAAGGCACAGCTCACAAAGTCGTCATCTGCATGCCCTGCAAGTCGGCTCTCCATCCTGTTTACTTTCTCTTCAGGCATAAATAACAATGGCATCTTCATGGGAATCTTGGCTTGCTTAGTCCCCGCAGCTAGGTGCCGTCGATGCTGGAAATTCCCATCCATGCAGACCACAATGTCAGGTTCTAAAGGATGTTCGGTGTTTTCCACGGGGGGGCCAAAGCACCAAGGGCAGTTTTCCGCAAGCTTGTCAATTGGGGTGAGATTCAGCTCCAAGTCGAGCGCGATTTCGGACATGGCGACCATCTGCCGATATGCATCTATAGCGTAGTACAAAGGTGTTTGCCATCGCCGAGGCTAACATGTGAGATGTGTTAGTTGAGGCCAACAGACTCAAATAGGGCTAATTCTCACTCACCTCCTCGTTCTTGGTAAGTATCAGAGGATTCCAAGCGTCCAGAAACTCGTCCAGTGCTCGTGCAAAAGGTCCTAGTCGAGTGCTACAGAACTTCCAGATGATGTGATAGAATTGCAGCAGCCTTATGGAAAATGCTGTCTGGGGGTATTTTGGGGAGCCTCCAATATACCCCATGTAAATCAGTCGAGTTTGATTGTTGAATTGACAAGAACAAAATTGGATGAGCGCTTTCCGTCGCGCTTGGGTACAGAAGCAGGTCGTCAGTTTGGTTTCACAATGATTTAGGTGAGATTTGACTAACTTAAAATATCGACTAGGTCCACATTCCTTTCACGCCTTTGATTTGGATGACATGTACACAGTGGTTTGTGATCACAGTCCCATGTCAATAGATCACCCCATTCACTGGTTTTGAGATAACATCTGATGTAAGCGGCAAACATCTCTTGGGACGCCCTCTCCAATGCCAAAGCACGTTCACGTCTTTCGTCCTCCAGGCGAGCTTGATGAATCTCCTCAATAAAATCGGGTCCGGGATCGAGATCGTTATGATCGAAGCCATCCGGGAGCATTTCCTCGAACCTCTGTGGCCCTTCGTCCGGATTCTGATCTTGGCGGTTGTTGTTTAAGGTCCCTTGTTGGCGCTTCTTGCAACCTTTGACCGCGTTGGCCATTTTCTCAAAATATCTCTTCTGCAGATCGGTCTTTGGGTTGTCCTTGCACCAGTATGGCTTGTTGGGATTGAAAGGTTGGTGGACTCCGGTGAATTTCGGCATGTTCAGTCAATTTGACTTGTAGGTGCGATGAGATGTGGAATGTGTACTGGGTTACTCGCTTAGAATGTGTATTGGGTTACTCACTTGGTACATGAAGAAGTCTCTAAGTGCCTATGTCACATACATAACATGCCTTTGGAGTTATCATAATTTCCCTTTTAATCCAGGAAACTTCCTTGCACAACGAGCCTATGGATCCAGCACAAACTTCCAACAACAACAAGAACTACAACATCTGTACTTATGTCATGCTATCAATCAATCAATCCATCCATGAGCAAGCAAACACCTGTTTGAAGTAACTAAAATCTGATCTTATGTTGATGTGACATGAGTGTGTGGTTAACATATGATTAGGGTAATATATTTACCACCATCTTAAGATAACAAAATTGATGTGAAATAATATTTCGAAGAGGCAATTCAACGCCTGTTGCCAGATTAATACTTGACTCTCTCTTAAAAGTAAAGTTTACATCTTATCAGGTATAACAAATCAAACATGAAAATTGGTTCTTTTGTGTGCTACAAAAAGTTATTCAAGTGATCAAACTTGAATAATAAATCCACTTGTAAATAGTACAAGCTTTGATTTTGACCTGGCATTTCTAAGGTGAAGATGTAGAGCTATGGGGAAAAGAGCACAATGAAAGATCTCCACATCATAGGGAAAAATGTTTACTTTTGTGCACTGTGCCAAATCAACCCAATACCAATGTGTTTAGGTGTTTTTTGAGTGTAAGCTTTACCCAAAAAGTGTACTTTTGACATTGAAGTCAACATTTGAAGTTGAAGAAGTGGAGATATGAGCAAAAAACAATAATGAAATCTTTCCAGAGTGTAGGAAAGCATATTTGAAAAAGACCCAAATGGCCTATTTCCCACATCTTCATTGTGTTTAGGTGGCTTTTGAGTGTGAGCGGGACACAAAAAGTGTAGTTTTGACATTGAAGTCAACATTTGAGGTTGAAGAAGTGGAGATATGAGCAAAAACTAATAATGAAATCTTTCCAGAGTGCTGGAAAGCATATTTGACAAAGACCCAAATGGCCAATTTCCCTCATCTTCATTGTGTTTAGGTGGCTTTTGAGTGTGAGCAGGACACAAAAAGTGTAGTTGTGACATTGAAGTCAACATTTGAGGTTGACCAAGTGGAGATATGAGCAAAAGCCAATAATGAAATCTTTCCAGAGTGTAGGAAAGCATACTTAACAAAGACCCAAATGGCCTATTTCCCACATCTTCAATGTGATTAGTTGTTTTTTGAGTGTGAGCGGGACACAAAAAGTGTACCGCTCACACTCAAGTCAACATTTGAAGTTGAAGAAGTGAAGATATGACCAAAGGTCAATAATGAAATATTTCCAAAGTGTAGGAAAGAATAGTCACAACAGGAGCATTGTGCCTATCTCTCACAATTTAGAGGAGTGTGATAAATTTAGTGCCACTTTGGAGGCAAGACATCACAACCGGAGTTGCATGGAATTTATCATATCCCTGTTTCCAATGTTTCTGATGCAAATTGTGTCACAAAAACCACCCAAACACATTGAAGATGTGGGAATTAGGCCATTTGGATCTTTGTTAAACATGCTTTCCTACACTCTGGAAAGATTTCATTATTGGCTTTTGCCCATATCTCCACTTCTTCAACCTCAAATGTTGACTTCAATGTCAAAACTACACTTTTTGTGTCCTGCTCACAATCAAAAGCCACCTAAACACAATGCAGATGTGGGAAATAGGCCATTTGGGTCTTTGTCAAATATGCTTTCCTACACTCTGGAAAGATTCCATCATTGGCTTTTGCTCATATCTCCACTTCTTCAACCTCAAATGTTGACTTCAATGTCAAAAGTACACTTTTTGTGTCCCGCTCACACTCAAAAGCCACCTAAACACAATGAAGATGTGGGAAGTGTAGGAAAGCATATTTGGTAAATATGCTTTCCTACACTCTGGAAGGATTTCATTATTGGTTTTTGCTCATATCTCCACATCTTCAACTTCAAATGTTGACTTCAATGTCAAAATTACAATGTTGACTTCAATGTCAAAAGTTCACTTTTTGTGTTCCGCTCACACTAAAAAAACACCTAAACACAATGAATATGTGGGAAGCAGGCCATTTGGGTATTTTTTGAATGGGTTTTCCTCCACTCTAGAAAGATTTCATCATTGGCTTTTGCTCATAGCCAATGATGAAAACCTAAAATGTTGACTTCAATGTCAAAATTACACCTTGTGTGTCCAGCTCACACTCAAAAACCAGCTTCCCACATCTTCAATGTGGGAAGCTGGCCATTTGGGTCTCTGTTAAATATGATTTCCGACACTCTGGAAGCATTTCATTATTGACTTATGCTCATATCTCCACTTATTCAACTTCAAATGATGACTTAAATGTCAAAATTACACTTTTTGTGTCAACACATCGAGTTTGAGCCTTTTTGGGACATTTCCTATAATGTGGACATCTTTCATTGAGCGCTTTGGATCCACCTGTGGCACACAGAAAGTCCGGCCTCGACCCGAAGATAATGTAGTACCTTATCATCGGCTTGTGGCCGAAAACCCACTGGCAGATGAGACCAGACTCGACAGAGTCATCTGAGAAATTTTTTTGAATCAACTCATCAAATTTTTCAAAAGTACAACTGTTGAACCCTCACTTCATGAGTGATTAGGCATGTCTTGAACACCAAGATCAATGCCATAAAGACCATCAAAGTCCCTACACAATACCAACACCTTGTTATCCTGTCACAGTGCAAGGAAAACCAATATCAGCCATAGTTGAGCTCATCTGGCCGAATCTGGCCATATCTGACCGCAGATGGAATCTAAATGTTGTAGCCAGATTCATCTGCTACAGTCATGGCTGTCGCTGTAGCTGTAATTGTAGCAGAGGAATCTGGCGCCAACTCACAGATTCATCTGTTGTGAACTCCACTCATGACCTGTGTATCAACGTAACATCGCAATGCAGGGGCAAACTCATCTGGATACAAGCCCAGATGAGCCCTTGAATGAATATATACATGTACATATATGTTATAATTAATGATTAAACGTAACATCACACGCAAGGGGCAAACTCATCTGTAGTCATCTGCACTCCTTCATACACATCTGTTAAAAAGCCTACACCTTCAAATTCTCGAGGGGGTTCTCATCTGCCCTCATCTGACTTCCTCAAGACATAATTCTCACTTCCTCACCCACCGATTTTGCCCTGAGACAAAATTCTCACTTCCTCACCCACCAATCTCGCCCAACCTCATCCGTGTTGTTAATAGATCACTTTCTTGCTATGTCATACTTCCCTATTTGCATCAATGAAAAATCTCAATCATTCTTCAAGTATTGCGGTAACAGTAAGTAACAAGTTGAAAATACATTATATCATGATAAAATCCTACGTAGCATATCCCTCCACTTCAACTCTAAAGCATTATTGTCAGCAATTGTTGCTTGACAATAGCTGCGGGTGCGATGCAATAAGGACAGGAGGTGGGAGTCCCATCTAAATATCAGTCGTGCATGATCAAGGAATATGCCGTTGTACAAAGACTGCAAGACGTTGGTACAGTCATTCCAAGCTGTCTTTGTCATACGCGCATATGTATTACCTGTGACTAAGTTGATTGGCAGAGCTTCTGCTGTTGGGTCCCAGCCTAAATTGGTTTCAAAATCGAATCATTAGTAGAATGATCAGTATCATCAGTTCACTCTGAGTTGAAAGACGGATGTGTCGTATTTAGAACTATACACCTACTTGAGTTTGAAAGCGTCAAAACTTTCTGAATCTTTGCATCCATTGCAAGAGACCACCTTAAAATTTGTCGTACTTCATGTGAGATTCTCCGCAATTCCTCCTCAGAGCGACAGTACATCAAATAAGCTTGGATTCCTTTCTGGGTATCTGCATCCGTAGCCCAATCTTCATCAGGGTGTGAAAGATGCCCGAAGTTCCAAAAGGAGTCATCAAGTGGCAAAGCTTTTGATTCCTCGAGTGTGTAATTAATTAATGGATTGTCGCTGGGATAGGAAACATTATAATCTTCGACAAGATCATAGAATGTTTTCCATTTCTTCTTGAATAACTTCTGTTTAGTATTCATCATACCCTTCATGCGATCTTGCATCGAGGTACCTGAGATAGCACAAATACCAATTTCATCTGCTGTCTTTAGCGTGGATGATTGAAAGCTAATCACGAACCTGATTCCCATTTCTTGGCCAATTCGATAATTCCCACCTTTGCCTCATATAGGTTCGATTTTGCCAGTTTCACCTGTATCAACAAACGCCCGCATTCGTCTGGTAATAAAAATATAAGTAAGTTTGTCAAAAATTAACTATTGTGAATGAATGTTTACCTGAGGCTTCTGGAATATTTCGAAACATATCGCCACCAAGTTCCATTGATACACGTTCTACTTCCTCTTCCAGGAAAGTGATGTGTCCAGGCAAGCCTGCCAGCGTCCTGTTTTCTGCAGGAGTTCTCCGTCGACGCCTGCGTAGATAGTTCATCTTCTCTCTGGACACGGTTGACACATCATATCAGCTACGCATAACAATACAGAGAGTGGAAATGTGTACAAACTTGGCTTCTCTCAGCTCTTCTTCATATTCGTTCAACTCCTCAATCAGATTTTCCAATTGCTGTACATTTGTGTCACCCATTACCTCCGCCTGAATTTTCTTTTGACGATCCCACTGAGCTGCGAAATAGGCATGTGTATGCCCATGCTTTGTTTCAAGCTCATCGAGAATGAGTAGCTTTTCTGACCGAGTTTTCTCAGCTGTTCCCAATTTGTCCAGGCACGAATGAACTGGTATCAAGAAAATATATCAGTCTAAAGCACAAAAAAAGGAGATGATCAGTGCTTTACCAGAGTTTGTCCGCAAGACAACATTCTCATGTGCCGCTTTGAGATCCAGTGCATCGATTTGATGCTGCTTTGTCGAATATCTTAGAGCAGCAACCAACTTACACAACTTACACCAACACCGCTCACAACCCTCGCCATCTGACAATCCCCACCCGATATTCAATCTTGGGTTGTAATCCAATTGGCAACTCCAACTATGTACATAAGCATGAAATACACTCGTCCCAAATTTGAGCCGGTTTTTTGATCTTTTGAGTTCAAAGAGGTTATGCTGGATGATTGGAATTTATTAGTTCAGATCATCATGGATAAAATCGAATGTTAATAAGAATACTCAACTCTCACAAGACCTTTCTCAGTGTTGCATCCGATGTCATAGAGTATTGCAACTTCAGAATCTGCCTCATCCAACTGCTTGATTAACCAGTCAATGAGAGTATGAGCAAAATATGATCTGAACAAATGTAAGCAAGTAAATAAGTGCTCATAAGATACAAGCGAGAGTAAGAGATACTGATGAGACCCTACTTCTCGCCACTCTGAACAATGTTTACAAAGGTCAACACGTGGTCATGGCGACACACCATGGCTAAAAGACCCGTGTCATCACAGGCACGCCACGTAGAGGCAGTCCGTGAATCGTTGGCGGAAGTGTGCATCTGTGTGCAAGGGTCCTAAGTGAATGAATGATATCAGCTTAAAAAATGACAACAAGAAAATTGATCATGACTTACCGGTGAATCTTTCGAAGAGCCACTATGCAACATTTCCCACTGCTTGATCTCATTTTCATGAAGAAAGAGGTTTGGATAACGAATTGGTATCTCGCTGACCTCAACACTGGCGGACTTATGTCTTCTTTGCTGGAAGTTACCGTCGATACAAACTATGTAATCGGGTTCCTTTTCCACTTTAGGATATATGTTATTTCCAAAACAGCGCGGGCAATTCGAGCCTAGTTTTTCTTTCTTGGATAGCTCCATGGCTCGGAACTCTAGGTCTTGCTTCAGCTGATTCAGACGCCTGTATGCATCTACTGCGCAAGAAAGTGATCGCCCCCATCTTCGTGGCTGATTAAAAATTCTCAGTTAGATTCGAAATGTAACAAAAAACAACATATAAAACAAACCTGTTGGGTGATGTCGTCCTTGAACTCGCGTACAGGTCGGTGAAAATCATCAAGCGCCTGTGCAAATGGATGCGTTCGAACGCAGCAGAATTTCCATATGATATCGTGTAGCCGGAGAAGTCGCAACGAGAATGCCATTTATGGATGAACTGGGGTTCCACCAATGTATCCCATTAGGATCAGCCGGACTTGGTCAGGTTGGCACGAGCAGAACTCTACACGTTGAGTCGTATGAGCTGTCAAGATTAAGGAAAAGAACATCGTTAATATTATGACTTAAGAAATTCCAGTATTTCTAAAGGTATGAAGTTACTCATTATGTCCATCATCTCCAGGTGCCGGATACGTTTCTTTGCCGCCGAGCATCGACAATCTTCTTTCCAGTCAGAATCCCATGTGACAGCGCGACTCCAGTTGAGTGTGAGCTGTTTACATAGCATATAGGCTTTGAACATGGGTTCAATCACCTCCTGCCATTGTCTCTCCTCACGGATTCGACGTTTTTGGTTGTTATCGCCAGTCACAGCAGTGACTACACACCCAGTTCCGGGACCTGAAGCAATTGATTGTTCGGAATCGTGTGAATCGACCGATTCGGCTTCCGATTCTGATATGTCAGAGAGAGGATCATCATCTTCGTCATTGTCAACTGGAAACTGATTTTCAAAGTCGTTTTCATTGCCATCATTGTACACATCGAAAAGATTGAGAGCACTGGTAGATGGCCTGGATGGCTTAGGAGCTTCCATTTGAATCAGTCCGCGGCTAAGTGAATTACATCTTTGTTCACACCAATCCTCTTCAATTTTATCCCATTCTGATAACATCTGAGAGGATTGAGTTGACTTAATCTTGGGTTTTTTCAACTGGTTTGCTGGAAGCAAATCATCCTTTTTTCGGCGCAATGACATCTTTATTGCTGTGCAGGAGCCACTCGAATGAAACAGTAAAGGTTGAAGAAAGGAAGGAAGGAAGGCAATCAAAATGAAGTCGGTGATATGCTAGCACGGAGATTTTAAAGATTAGTTGAAGCCAACACACTATGATTGAGATTTATGCGCAGGGATACTCCCAAGGAGGGGCTTGATACGTGTCATCTCAGAATCAATGCCCCCAAAAAAACACTTTCGTCTTTTCCATTGCCCAATTGGATCTAATTCCATTGACTGTTTAATTTTATGTAACATCCAGTGACCTTGAAAGGTTGACGGCTGTTCACGGACATCAACTTTAACAACCATCGTTTGAAATGGTTGTGACCCTATTTCGCTATTTGTGCTCAAAATTGGGTACGCCCACTTCACCTCCGATGATGAATCTCGTTGGATTGATGGAAAAGTCTCCGATTTGATCAATGAAAAAGAAAACCAGCCATCAATCGAGCTGACCAAAGAACATTGGTCGCTTCATGACCCATAAAGCTCAATGCCTCGCTGGTAACACACTAATCACAAACCTAGGTACCAAGGATCTGAAAAAATGAAATAAGTAGTGAGGATGCAGCTCAATCCAATTTCTGATTTAGCAAGGTGGCCATGAAATTGGAATATCTATCTGCCACACCAGACACTAAGCTCTATGTGAGTTTCTAATGGCACTTCCTGAGAGTTTTGGGCAATAGTGGGAGGCCTGAAAAATTCAAAAATTGTGCTCAAGGTGTGAAGATGAAGAGCTATGGAATTTTGGTGTTAACAAAGTGGCCATTAAATTAGATTTTTGATCCCTTACATGGCAAACTAAGCTTTATAGTGCAATAATCTGCTGCTTTGTAGAAATTTTATCCCTGAGTGGGATGTCCAAAAAACAAAAAGTTATCTTGAGTTGTGAAGATGGGACTTCTGACAGAGGGGGCAATAATGCATATCATGCATGGTGAAGTAAAGCACCTTTTTCATTATTGAACTTTTCTTGTAACACATCTTCTTTGAAGTTTTTGATTGGATTTTATCCTTGAGTTGAGGGAAAAGGACCATTTTGAGTCTCAAAATGGTAATATGGAGGTGAAGATGAAGGTTTTTGAATATAAGATGATAATGTATTTTGTTCTTCATACACGCACACAACTTTTTCAAAACAATACTTTTCCAAAAAATCCACATCTTCCTTGTGTTTGAGGCCAGTTTGTGCTTGGGTGGGATGAATATGGACTTTTTTGAGTCCATGTTCTGGAATATGTGGTTGATGATGTGGAGTTATGAAAGAATGTTCATATTGAAAAGTGTGCACCATGCAGGTAAGCACATATTTCATTATAAAAGTTTTTTCATAGCTGTTCATCTTCAATTGGTTAGGGTGATATTTGTGGTGATTATGTTGTCTAAAATCATGAGACACATTGTTTGTGATTCTTGCATCACAGAGAATTCCAGATATTTCATGTAAAAATGGGGACAAACATTGCACAAACCAGTTTAAGATGAACAGCTATGAAAAAACTTTTATAATGAAATATGTGCTTACCTGCATGGTGCACACTTTTCAATATGAACATTCTTTCATAACTCCACATCATCAACCACATATTCCAGAACATGGACTCAAAAAAGTCCATATTCATCCTACCCAAGCACAAACTGGCCTCAAACACAAGGAAGATGTGGATTTTTTGGAAAAGTATTGTTTTGAAAAAGTTGTGTGCGTGTATGAAGAACAAAATACATTATCATCTTATATTCAAAAACCTTCATCTTCACCTCCATATTACCATTTTGAGACTCAAAATGGTCCTTTTCCCTCAACTCAAGGATAAAATCCAATCAAAAACTTTGAAGAAGATGTGTTACAAGAAAAGTTCAATAATGAAAAACCTCTGGGCCTTCATGTGGAAGATTTTTCATCATTCACTCACCATGAAAAGTCTTAATCTTCACCCCAATGTTACACATTTGAGACTCAAATTGGTACTTTTCCTCCAACTCTAGGATCAAATCCCCTCAAACACTTTGGAGAAAATGTTTTACAAGAACATTTCAAGAATGAAAAACCTTTGGGCCTTCACGTGGAAGAATTTTTATTATTCACTTACCTTTTCAAGGTAAGTGAATAATAAAAATTACACATTTGAGACTCAAAGTGGTACTTTTCCTCCAACTCAAGGATAAAATCCACTCAAACACTTTGGAGAAGATGTGTTAGTTCAATAATGAAAAACTTGCTGTACTTCCCCAAAAAATAAGTACCTTAGCACTATATGTCAAAATGCTCATGTTCACTACTCAAGATAACTTTTTGTTTTTTTGGACATCCCACTCTGGAATAAAATTTCTACAAATTTTATCCCATGATTGCACTATAAAGCTTAGTTTCCCGTGGGAGGGATCAAAAATGTAATTTAATGGCCACTTTGTTGATGTAAAAAAATCATAGCTCTTCATCTTCACACCTTGTCCACACATTTCGCATTTTGTGGGCCTCGCCGCTGTGGACCAAAATTCACATAAAATGCTTGAAAACATTACTATAAAGCTTAGTTTGTTGTCTGAGGAGATAGATATTCAAATTTGATTTCCACTTTGTTAATGTGGAAATTTGATTGCTCCATGTCTTCACCTCTTAAACTGATTTTTTGAGCATCTGGTACCTCATCGATGAAAGATGTGTTACACCTCCAAAGATAGTACAACTGCACATATACATACATATGTACATACATATGCCAATATGTGCATATCAAGCTTTCTACTAAATACAACTGTCATGGGATCGTGTACATGTAGATCATGCCGAATCGAAGCTGGGATATTGATGAACCTCTGAGCTTTGCAACGTACAACAGGGCTTGATCGGTAGGTTCATATCTCTCTTCTTTTGTCTCTTTCCGTCCGTTCCTTTCCTTCTTTGCACACTTCTCACGACAATTGTATTTCTCAGATTCAAATACTTCCTATCCAATCCAATCATCATCAAACCTCAACATCTATCATGCCTCCTCGCACTCGAAATAACCGTCCATCAGCCAGTTCCAAGACTTCCAAGTCTGCCAATCCACCAGGTCAACAAGAAGAATCAACTCCGGGGACTACTTCAAATCCTTCAACTCGTGGTACTCGGTCCAAGAGAGCTCCTTCACGCGCCACTGTCCCAGCTAAACGTGTCCGTGACGACACCATTGAGAATCTCAACAACCCATCTACGAATACTGCCGAGACCGGTGACCAACAACCGGACGATCCCCAAGACTCACAGTCTTCTCCTGAAATTACTCCGACGCTCGACAACTATAAGAGCTTAATAAAATCATGGCCTCCTGGCCGCATTCAAGAACAGCTTAAAAAACAGAAAGCTTCAACTCATAACCGTCCATCGACTGAAATTAGAGATCGTGTCAAATTAGTCTTCAAACAATTCAACCAAGAACTCCTGATGCTTGCCATGATAGGTAAAGTGAGCGAAGATACCATCAAGTCCATCATGTAAGCAATCGTATTTTTCAAGCCATGTTCTTTCTTTATCCTTCACTTGCAACTTATCACTGCAGACATTATTTGGGTTCCCCAAGTGGGCAGGGAAAAATGATTGGGAGTATGATTTGTCATAAAATGGTCTATCACTCCACACCTGAGCCATAACACCCACACTACATATGTGTAGCAGGCTCAGTGAATATGTGGTTATCATGTACATACAGTTCTGCTCAGTTATCTGCTCATCAGGACAAGTTATTCATATGTAATACATGCTGTAACTTCTTTCAGATTGAAAAAAGCTTCCAAAAGATTGACTACATACACTGACTCAATGTTTTGGTGTGATCTCATCAACTCAACTGCATGTAACACACTTTCTGTTACTAAGACATAGCTTCAACAATATTGCCTGAGCAGCTACAGAATTATATGTAGTGAATTTTTGGGAAAAAAATTTCAAAGTCGAAAAAGTTACATGTGGTATAACATGTGATTTATTTATTCTGATGGGCAAAAAACTGAGCAGACCTGTATGTACATGATAGACAACTATTGACTTAGCTTGCTGCACATATGTAGTGTGGGTGAAATGGCCCAGGTGTGCAGTATTAGATTCTTTTATGAAAAACTGTACTATTAATCATTTTCCTCTGCCAAATTGGGGAAGTTGAATGATGTTTACAGTGTATGTATCATACGTTTTGCTGTAACCTCTGTATTCTTCTTTTCAGACCTGAAATGAAGGGAACTAAAGCTATAAGTGCTTACACGATATTCCTCCAGTACTGTCTGGATTGTTTAACTGAACCGAGTAAGTGGCATCTTCCCATCTCAATTCAACCAGTTGACCAATTGAGAATCCTGACATTTTTCACTCGATCTTATCAGTGCCATTAAAAGGTCAAGAGGAAGGTGGTGTCATATTGGGTGAACGTAATCGGAAGAATGGGAAACGATGGCGAGCACTTACTGAAGATGAGCTGGCAATGTTCGATCCAACAATCTTCTACGCGTTGGCTGGCATGCCTAACCCCTTGTTAGATTTGGAAACCGATGAAAACGAAAAGGATCATGATCAAGGGCAGCAAGAGGAAGGTGGCGACTCATTTGTACCGGTTCCAACTGTTCACAAGCTGACGGTTGAGGAGGACGAGCTTTACCGGCCTATTTATGAACGGCTGGTCGATGTGAAGAAGGTTGAAAACGAACTGGGAAAGCCTCCTACAGGTCCTTCCAATTCACAGCTTCAGCGCAAATCAAAGACGGCTATCGAGAGGATTGCTCATCAGGTAAGTGCTAGAATCTGTTGACGTTATCAAATCTATCAAATCATGGGTGTAAAATACTGACTTTTTTGATATGACTCAGCTTTCATGCGAAGCCCATCGTTTAGACTTTGCCTACTACCTTGTGGCAACAAGCACACTCACTCCGAACAAGTCTGCTGAGCTGGGATGGCTCAAGCAATACACCACTCATCCACAAATCGCAACTTGGGCCAACAAAACCTGTCATCTTGCCACTGTTTTTGCGACGTACTCACAAGGTGAATCGATGGCAAAGGCAATTGCCTCCGTGAACAGCAAACCAAAACGACAACGTTCTAACAAGCAACAGCCTAGTGATAAGATCAAAGTCGATTTAGGACGTCTCTTGGCAGCTATTACACGTAAGTTCCTTTCAAATATTGATCATGTTGTCATCATTTCATTATCATTCAAAGAATCTGATTGTCTGATCATCTCGGTCCTCAGACAAAACCTTGGGTTACGTTCCGCCGCAGTCTTTTCCCCAGACTGCTGACCCGGCAGCGGAGTTGAAAAGAAGGTCTTTACCAATCAATATGGTTCTTGCAGCAGGATCAAGAATGACTGACGAAAAGCTTCAAGTTGGTTTCAAGAAAATGCGATCGGCCACGCGACTTGAGTGGATTAACGATATCAAAGACGGTAATTTTCGTTTAATAAAATTGAAGGTTGGGTCTGATGAGACCATTGGGGAGCCGGTCTCTTTAGACGCTACAGATATTGAAACTGCGTTGAACACTCCCTCTCGCGCATTAGACAAGGTGGTGGATCCGATCATTAACAATACTGGTGATCAGCCTAATGCAAGTCAAACAACAAAAGATTCAAACAAAAAAATACAAAGAGATGAAAGTGATTCCAAAGAAAGTGATACTGTTGAGGAAGAAGATTGATTTTATAATGAGATCAAATGAGTTGTTATTCAAGTTCAAGTACAAAGATTACGAATCCGATGACTCAAATAAAGATGTGTGACCGAATTAAAAATTTTTGTTTTGAAACCTACAGTTTTATGTCAAGTTTTATATCAAATTGTATAGCTGATACATTAGTGTGAGCTTCAGATGTTATTGTCTTGATGAAAAATGTTTTTTAACCCCATCTGAGGGTATGCAATGTTTTATATCTTTAAGCGAGCTATCAGATGAGAATGTGAGTCCATTAGATCCAGATTGAGTTGAAGAGGCTGAGACGCGAGTGAGTCAAATTGTGGTTCTGGCCAGATGAGGCCAGATAAATTTGCCCCTCTGGGTGCAAAAGGTACGAATTTCATCCAGATGAGGCCAGATTGGTTTGCCCCTCTGAGTGCGAAAAATACAAATTTTGGTCAGATGAGGCCAGATGAGTTTGCCTCTCTGAGTGCGAAAAATATCAATTTCTACCAGATGAGGCCAGATGAGTTTGCCTCTCTGAGTGCGAAAAATATTAATTTCTACCAGATGAGGCCAGATGAGTTTGCCTCTCTGAGTGCGAAAAATATTAATTTCTACCAGATGAGGCCAGATGAGTTTGCCTCTCTGAGTGCGAAAAATATTAATTTCTACCAGATGAGGCCAGATGAGTTTGCCTCTCTGAGTGCGAAAAATATTAATTTCTACCAGATGAGGCCAGATGAGTTTGCCTCTCTGAGTGCGAAAAATATCAATTTCCACCAGATGAGGCCAGATGAGTTTGCCTCTCTGAGTGCGAAAAATATTGATTTCTACCAGATGAGGCCAGATGAGTTTGCCTCTCTGAGTGCGAAAAATATTAATTTCCACCAGATGAGGCCAGATGAGTTTGCCTCTCTGAGTGCGAAAAATATTAATTTCTACCAGATGAGGCCAGATGAGTTTGCCTCTCTGAGTGCGAAAAATATTAATTCCTACAAGATGAGGCCAGATGAGTTTGCCTCTCTGAGTGCGAAAAATATTAATTTCTACAAGATGAGGCCAGATGGGTTTGCCTCTCTTGGTGCGATAATCACAAAATATGATAATTCACCTCTTCCCACCACCACTTATACATAGGTTATCGTCAGCGGAAGCAGGTAGGTAAACAACACACTTGCTTCAATTCAGCTTGTATTATGATTAATGAACTTATTGAAACTAATAAAGTTGTTTAGCAACTTTTGAGACAGAATCTCTTCAGACTCTCTTCAGACCCTTTCAGACCGTTTCCAAGCGGAGATGTTTGGTCTTAGATTCTAAGGTGAGGTTGACTGGTAAACCCTTGTTTACCGTAATATTACCTATGTTCGATGGATGGCAGCTCTGGATTTAATGATTCCTCATCGAAAGCATGAGTGTTTAGTTGATTCATAAAGTGAACAAAGTATGGCGGACAAACTATTCCTGACGATTACATTGATGAATGAAGGATCATGGTTTTTCGAACATTACATCATGGGTTGCACTACAGGAAGTAGTGTAAGTCTATGGAGCCATTGTGTGTACAACGAGTAAGAGTACTTGCAAAAAGGAGCGCAGATGAGCGCAGATGGGTTTACCCTTGAGTGTAGTTATGTTGAGAATTTGGAGTGAAAAGGTATCATCTGAGATGAGGGTATTGTTTACAACAGATGAATCTGTGTCCTGCTGCCAGATTTATCTGCTGTAGTCACAGCAGACTAAGCACATGATTCTTATCCGCAGTCAGATATGGCCAGATTCGGCCAGATGAGCTCGACTATGGCTGATATTGGTTTTCCTTGCACTGTGACAGGATAACAAGGTGTTGGTATTGTGTAGGGACTTTGATGGTCTTTATGGCATTGATCTTGGTGTTCAGGACATGCCTAATCACTCATGAAGTGAGGGTTCAACAGTTGTACTTTTGAAAAACTTGATGAGTTGATTCAAAAAAATTTCTCAGATGACTCTGTCGAGTCTGGTCTCATCTGCCAGTGGGTTTTCGGCCACAAGCCGATGATAAGGTACTACATTATCTTCGGGTCGAGGCCGAACTTTCTGTGTGCCACAGGTGGCAGACGTTGTTGCATACCGCCACAAGTATCTAGATATTATAGCCGACCTTCAGAAGCGCTCTCGAGTTTATCATGGTGAAGACCTGGAGCTCTCAATTGCTCCAGATCCTATTCTTCTTCAAGACCAGAAGGAGACAATTTTTCTCTATCACGACGAGTCAACGGTGCACGCTAACAAACGTCCAAAGCGAGCCTGGGTCAAAGACAACACTCAAGAGCTGCGTAAGAAGAGCGATGGACGATTAATTCACGATTCAGATTGGATTACGCCAGCCACGAAGACTGGCCGACTGGAAATAACTTCCGAAGAAGAACACAACAGATTCCCTTTGCCTTCATTTACCGACGCTGCAGTGGTTACTTACCCTGGAAGCAAAGGTGATCCCTGGTGGGATTGTATGCAGCTAATCGAGCAAGTCCAAACACGAGCCATTCCTATCTTCGAGTATCTTTTTCCCAACGCTCAGGGCGTTTTTATCTTTGACTGTTCTTCTGCGCATGAATCTTACGGACCCTCAGCTCTCCGAGTCTCGAACATGAACCTTGGCCCTGGGGGTAAGAAATCACCTTTACGAGATACTGAGATCCCGACCGATGACCCTAGAATTCCTCTCAAAAGACAAGGACTTCCTCAGTCCATGGTCTATCCAGCTGACCATCCAAATCCAAACCTTGCTGGGAAAAGGAAAGGCATTCAATGTGTCCTAGACGAGCGCGGCTTGTGGGACCTCTACGAAGCCAAAGCCAAGGCAGCAGGTAACAAACCAGTCTTACACTGCGCCACATGTAAGCTATCCAGCACTAAACGCGACCTAGCTGCTCGAGAATCCCGATTACAACGTGAAAAGGAAGCACAAGAGGCTTACGAGAATGGTGAAACCCCAGTCAACTCATCCATCAACGAGTCTGATGATCCGTACTGCTGTGCCTCTAAGATCTTGAGCCTGCAGTCGGACTTTGTCAATGAGAAGCCTTTGCTTCAGATGGTCATCGAGGAGGCTGGTCATATTTGCTTATTCCTTCCTAAGTTTCACTGTGAGCTTAATCCGATAGAGCTCTATTGGTCTTACATTAAGCACCGTAAGTCTTTCTTAATTTTTCATCAACTTTACATATTTGACTGACTGTTTTGATTTCACAGACTATCGAACCAACAGCTTTAAATGTAAAACCTTTAAAGACTGTCAGGCTCTCTTTGAGGAGGTTTGCAAGCGCTGCCCGGTTTCAACCATCCCAAAAGTATTTCCGAAAGGTTGATCGTCATATGAACATCTATTGGTGAGTTTATTTGGTCTTGTCTGGTTATATTTACTAACACATGTCTATGTATGGCTATCCAGAGACGGCTTCACTGGGGTGCAGGCCGAAAACTTGGCCAAGGACAAGAGGTACCGTTCACATTGATGTGTGGCACGTAAGGCTGCCATGAATCTTGAATTTATTTGTAATCCTTAAAAGATTAATCCTTAAAAGACTTTTCTTTTTTTTTATTTTCTTTATGCTATCCTGGTTTTATATATATACAAGATGTTATCCTGACTTCACAAGCGTACCCTGTTCTGCACCCAATGAGCCATGATGAGACGTGCTCGGCCTACATACTTACTTGAGGTACCTAAGTAGCAACTTAAGTGGCTAGCTAAGCATTTAAATACTTAAGTTAAGTACTTAAGTAATTAAGTTAAGTACTTAAGTACTTAATATTAGGCCCCTTAGGTACCTAGACCCAAATGTCGAGGTCAGAAAAAAAAAAAAAAATCGGTCGAGCAGATTCACTTACCAAGTCATTTCTGACACATACACCCCACTTATGGCCCAAAAATGACTTTTTACATACACTTTGTTACTAGGAGTTTAGTGTATAAATTTGAGTAATCGAATTTCGATTTTGCGGAGCGCGTCTGGTCGTGACTAGACTGGAGCAACTGTATGACTTTGGGGACTTGAAAAGAAGTATGCATCATGGTTTTTGACATAATTATGCAATTAATGCCAAAATTGGGGGGCACCAGCTGGGTGGAAACCAAAACTTATGCATTTTGGCTGGTTATGCATGTGCATGGGTTTGACTGTACTACACTTCCTCAACTCGATCAATTTTGGTACATACTTGAGGTGAAAAAGGTTAGGATTTCAAGAGTAAAGATTTGTTTACTACTTATCCAATTCCCTGAGGCTGAACTATGTTTGCTCCTTTATCATAACTCACAAAGTAACATACATATCTCAAATTCTTACTCAGATTGAAACAATAGATGCTCAGAAACCTTTAACCTTGTTCCCTATTTTTCTAGGGGTACATATGGGTTATATCATAAACAACTGTAATTGATTTGGTTTTTTTTTTGATATTCAGCACAAGCATATGTTTCAACTCAAGGGCCTTGGATTTGAAATCCAATCTTCCTATTAATGAATCTACTCATTTAAACAACAAAGCTCAGCCATCAAAACTCAAGATGAGCACCGGCCCCGGATATTGAGCAGATATCCAACGGAGCATCTGTCGGATGCCGATGCCGAAAAGGGCTTCAAATTCATCCGGTAACCGGGTAATTTGTCGGTTTGGGAGTTGGAATGGCCTGAACACGCCGGATACCGCATTTTCAGACCGGATTTTGGCCGGATATCCGTTGGATCCAGATGCCGGAAAGGCCTTTCAAATCATCCGGTGGCCGGAAAATCCGTCGGTTCGGTTGTCGGAATGACCTGAACACGCCGGATACCGGCCAGTGCCCATCTTCAATCTCAATCCCAATCCCAATCCCAACCCCCCAAAACACAAAGAAAAATCACCATGTACCACACAAATCTTTAATAATAAACTTTGCACGAATAGGAAAAACCCCAAAGATATAAAAAATTGATTTTTTTTGTTATATTATAATCAATCAAACCAAAACACAATTTATATATATATATATATAACAAATCAACAGAATCACAAGAGATCAAGCTACTTTACCCAAATTAAAATCCACCCAAAAAGCCCACATGTCACAGAGAAAACAAAAACCGTTTATAATTCACATTTTTCTTTTTCTTCTTGATTCCATCCAATAAGAATAATACCTCATTTTTTTTCTTTGGTACTTGTCAATTCAATGAAAACCTTAACTCAATCTGGTTTTAAATTCATCTTCATTAACACTTTTGTTTTGAATACAAGTTGGGTGAAATTAAAATAATCAACTTCTTCTACGACCAGATCCACGAACTTTTTTGAAAAAGTACTATAAAGAGATAAAATCAAAAATCAAATTTAGTAAAATGAGGAAAAGGAGAATAGAAGCTAAGGATTCAAATCGAGTGAACATACCTGTTTGGATGTTGTTTGTGTATGACGAACATGTCTTACATAAGGTTGTAAATTGGCACGTCTTTCAACATCATAATCTCTCTGAGGTTGATAATACCATAATGCTTCCAAGGCTACACCAGATGCATCCTGAAAAACAAACCTGAGTCAGTCTTGCTCAATAAAGGTCTAGAAGAAACAAAAAACACACCTTCAATCCTTCATTGGTCACACAACCAAACATACCAGTCCCATCAGCGCTCCAGCCTGCTTGAAGGGTATCTAGTATGATAGGCCTACAAGCATTGACCACACGTTCTATTCTCTCATCACCAGGTTGATCTTCATTATGGATTGCATCAGAGACGGAAGGAGAGTTTGGGCGAGAGAGTGATTTGGTTTCTTTTGCTGGTTGAGAAGGTGGCTCTGATAAATCGGAAGTAAGCACATCTTGAGTTTCCTTTCGGATAAGCTTTGATTGAGGTATAGCCGATGTACTTCTATGACGTGAAGGATTCTCTTGAGTATCAGACGGACGTGGAGAGGATCGAGCAGAAGATGTGGCTAAGACTGATAGTACAGCTTCGGCAAGACTGGGTTGAGTTTCGAGGACTCCTCTGATGACTTCAGTGGTACTAACAGTGGCCCGTGGAGCAAAGACGATTGCAGAAGCAATGAGACCAACTAGATCGAGACCAAGGGATGGAATGAGAGCATTGACGCGATCTGCGACAGGTAAGGCAAGAATAGCAGGATCGTAGGGTGAGACATCGGGACCGGCAGAGAGGCATTGACGCTTTGAAGGAGGAGGTTTGATGTGAGATGAAGGTGCGAGTTCAGAGGTTGCACTACGAGGTGTTAAAATGATGCCAGAAGGGGTACGTGAATGAGATGCAGGATACTCGAGTCCAGTGGTGATAGCGGTAGATTGACTGGGTCGACCCTTTCGTTTGGTAGTACGAGTGTTATCTAGTTTGTCTGAGCCAATGAGACCCAGACGAGCAGCACCATTCCTTGGACGGCCGCGTTGAGGTGGTCTATCTTCTAATTTCACATAACACTCAACTCGTTTGCCACCCCAAAAACCTAATTCAATCTGTTCTCCTTCGCAACTCGGGACTTCAACCCCAGCACTCGCGCCTTGAAAGAACCTTTGACCATCCACCATCAAACCATTTTGACCTTTGACTACAATCCTCATATTCAATCCACCTAATGGTGGCGCAATAAGTGTGCACCAGCAGTGAGTACGAGAGGCATGGGTGAAGGTACCGGGGAGTTTGATAGGGATAACAGGAGTGTTTTTAGTATTGACTTCGCTAGGCACATTAATGATATCAGGCTTGCGTCCAAATACCAAACAGTGCCCAGGTTGAATAGCAATTCTCAAAGGAGCTGAAGGGGATTTCCGAACACGAGGCTTCTTGGCTGGGTTGGTAACAGAAGGCTCTGATTGGTTTGAGTGGAGGGAATGAGCTGATCGGTCGTCGTTTTCGTTCGCATCTGTTCCATGTGGGTGATCAGATTGAGTAGGACGTTGAGATGGCGAATTCAAAAGACGAGAGCTGGGTTTTCGAATGAGTTTTGAAGTCGGAGAACAAAGTGGATTGTTGATGATATCAGATTGAGATAACGGTTTGATCATACGAGCAGAAGAGGATGAAGGTGAGAAGGATTGAGATTTGGCTGTGAGGTCAAAGATGAGGTTAGCTGGTTGTTTGAAGTTAAGCAGATGAGAGAAAGAAAAGACTAACAGATGAGATTAGAAGGAGAAGAGATAGGAGTTGAAGCTGGAGTTAAATCGATTGGGGAGTGACGAGGGATGGAAGAGGAAGAATGACTTGAATCTAGATCGAGTCGAATTCGTTTTGATAAGTTGAGAGATGGAGATGATGAAGTGGAATTGAATTCAGAATGAGGACTTGTAGGATGAGTGATTGAAGAAGGATAATTATGATTCAGATCGAATAAGAATGGATGAGATGTGGTGGTAGTAGTAGCAGTAGTAGTTAGATGATTGAATTTCTTGTAGGATGATGAAGAAGAAGAAGAAGAAGAAGAAGGAGAAGGTAATGAAGATGGTGAAGAAGGTGTTGAGTTTGAATGAAGCATTTGGGATAGATGATGATGATCAGTTAACTGAAAGTTCAGTCAGTTGATGTGAAGTTGACTGAGGATTTAAACGAACAAGTGACCGTTTTTTTGAAAGAGAACAAAAGAGAAAGAAAGAAAGAAAAGTAAAAGTAAAAATAAAAGATCAAGTTGATGAAGAGAAATGATAAGTAAGATGGTTAGTAATCTGACTATGTACTTAATCTAGTACAATTTGTAAATTTAGTATGAACCGTCTGATTTGATTTGATTTGATTTGATTTGATTTGATTTGATTTGATTTGATTTGATTTGATTTGATTTGACAATTGATGAGATCGATTTCTTGAGATTGATGAGGTTGGTTTACTTGATTTTGAAGTTCGATCAAAGAAACTTGAGAGCAAAGTACCAAACCAAGCACTTGAAGGCAGAAGAAAGGTTGATCTGATTCTGAAGTCTGATCGAGTTTGCATTCGATTTGGTGTGGTGTGGCAAGAAAATAAAAAACTTGAGACCAATCCTAATGAATCTGTATCTCATTCAAACTTTAAATACAGTTTATACCATACAGGCTACATATACAGATTTCGATTCACACTAAAAGCGCGTCTACATAGAACCACGATCAAGAACGCGTTCATACAACTCTATCATCAAAGACGCGTCAACCAATCAGATCTTACAATTCACAATCACATCTGTATCACTTCACCACTTGTTCAAACACTCGATAAAATGATCATTCATTCCATCAGGTTCCATTAAGTGAATGATCCTGAATAAGAATTTGGTAGGTGCTGGGTAGGCTGGGGCTCCAGAGCCACATCAAGGAGGAATTCATAGACTTCAATTCAATGATATCATCACCACAGCACGCCCAAAACTCAAAAATGACTCAAGCCAGCTTAGAGAGATGGTGCCCAAAAATGGCTCAGCTTGCTCAAGGCTTGAAGATACTCACTGAAACCTTTCTCAACTCCGAGGACTTCTTGTTGTAAAGAAAACGATCGGGAAGGGGAAGCCCTATGGATCTGATGAATTGATAAAATCGCATTTTGATCACTTTACAGTTGACTTTTGTGCTCTTCTGGACCTGGCTTGGAGCTTTTGATGTTCAACTTTCATGTCTGGTTCAACTTCAACCCATTTGGATCACAAATGACCGGATTTCACCCTTATCACAAAAAAATCAAGGATGATTCCGACTCAAAATTCTTGAGGAGCACCTCGGCTGATCTCTTTTACACTCAAGTGACAGTGGAGACTCCTGTGATCTTCTAAAAGATTTGTAAATTATCTCGCAATATTATGAACTCAATATGTGCTCTAAACCTGGTTTGACAAAAACCAAAGTCTCCATTCTATCTGTTCTCAAAGCTATCATCATCATGCCACGACATCATTACACAAACCTTCCAACCTTCACTTGAGCTCACTAGCCACATCTTCAGAACTATGTAGTCCAAACTTTCGTTTAGTTGATCAGAGTTGATCACAAGCAAAGGTCCTTGAAATGTGTATCCCAAAGTGAATAGTCAACATTCAGGTTTCTTTTTCGTCTGATGTACAATCACTGCTTTGTACAAGAAGTGCATTCTAAAAGGAACCAAAGTGATCTGATGATCAGTTAATTGATCTTTTGATGTATACATAAAAAAAATCACTAACCCAAGTACGCCATATAAGGCGTATAAGGGCATAAATAAGTGACACCACCACTATTGGTACAAGCTGATGATTCATGATTCAAGCCCCAAGAAAAAAGTCGAAATAAAAAAAATCAGAAAGTTTGTTTACGGATAGACGATTCAAGAATTAAGATACTGACAAACAACAGTTTCGAGGTATTCGTACTGTGCACATTGTTGATTACTTATGCCTTTGTTGCTTGAGTTCTTCAACTGACATCCAGACAATGGAACGAATTGATGATCTAAGATAAGACGTATATCGTCAATCGAGTTTATTTCAAGATTTTAATTCAAAAGGAAATCAAGATTGATTTCTAAAAACGCTTACTATTACGCCAGCAAGATGATAACTGGCATTTATATGCTATTTGACCAGGGACAGCTTCAATGCAGACTTTCGATGTGACCGATCACAAAAAAATCGTTCCGCTTTAGATACCGACTTCTTCAGATCATGAGGTTTTGAATCGGATCACATACCTGCACTGCCATCGGGGTTGATCGAAAACTTTTGGTTACACGTAGGGTTTCCTTCCAAAGGATCATTGCTGGCCAACACCTTTGACTCATAAATCCACAGGCAAAGTAGTAAAAGTGAGATTTTAAGTAAGGTCTGAAACATATTGAGTATAGCAAGAGAGGAAGAAGTGATCTAAACTGATGTATTTTGACGACCAAAATGATAAAATGAGTGTAGGATTCAACAGAGAGAGGAAGAGATTCAGCAAGTCACCTGATGATGGAGGCATAATATCGCCTTTTAATCAATTTATATATGATCTTTTTGCTCCTTTGAAGGAGTGGCTTGGACTCGGCTTGGAATTTTGCCACCGGTATGAGGAGCAGCGGAAGGCGGCGTAGCGCCCCCCTCGGACAACTTCAGCTTACGTGTTTTTTGGGTTCAAAATGTGGTCAGAGCACCTTTGATATAACTTTATTATTGGTATATTTCAATTTGATGATGAGTTCAATCGGCCACAGTGGCAATCTGAAGGATACAACCCATCCCACATTTTACGAAGACGCCGACTCTCTGGGCAAAGTCGAGTATGTAGGTATGAGGATGTTTTGTTACATCTGGTCTTTGTCATCGAAGCCGATTGGCAATTTCAATCAATCATCCAACTGTGTCTTGTACTTTCCTAGTATCGTTTTGTTGCGGGTATGATTAGGAGGTCTCGGTTCACAAAATTCCTTTTCACCTTTGCTAAATCAACCCTTAGGGGCTCTCAAACCTGACCCGGTTTTCAAAAACCCAGTTGACCCAGTTGACTTTTTGGCAGTAACTTTGTATATAAATTTGACATTTATTGACAGCTCCCAGCCAAAAACTCAACTGGGTCAACTGGGTTTTTTGAAACCGGGTCAGGTTTGAGAGCCCCTCTTGAATGCAGAATCAGACCTGCTCTTGAAACCCTATACAAGCCCCAAATGATACCTATAGCACTGGCGAGCTCTCAAGTGACGCCTTCTCTCGGACCAAATTATTGTAATTTGTCACGTGACCCCCTCCGTGACTGCGCAAGCAGCCATCCAACTCATTCTCAACAACTTTTTCACTCGAATCGTCATCACTTTCTCTCACTTTCACATCTCTTCTCTTCATCTTTCTCCCTTCGTCGCGTGATCTGATGGACGATGGAACCGTGGACCCTGATATGCAGGATTACTCAACTGCTCGGGACGATGCGTCAACGCATGACGACGCGATGGACGCTTTAGTCGCGTCTGACCTGACGGGTCAAACGCCAGCGACTACGCCCAAATCGCGTCAATCAACCTCAAAGACCCTCGAAAAGGTCTCACTCCTCCCTCAATCTCTCATCGGTCCCGTCTCAAGCACCCCAGCTTCGCTGGAAGGCTCGAGAAAGAGGCATCGACATCGAGCCCCGTCCCCAAGCCCTCTCGAGGAATCAGAGGATATCACGGGTACCCCTCAAACAACTCGTATCGCCTGACTGTTCCCTGGAAGCGCGACCAACACGTCTAAACCACTTGGCTCTCTTGTACAGAAGCTACTGGAAGTGACAAAGGCCACATTGGTCCCAAAATCAAAACAGACTAAGTCTGTCAAAGTCGATATCGAGTCGGCAGCCGATATCTTAGTGCTGACCGGCTTGATCCAAGAGCAGGCCAGCATAATGGAAGCTAGACGAGTGGTTTTCGAACCAGGTCGTCAAACCGTCCCTGCCCCTTCCTCCTCCTCATTTGCAGCGAACGCTCAATTTGAGTTTAACAACAACTCGTGGTCGGACAAGCTCGACACACTTACCAGCCAAGTAGCGAAGCTGGTCTCGGTTGTGACCCCTCAGCCACAGCAGAAGCAGCCGGCGACGAGCCAGGCAAAGAGCTCCTATGCTCTAGCCGCGTCGAAGCACGCTCCGGGGGCGTCACAGCCCCCTAAACAACACACATCGAGCCAACGTGCTCATCCAAAACAAGGTCCGCAACCAAGGTCAGAAGCGTCAATCACGCTCAATCAAACGGATCCGAAAATTGTGGTTGGCGAGGGCAAATCCATCCCCGAACTAATCAAAACCCTCAATGTGATACTTAAAGAAAACAACATCAAGGTCACTTTAGACGACCCGTCAACTGTAGTGGTCCAAAACATCCACAGACATCCATCAAATGACCTGGTGATATATTTAGAATCACAGAAACAAGCTCAGGCATTACGAAACCAAGCATCATGCTGGCTTCCGAAAGTCTCCCCACACCTATCATTAAAACAGGAAGTCCATTCAGTCATCGTACATGGCATACCTACCACGTTCAATCCCACACGTCAAGAAGACATCGAGCTCTTGAAAACGTGCAATGGGGACCTTCTCAATAATGCACTCTTTGTGAGATGGCTGAAGAAAGATACGGCTGAAGACTCAGCAAAGCGCCATTCCTCCCTCTTGATTGGCTTCAAGACCCTCAGCGAAGCCAATCTTGCCGCACGCACCAAGGTGTGGCAAGGGAGAGGTCGACATAGAACCGAAATCAGTGGTCCTCCTCCCACCAGGTGTTTTAATTGCCAGGGAGCAGGCCATACAGCAGCAGCATGTAAAGTAGTCTCAATGTGTCCTTACTGCTCGGAGGAGCATCAAGCACATAATTGTCCTATCAAAGGAAACACTGCAATGAAATGTATTGCATGTGCGCGCGGCAAGCTAAAAGCTGACCCAAACGCCAATCTCCCAAGGCTGTTCAAGGAAAACCATGCTGATTTCCTCCACCACCCTTTTGCCCCCACGTGTCCAGTAAGAATTGTGAGCCAATTCCCACCACACAATCCCAGCGCCTCACCGTACATTCAGGTGGTGGCCAAAAATTCATCTAATACTCAATGTTAGAGTCACAGATGATAGGGAAAATCAACATTGACAACACTGCTAGCATTCTTCAGTTGAATTGCAAGCACTCCAAATATGTTACACACTCTTTATTTAACTCTGAAATCACTTCTCTCTTTTCAATCTTATCAATACAAGAACCTTATGTCAGTCCCATCAACAACCTACCTCTCAACATGACAAATTGGACTCTCATTTGTCCAACTCCACAGTCCCTTAAAGAAGTGGACAGGCCACGTGCTTGCCTATATATCAGGAAGGACCTGAACCCAATCCTTAACCCAATCTGCTCAACCTCAAGAAACCTTGCGGCGAGCACGGTTACCATACGCGGCTACACTATTTTAGTAGCCAGCGTATACAACCCTCAGAAGACCCTTGCAGGCTTCGAGGCTTTTACTGACATGCTCCGGAGCGCACCCATTTCTACTCAACTCCTCCCAACTATTTGTACAACTGATGCTAACTTACATTCACCACTGTGGAACCCAAGCCACACCACACTCGACGACAAAGACTCCGAGAGGTTGATCGACATGCTGACGGACTGGGGCCTCAGCTTACGATCCCCAAAAGGAGTCCCCACCTTTGGGGTGCAATCGGCAACCACAGAAGGCACTTCGATTGACCAGGTATGGGTCAACGAAGATTTCGACGAAGCAACAATAACATGCTTCATTGACGAGGCAGACCTAGTCAGCCACCAATCCGACCACCAGGCGCTCATCACCACCTTTTCCACAAGGCTGGGAGATGAGACGATCTCTAGCTTACAGACCTCCGAGAAGAAGAATTGGAGCAAGGTAAACAGCGCCTACCTCAAACATGATCTAGCCGCCACACTCCCAGAACTCAGGCCTCTGATCACGCGGGAGGAAATCGAATCTTTCGACGAGTCACTAAGAACAGCTGTTATCAAAGCCCTGAACGATAACTCGCCAAAAAAAGCGGTATACGGCAAGCATAAAGCCTGGTGGATTCCGGAGATCTTAGATCCTCTGAGGAAGGAAGCTTCAAGACAACGACGACTGGCCAAGAGAGACCGGACCACCGAAGCTCACCAAGCCTATAAGACGGCCCGAAACGCATTCAATCGCGCCATGGACAAAGCCAAAGAAGACTCGTGGAGAAAATTCCTTTCCATGGTTGATCATACTAACCTCTTTCAAGCCAGACAAATTGCATCTGGCAGGAAGGCATCCTTGCTGGTTAGCACCATCATCACCAACGAGGGAAGAACCTGCGAGACAAACGACGAAAAAGCCGCCGCTCTCTTTTCGGCAACCTGTGTTGCCACTGCTCCGTGCAGATTAGACAACACAAACAACCTCTCATTCCCGTTAGCCGAGTCAAACCGACCATCTGAGGAAACGACACCACCTCTTATGTCTATCATCACCTACGAATCACTTGCCACGATTGTCAACGACCTACCACCCAAAAAAGCGCCTGGAGGAGACGGCATCCAGAACTGGGTCTGGAAGCTCGTATGGGACACAGTAAAAACTCACGTGAAGTTCCTTTTCTCCTGCATAACCATCACAGGCCTCATCCCGAACGCTTGGAAAACAGCGGTTACGGTGATGATCCCCAAACCCGGAAAAGCAGACTACACCCAGGCGTCTGCATACCGCCCAATTGCACTATTACTAACTCTGAGTAAGATCTATGAGAAACTACTAACGATTCACTTGTCAGGACAAGCCGAACACCAGAACATGCTCCACGATGGCCATTACGGAGGTAGACCAGATAGGTCTAGCCAAGAGGCACTAGTCCATTTGATCTCTTGGATCAAGAAAGAGTGGTCCAGGGGCAAGGTGGTGGGCGCTCTGTTTGCAGACGTCAAATCCGCCTTCCCTTCAGTGCACCATCCGCGCTTACTGGACACTCTGGAAAAGAAAGGGATCAATACACAAACACTCAACATCATCTATGATTTTCTCACCTCAAGAACTACGGTGCTCACCTTCAACGGTTTTGTATCCCAGCCATTTTCTCTTGACCATGGTTTACCACAAGGCTCACCGCTTTCACCTTTACTTTACCTACTTTACAACTCTTCGCTACTTGAAATAACAGATAACATTCCATCGGCGATGGCACTAGGCTTCATCGATGATGTAGTGTTACTGTCTACAGCAAATGACACTCACCAACTCGGATCCCAGATGCGCACTCTCTCGTTTCGACAGCAGCAGTGGGCAAAGGATCACGGCGCCATTTTCGACGTCAAAAAGACCTTTTGGGTCTTGTTCAGCTTACAACAACACACGATCATCCCCACGATGGACTTCGCAGACAGAAAACAGATCCAACCGTCCCCCTTTGCCAAATGGCTGGGGGTCAAGATAGACGACAAACTAACATTTAAACAGCAACGACTTGAAACCATCGCGAAAGGACGGCAACGCGCAGGCTTTCTAGCAGGTTTGACGAGAACTGGGTGGGGTATACCGCCAAAACTAATCAAGACACTTATGACGACCACGATACATGCAGCCACTGATTATGGAGCGATGGTGTGGCTCCCAACGGAGCCATCGAACTTCTTCATCGAACAACTGACGCTGATTGACAACGTTTGTGCTAGAGCTGCTTTAGGAGCCCTGAGTACCACCCCGGTTGTCTTCCTTTGACACGACCTCAACATGCTACCGCCAAAAGCCCGTCTTCAAAGTAAGACCCTGAGCTTCATGGCAAGATCTCTCGCTAAATCAACAAAACACCCATTTTTCAAGCTGATACAACAAGCTCAACATTCTAAGCCAAAATGCCACAGGAATCCTTTTCACCTATTTTTTCAACACTCACTCCACGACAGGTTCAAGGAATACGTCACACAACTCCCAGTCGACCCGGCAGCGACCCTAATCAAACCACCAAACTACTCAATGGTGGTTCAAGAAGATGAGAATGTAGCAAAAGCTAACACTCTTCAATTGAAACCGTCGCCCCAGCATCTCTTGATCTTCTCAGATGAATCGACGATACCCAAAAAGACCACGGCTGCAGCAGCCTGGTGTGCTAACAACAGACAGTCGAAATCAGAACAACTCGGCCCGGCTAGGTCACACGGCATTTACCAAGCGGAATACCGTGGTGTCCAGATGGGTTTGCAAATGGCACTCAAACGAGCAACTAACTCAACACGTCGAACAACTATTGTACTTGACAATCAAGGAGTTGTCAAAGATCTACAATCGAACTCTTCTTCAATCTTGTCACTAGACAACCGACAACGAACTTTCAAGATACTCACTTGTTTACACGTCAGCTTTCCGCAAATGCGAATCACAATAAGATGGTGTCCTGGCCATAAAGGTATACCGGGCAACGAGGAAGCAGACAAAATTGCCAACTCTTTGGCAAAAAAGTCCTTACCTGACAATTTTACTAACACTCCCAATTCAGCGGCCTTCCTTTCGGCAATCAAAGAATGGAGGACGGAACAGACTGAAGCTTTTTCCGAAAAAGATATCAAGAGGCTAACCCACAGACCTCAACCCAAGAAACACCTGGATGGCCTCTCAAAGCTACTCAAGCACGAAGTTGCGACGATTACGCAGTTACGATCAGGACACGCGCCTCTGAACGTATACCTAAATAGATTCAAGCAGCCTATCAAACCCCTATGTGAGTGTCAGGAAGGTCTAGAGACAGTTGAACACTTCCTATTCATTTGCCAGATACACAAACGACACCGTAATAAACTAGAACACGACCTCCGAGAATTTAACACCAAGATGGATAGACGCATACTCTCCAACCCCAACAATTTCAAACTAATAGCAACGTATTGCAACTCCACCTGGAGATTCGCAAACAGATGGATCTGGGCAAGAACCACAGATCAACCACTACCAAAAAACAAACAACAACCTGAGGAATAAGTCCCTTTTTCTTCGTCTCCATACTTCATCGCCTTAAAACAATTGTCCAAACAATCAAACATGTAAACTAGATGAAACAGCCAACAGCAACCCTTTCCCCTGACACAGCCAGAGGGGTTTTACAGGTGCTGGACATAAAAATGTAGTGTTTGATAGCCTGGCGGCTCCAAAAACACTTTAAGCAATGCAAAAAAAAAAAAAAAAGTGACGCCTTCTTAGATCATATTTCCGGACGCTATCTTCTCACCCTGATTTCCCCCGCGAGGTTGAGCTTCTGTTAAGCTAGCATCCAGGTCGCCTTTCATGTAGTTTTGACCTATCAAATTACATCAATGTGTTATTAATCAAGCAATCGATCACCCTAAGAGCGCTTTGAACGATTTTCCAATCATTTCAGGATAATTAAAAATCAACTCTAGACTTTGATCGACAAAAAGCAGGACTTTGATCATATCTGTTCTTCAGACTTTTATGACATCATTCACTTGATCTCATTAGGCTCACTTTCAGCTCTATATATTATAGACTTTTGTTTAGTTGATCACAAGCACAAGTCTTTGAATGTGTGCGCGAAAGTAGGCGAAAGTAGATAACAAAATGAAAAACTTGGATCATGACGGGCTCAACAACTGATCTATTTCATCGTCACGAAGACAACTCGGTCGAGCGATCATACCAGTCTTTCTTTTCTAATCTGTTTAAATTACTGAGATAGATCCGAGGTTTTTTTCTTGCATCTGAAATATGATATTTCATTATGCATGTGAACAAACGGTACATTCTAAAAGGAAACAAACTTATCTCAGTTCATGAATCTTTCACCTAGATGAGAATGTCTTTGACTAACCTATGGCCGGTATATCGGCCTTATAAGGGCATATATAAGTTTGAACCCCAGAATTTTTACAAGCTAATCATTCATCATTGAGACCCGAAAAAAAAATCTTTAATAGGAAATCTTGATAAGTCATGAATGAGTCAAGAATTGAGATACTAACAATAGGTATTATATTTTGTGAGGTGTTCATATTGCACACATTCTTGATCACTTGTGCTTTTGTCAGGTGAGTGCTCGAGCTGGCAGCCAGACATAGGAATGTATTGATGATCTAAGATGATATGTATCCCGTTAATCAAGTTTATCGCAAGACTGGATTTCAAATCGATCAAGCTTGATATCTAGAATGCTTACTATTATACCAGCAAGTTGAATAGTCACAGTTATAATTGTATGTGTCAATGTTGAGCTCCTTGCAGTCTTGCAATGTGACAGATCACAAGAGTGGTACACGTTAGAGGCTGGACTCGTCAGGCAAGGAGTAATGATGTCACATACGTGCACCGTTTTGGTCGACCCAAAACTTTTTGTTACACCTAGGAGTATATTCCGGATTAGAGGCCAACACCCATGAATTATTGAACAACAGGGAAACAAGCAAGAGGGAGATTTTAAGGGAGACGTGAAGCATTTTGGGTAAAGCAAGAGAGGGAGGAGTATGTCTACTGAGGTATTTTGACTGTGAAAATCCTGAGATGAGTGTAAAAGTTGACCGAGACAAACAATCAGCAAGGAAGGTTATGATGGACACATGAACTTGCATTATATATACAATGTTTTTGCCCTATGGAACGTGTGGCTTGCTGTCATGAACTGCTAGACCTTAGTAGGTTACAACGTTAGTAGTCATGGTTACATGAAGAGTTAGATTACAAATCAAGGAACAGTTTTAGATTACACAATATTGTGCCTGAAAGATTATTGTGTGCGATTATTCTATATATATTGTATCTTGTTTCGCCATTTGTTTTGCTTTTCTCTTCATCAGAATAATTATCATATTCACTTTCCTTTTCGTTTGACATCTCCGATCTTGAGATAAAGAACCGCTTAACTGAAATTGCCAAAAAGCCGCGTCGTAAGCATTGTCCGATTGAGAATCTTGACTACAACCCTAATCATCACATTTTTATTCTGATCTTTCTACTTTGGATTGAACGATTGTTAACAAAATTTTTTACCTTTCTTTGGATCATTAGATCAAATTTTATTAATTATTTTATTTTTTTTATTGATCCTATCTCATCCTCGTTTTTTCTAAATTTTCTCTTGTTTCTTTCATTTTCTTTTGATCAATTAGATCACTCTTTTAATAAATTTAATTTTTTCGCTTCTTATTTAATTTCCTTTTGATCACTTAGATCAACCTTTTATAAATTTTTCATTTTATGTTTACAACTATTAACATCTCTCACGCTTTTTTACAAATTCCTACTTCTTCTAATTCCGCCGAAGACCTTATAAAATCTTTTAAAGAATTACCTTTCTTTTACTCAGCATTTGAATCTTTTCAAACGTTATCAAGATTTGAAGAATTACCTTTCGCTGAATATCCAGAAGAAAACCCTTTTTTAGAAAATTTTCATTATCGTTCTTTTCAATCCTCTCTCATTTTCCATTTACTTTTAGAAGCATACGAAGCGTTATATCTAAACAGGAAGATTTATTACACCAGTCCAATTTTAACTCCTCCAACTTCTTCATATTCCAGTTCTCTAGATACCGATGATGAATCCTTGGCGTAATGGTCAAGAGAGTCCTGCAATCTCGTCAGTGTTTGGACGTGATGCTCCACCCCACACTTCTGGAAGTGAGCAAACAGATTTCAATGCGATTTTCATTGATCCCCCTACAACCCAAAGTCGTATCCCTTTATCTCAAACTCCAGTATCTCGCCTAGCAAATGGTTTGAATCATTTGGGTATTGCGACTGATAATATGCTGCATCCAGATGGCCATAATTCAACATTTCGAAGAACAGATCAAAATCGAATGCCATTGAATTTTCAACCTCCTCCTCCTCCTCAAGCGCCTCAATTTTCAGCACCTCCTCCGCAGATGCAACATCCGCATCCTACACCTCAAAATTCAATTCCTCAATTTCATGGACCTCATCCCCCTTTTCATGGACCTCCTCCGCATTTTCATGCACCTCCTCCTCCATCTTCTTTTGGACCTCCTCCACAATTTCATGCGCCTCCTCCACCTCCTTTGAATGAATTTAATGGAGCTCAATTTGTCCCTCCAATGCATGGATTTGTTCCAGTACCGCCAACGAATCCTTTTATACCGGGGCAACCACAGTTTGTTCCAGTTCCACCTCCACAATTTCATCCTATGCCATCGACTGCACATCATCATGTGCCTTTTCAAAATTTCCAACCTCAACAGCCAAATTTTTTTCAACATAATTCACCGATTCCACAAGCTCCAACCTTCAGACGAGAATTGCAAAGAGAAGCTGAAGGAGGAATTGTTGATTTTCGACCACCTAAAATTAGAGATAATCTGAGATTTTATGGTGATAGTAAGTGTTTGAAGCAATTTATGTTGGAATTCACGAAGAACTTGATTTGATCCGCTTTCCAAATGATCCTCATGATACGCAAAAGATCAATTGGATAGCACGGCATTTTACTTCCTTGAATTCATCTCCTTCAAGCACTCAAATTTGGTTTATGGGTTTATTAGAAAGGAATGCACATTCACAAGGCATTTTTAACATGATCGGCAATTTGAAGAGCATTCCGTACAAGGACACTGTAAACATCATTCAACTTCCCCAATCTAGAAGAGGAAAATGATTAATAGTACAGTTTTTCATAAAAGAATCTAATACTGCACACCTGGGCCATTTCACCCACACTACATATGTGCAGCAAGCTAAGTCAATAGTTGTCTATCATGTACATACAGGTCTGCTCAGTTTTTTGCCCATCAGAATAAATAAATCACATGTTATACCACATGTAACTTTTTCGACTTTGGAATTTGTTTCCCAAAAATTCACTACATATAATTCTGTAGCTGCTCAGGCAATATTGTTGAAGCTATGTCTTAGTAACAGAAAGTGTGTTACATGCAGTTGAGTTGATGAGATCACACCAAAACATTGAGTCAGTGTATGTAGTCAATCTTTTGGAAGCTTTTTTCAATCTGAAAGAAGTTACAGCATGTATTACATATGAATAACTTGTCCTGATGAGCAGATAACTGAGCAGAACTGTATGTACATGATAACCACATATTCACTGAGCCTGCTACACATATGTAGTGTGGGTGTTATGGCTCAGGTGTGGAGTGATAGACCATTTTAGGACAAATCATACTCCCAATCATTTTTTCCTGCCCACTTGGGGAACCCGAATAATGTTTGCAGTGGGAACCGGTATTATCAAGTTTGGACAGTTTTTTGGGAGAATTATGGTTCAAGTTCGGTGATAAGCATGCAGAAAAGACGACAAGAGATCAATTGAGTGCTTGTAAACAAGGAAAGACTTCTATTATTGATTATAACTCACGATTTGAACAATTGAGTCTTCATGTACAGAAATCCGAACCCGACAAGATTCTTCAATACATCAAAGGTTTACACCCAAGCATTCAATTAGAAGCGACAAGAGTAGAAGGATGGGTCAACAAGACTAATTTGCTTCGAGTTCAAGATATGGCAGTGAAAGCAGCTGATATTTTGGATTTAAGGTCAAGAGTTACTCAAAACTTTCCTCAACTTCGATCTCAAAATGAAGTTTATCGTCACCCTCATGCAAATCATCAACCTTTGCAACGACCAGCTCACCATTCTGTTCCGTCTTCGAGTAGAAACGGTCCGACACCTATGCATGTTGATGTCAATGCGGTTTCAATTGACAGAGATGGTTCCAATCCTTTTCCAGCAATTCGTCGCATCTGTATTTCAAAGAATTTGTGTTTTGACTGCCTCAAATCGTATGATGATGAACATAAGCGTCTACGTAGTGTGAAAGGTAAAAGATCATGCCCAAATCCATCAGCTCGTATTGAAGAAAAATTGAAGATGTTGAAAGACTCAGTTTCAGGATCAAGATCGGATGTACGACCAACAAACACCGATACGCAAATTTCAGCAGTCCAGTTAGAATTAGAAGACTATGACGCCTTATCAACAACAATCAAAGATGAAACGAATGAATTTTTGGAATCATTTTGGTCAACTTTACATTTGCCAGATTATGAAAGCAATTTGTCTAATTTGGTACAGCAAGATGTTCATTTAGACGCGATCAGAGTTGAAGCTGACAAGTCTACACATTGTCGTTTCTTGGTACCTTTGCAATTAATTTCAGATGAACTCCCAGTGAACGTAATGGCTCTCGTTGACACCGGCGTGATGGACAGTGTCATGGATTTAGGTTTTGCAGAATTGAACCATATCGACTTGAAGTCAAAGCAGTTCCCTCAAAAGCTTTTTGGGTTCAATGGTGTTGCGGGTGTTACGGTGACAAAAGAGTGGCATGGATGTTTGAATTTCACGGATGTTGATGGCAAGAAAGAAGGTCTCACCGCAACTTTGGGTGTTACGAAATTAGGGGGCGGTCATGATGTTATTTTAGGGTTGCCATGGATGGAAGAATTTGGTGTTTCTTTGATGATGAATAAGGCTGGTAAATGGCTTGAGATTGGTGAGAGTATGATAGCGACCGTGGTAGTCGAAGATGATGATGTAGCGGAGTTATTAGTAGTTGCTTGTAAGTCCGAAACTACTGCTACCTCTGTCTCTTTTTCCACTCCAGACACGACCATCAAACCACATCCTATCACTTCACGTTCTATCACTCCACAAGCTTCACCTACGGTTCCCATCTCATCTTCACTTGACAAGTCTTTTCTTTCGAATCTACCCGAGAGTTGTTTAAAATACTTACATGTTTTTTCTCCACAGGAATCTGTTTTACCCCCCCACAGACCGTTTGACATTGCAATTGAAATAAAACCCGGCTGTGAACCTCCATTTGGAGGCTTATACAACTTGTCCCCTGATGAGCAATCTGAGCTAAAGATTTACCTAAACAAACAGTTAAGTAAAGGTTTTGTTCGGCCTTCGAAGTCTTCCGCGGCGGCTCCCATTTTTTTTGTCAAAGTTCCTGGCAAAAAGAATTGACCTTGTGTTGACTACAGAGGTTTGAATAAAATCACCAAGAGAGACAGTTATCCCATACCTGTCATGTCTTGGTTGCTTAACCAGTTATGTGGTTGTAAGTTTTTCGCTAAAATTGATCTCAAAGCAGCATTCAATTTATTGAGAGTCGCAGAGGGTGATGAGTGGAAGACCGCCTTTCGCACACCTTGGGGTTTGTTTGAGTATACAGTAATGCCATTCGGATTAGCTAACGCTCCAGCAGTTTTTCAGCGTTTTATCCAATGGGTGTTGCGGGAATATTTAGATGTGTTCTGCTTCGTGTACCTTGATGATATCTTGATCTTTTCGAAAACAGCATCCGAACACAAAAGTCATATTGAAAAGGTTCTTTCCAAGTTGTCTGAACATAAACTAACAGCGTCTCCTGGGAAATGTGAATTCTTTGCAAAAGAAGTGGTATTCTTAGGTTTTGTGATTTCAACTCAAGGCCTCAGTATGGATCCTTCAAAACTGAAAACCATAGCAGAATGGCCTTACCCACTTGATTTATCAGATCTACAGTGTTTCTTAGGTTTTTCGAACTTCTACAGGCGTTTCATTGCGGGCTTTTCAGAGGTGGTCGCTCCCTTGACAACACTGACATCGAAGACTGCTGACGCAAAGATGGGTTTGAAAGAAAAGGGGGCAGTGGATTCGTTTAATGCTTTACGTCGTTTATTTTCCTCAGCTCCGTTCCTACTGCACTTTGACTTCACTTTGCCTCGCGTGTTGCAGGTAGATGCTTCGGGATACGCTTATTCGGGTATCTTGTCTCAGCGTTCACCGGAAGGACAACTACAACCGGTTGCGTATTTTTTGAAGAAACTAACGGAAGCAGAACGACGCTGGCAGATTCATGATCAGGAACTAGGTGCTATCGTGGCTTGTTTTCACGAATGGTGCGCTTGGCTAATGGGGACTGATTTTCCGGTAACAGTGTTATCTGATCACGCTAACCTACGTTACTTTATGACAGCACAGTTGTTGACACCACGTCAAGCACGATGGGCTTCATTCTTGGGCGAATTTAATTTTGAGATCCTGCATACCCCTGGCAAAACTAATCCGGCGGACCCAGCATCCCGATGTTCTGATTTTGTATGCGGCAAGGAGGACAGTTCACGGGTGGTTTTATTAGGTTCTCGTGAAGTGAAGAGCATGAGTATTGATGCGATCAGCATCAAAGACCCCGGGCGTTTCTATCCTTCTACCTTTATGCCTGTTGCTGATGAACTGATGAGGACGTTGATTGCTGGTTACAGGAGTGACGGTTTAATTCTGGGCGTTCATCCGGCCTTCTTGCGTTTTATGGATGGCGTGTGGTGGTGGCGTGATCGCGTATATGTTCCGCTGCAGTTCAGAGAGACGATTGTGACTCACACTACACAAAATGTCATCTTTACCGGGCGGTAAAGAAAACTACTGACATAGAAAAGTCCTGAGGCAACAGGAAGAGAGCTAAAAATCTGAAAAAATATGCACCTTGTTCCTAGATGTTGGGGCGTCATGACAAGTATTTTTTTGTATTTTACACACAGATATTGGTTAATGTACTAACAATCAAGGCTGAGAATCATCAAAAACCCACCTGTAACAATACCTGAAATTTGGCCCTTGACTTTGAAGACAGGATTTTGGAATCTTCAAACATCAATAACTTTTGCAGTTCTCAATCAAATCACTCGATTTGAAGTGCATTAAAAAGGTGAGCTTTTCCTCTATATTTTTCATTCAGACATCACATCTGTAGCTGGTCTAAAAAAGATCCTACAGAGCTAATCATGCAGAACTGTTTGAACATATGTAGAGTGTTTAAATGACTAGATAGCACCTTACTATCATTATGAAGTGTGAAGGAGAATAGTTCAGCTTTTGAATGAACCAAAAATCGAGTTATTTGGAGCAGAATTGCAAAAGTTATTGAAGTTTTTAGACCACAAAATATTGTCTTCATACTCATGACCCAAATTTCAGGTATTGTTACATGTGAGTTTTTGATGATTTTAGTGTTTATTGTTAGTACATAAACCAATATCTGCTTGTAAAATACAAAAAAATACTCATCATGATGCCCCAACATCTAGGAACAAGGTGCATATTTTTTCAGATTTTTAGCTCTCTTCCTGTTGCCTCAGGACTTTTCTATGTCAGTAGTTTTCTTTACCGCCCGGTAAAGATTACATTTGGTGTAGTGTCAGTATCATGCCTGCCCGACGGGTGGTCATTGGGGTGTATTGAAGACTTTTGACCTTTTGTCCCGCTCTTTTGGTTGGCCGAATATGAGAAAGGATTTACTGACGTTTCTTCGTTCATGTGAAAGCTGTCAGAGGGTTAAGGTCGATCAGCGTCCTCCGCAAGGTCAACTTGTTCCTTTACCCATCCCGGATAGGCCTTGGTCCACAATTGGGATTGATTTCATCGTCAAATTGCCAGTCTTGAACGGGTTTGACTCAGTCATGGTGGTTGTCGATCATTTTTCGAAGGCCGCGCATTTCATTCCTGCAAATGAATCCTGGAAGGCGGATGAGTTGGCAAAAGCGTTTATTAATAATGTTTTTCGTTTCCATGGGTTGCCTGACGTTATAGTCTCGGACAGAGGCACTATGTTGGTCTTGGCATTCTGGACTAACGTCTTAGCGCTACTGAGTATTAAGCCGGCGCCATCGACAGTGTTCCATCCTCAAACAGATGGACAAGTCGAGCGAACCAACGCGTTATTGGAAGATTACCTACGACACTTTGTCTCAGAAGATCAAAGAAATGGGTCCAATTTGCTTGCATTGGCTGAGTTTTCCTATAACAACTCTGCCTCTAGTTCTACGAAGTTGACGCCTTTCTTTTCGTTGCTGGGGTACCATCCGCGTTTTAATTCCTTGACAGGTTCTTCAGGGAGACCCGCCGCCGATGGTTTTGTACAACATATTCAGCAAGTCCAGGATCAGTTAAAGGGGAAGTTGGAGTACGCTAAAGAAGCCCAGGCGCGTTTTTATAACAAGGGTCGGCGGGTTGTGAGTTCGTACAACTCTGGGGATTTGGTCTGGCTCTCGCGGAAACACTTGAAGACGTGTCGGCCAAACAATAAGCTGGACGTGCGCAGGTTGGGACCTTTTCCAGTGATACGAATGATAGGGTTAAACACGGCTGAGTTACAACTACCTCCTGCTTTACAACGTCTACATCCCGTCTTTAACGTTTCTTTATTGATGCCTTTCGTAGGAGACAGCGGGGAGCAGCGGCGTGTGAACGCTTCGCGATGGCAAGATTTATTGCTACAGGAGGAAGAGAAGGTTCGGACGATCTTGAATTACCGCATGCGGACTGGGGGAGTGCACAAATACTTAGTGAAGATGGACAACGCGTCCGACTTGGATGCCGTTTGGTTGCCTCTGACTAGGCTGCCTTTTTCTGTGGATCACTTTTTGGAGCGCTTCCATTGTGTCTCTCCGGCTTTGGGCGCTGGTCCTAGCGAGTCGGTGTGGTTGGCAAGAGCTCGGCGACGGGTGGATCCATTGTACGACAGTACCTTTACTGAAAACCTGTAGGCAGTTTTTCCGTCCGCGTTGCTAACCCCTGTGTGCCTAAACAAGCCACTCAAGACGTGGGTATGTGAAAGCACGTGGAGGGTTTTTTGCTTCAGCGTATATGGGTAGTCATAATTTGTCATGAACTGCTAGACCTTAGTAGGTTACAACGTTAGTAGTCATGGTTACATGAAGAGTTAGATTACAAATCAAGGAACAGTTTTAGATTACACAATATTGTGCCTGAAAGATTATTGTGTGCGATTATTCTATATATATTGTATCTTGTTTTGCCATTTGTTTTGCTTTTCTCTTCATCAGAATAATTATCATATTCACTTTCCTTTTTGTTTGACATCTCCGATCTTGAGATAAAGAACCGCTTAACTGAAATTGCCAAAAAGCCGTGTCGTAAGCATTCTCCGATTGAGAATCTTGACTACAACCCTAATCATCACACTTGCACTCGGCTTGGAGTTGAGAAGGAGCGGAAGGCGATGTAGCGCCACCCACGTGCAACTTGGGTGGGTGGTTTTTTAATGGCTTTATGATTGGGTTTACGAGTGTCTGTGTATCGGCTGGTTAAATAGCTTTTTACGGTGGCTGTGAAGAGACAAAGATAAATCAAAGTCCTTCGCTGCTGAAGAGGCCGCTACTCCGACCTTTTCATTTGATGCACACTGACATTTTTATCCAATTCATCAACTCAATCCAACTATTTTGACTCTATTCAACCTCCTAATCCCAACTTGGTCTTATAAACTTCTTGTTTTCTTTTGTCCAACAATTTTCTCAAGTTGTGTGTGTACTAGACCCTTACTGTCAACTTTTACTTGAGCCCATCGGGCACAGTTTCAACTATATGTGGTCCAGGGTTTTATTTAGTTGATCACAAACACAAGTCTTTATATGTGTGTTCAAAGGATAATAAGCAACTGTAAGATGATTAGAATACAAGATCACAAGACGTTCAACAAACTGCACATTTCACCACAGTCAAGGCATCGTGATTGGGTTAAGAGATTAATGATCTGAATCCCAAGGAGTCTTTTGCTTTTACTCTTCTCAAGGTGCTACAAGATCCTAGAGGATGCGTTATTGTTTGTGTGATCCGTCAGTTTTGGGGTTGACAATCAGTACAGTCTGAAAACAAGCAAACTAATCTCAGCAAATTGATCTTTGACATGAATTAAAATGTGTTCAACTGACCGAGAGACGGAATATCTGCCTTATAAGGGCATGTATAAGTTATGCCAGCAGGATTAGTGCAAGCTGCAATCATTCATCGTTCAGGCGGGAAAAGTTCGATGTTCAATAAGAAAATCTTATCAGTCATGGATAATTCTAGACTTTAAATAACTGACTGAAGCCATTCGCAGTTCCTAGGTATTCGTATTGGGCACATTGTTGTTTACTCAAGTTTTTGTTCGTAGATTTCTCGAGCTGGCAGCCAGTCATCTCGATGTATTGGTGTTCTAAGATCATACAATGTATCCAGTTGATCAGCTTGACTGTGAGGTTTGATTTTCAAAATCAATTAAGGTTGGTTTCTAAAAATGCTTACGGTTGTACCAACAAGATGAATGCTTGCAGTTATACGCGATTTTTTTATCGTATATCACCGTGCATACTTTCAATGCGAATGAATCACAAAGTTGGTTGGTTTTAGTCTTGCTTCCGTGTACTGCTGAATTCATCAAGGTAATGAAGATTTAAGTGATCTCACATACCTGCACTATTCTTGCCTATTGAAAACTTTGAGTTACACGTATGCATGCCAATGGGAGATCCCGTTGCATCGTCTGCCAACACCCTGGAATGATGTATGCATAGAGAAAAGAGTAAAAGTGAGATTTTGAGGAAGACCTGAACTTGAAGCATGTTGGATATGGCAGGTGAGAGATGAATAACAACAAGAACTGAGGTGATTCAGTTGCTGATTGTCTGAAAGAAATAAGATTGACCGAGAGAAAATTGCTAGGAACGAAGCCTATATGTAGGGATTGGGGGTTGTTGTTCTGATTGTTTTTGACTTCAGGAAACGTGGCTTTGGGAGCTTTGAAACATCACTCTGCGAAAAAAATGAATTCATCAAAAACCCTTTCGTTGTCGACCTTTGAACCCTTAAAGACCCCCTATTGTGGTGAATAGACTTATAGCAACCACGAATCAATTTGTTTCATCTGAAAGGTTGTTCCCCTCTGAAGCCCACCTTCTACATTGGTTTTTCTTTTATTAAGATCAAAACAACTCATCTATCTACCCTAATAATAAGGGAAAGCCCATTTGCTTAGATAAAATTCCACACTTGAGCTTTTTGTTATGGCTTGCTTGGCATTTGCACCACGCCTACTGAGCCCTACCTTCTCATTTTGATCTCAACCCGTGCCACAGTAGGTATTCTAGCTCAGCCTGGACTCCCTCACTCCATATGTACACCCTTTCCAATAAAGACTCAGTGGCTGGGTGCCAAAGACCTAGCACATACAAAAGTTTTGAAGAAAGATTTGGCAAAGACCATAAATATTTTGGTGTGCATCATTAGTAGAAGACATCACATCATTGAATTTTTTCTTTACCAGGTGACACCAACCAAGAAACCACTTGCTTTCAGTTGAGTGCTGTTGTTCTTTACACAATAGACACAAATGATCATATTACACATTGAGGTCAAAGAAACTCTTGAAGCGGGATATTCTCACAAAAAGACTGGCACAGTTATACTCCCATGTTTGGTTCAACTCTCTTGGATCACAAATGATAAGCCCCACCAATTTGACAAAATTTGAGATTCACCGTGAAATCCTCAAATAAAATTCACACTTTGATTCTGACTGGAATTTTACACCTTGAACCCCAGAAATGAGAATTTTCTTTGTGTTTGTTTTCAAGAGTAACATACCATTATGGTATGATTAGACAAGTGCCCTAGATTCATTCACTAGATCTTATTGGGCACATTTTCAGCTCTATGTAACAGTCCAGAGTTGTGTCTTGTTGATCACAAGCTTAAAAATGGGCCCCAAAGCAGATAGGAAACATAAGATGACAGTCTGATAGTTGCATGACACAATATTACACAAGGAGTAGTTCAATCAGCGTCCCATATTGGTTCCACTAAGTAAAGAAACACTGTCATTTTATTCAACACAGATCCATGTACTGGTATGCATTTCAAGTCAATAAGAGATTTTTGGTCAGATTATACCAAAGTTTGAATAATTTCCGCATGAAGATAAGAATTTCCAGCGCATGGTGATCTGCTCAAAGCAAAAGAACTATTTGATGTGAAGATGTAAAATTGTACAACAGTTGAACTAAGATTCTCAGCGCAAATCATGTGATGTCTCAAGTGAAAGCCTATCAAATCCTGGTAAAGGTGGTCTAACAGGATAAGGTGATGAAGCTCCAACCATTTGATGTGACAGATACATTCCTCCTTCAGAAGGCATCGGTGCCTTTCTTCTTTTCGATTTATCATCCATTGTCAACCGCCTCGATAAATGTTTAAAAATACGTCCGACACCTGGACTTGAATCTCTAACTCCAGTCGTTTGTCTTCTGTTACAGTTTGTGATAAAGTGTGTGCTCAACTCGAGATCTTCTACATTTCTTGACATATCATACAAATCCTCATCTGTGTCACTCAGCCAACTTTTTCGTTTCGAGTTTGAGTTATGTGGTATATCGAGTTTTGTAGACCTTGATCCTTTCTCATTGTTTTCTGATTTTCTTCTTGCCCCATGACAAGAACGGGATCGGAAAGGTTGGGATTTCTTGCCTTGACAATCATCTTCATGATGTATAGGCTGAGTTGACTTGAATCCAGAAGCTGAATCTCTAAGATTTGATTGTATATTTGAATCAATCCGCTCTGAAGGAGTTGGTCTTCTATTTCGAGATCCTAAGGCTTTCCCATTCTCTCCAGTTGATCTGTTTTTCCTCAACTTTACATATTCCCATTGATCTTTCTCGTCATTGAAACCAAGACTGGAAACTTGAGATCCTGGGCCTCTTGAGTTTTGTGGCGGACGCTCAAATTTCAAGTTTTGAGCAATTGCATCATCATCTTTGCCTGCCCTTATTCCGCTTACGTTTCCACTCCATCCAAATTCACGTTCTCTGAAGGTTGTCCAAGGTTCAGTGGCCGCTTTGAGTGGATAGGAATTATCGAACGAGTAGATTGATTCAGTATCACCTGCAAACATACTAGCTTCGATCACAATGATGTCAGCTCCTCAGATCCTTATGATATATGTACTAGAGTGCAACATACTATACAGCAAACAAATTCCAATATATCACAAGCACTTTGCAATATCAACTAACACAACCAGAGAATTCTTACTCTCGAATGATGGATTATTCCTATTGGATGTGGCTGATTGTTGGTGGTGTTATGAGTTGGGTGTCTGATGGTCTTGATCTACACTTGATGATCTATATAGACTTCGATTGGACTGCTACTCTGATGAAGATCTAGTTTCAGGCCTAAGAATTGGCTGCGTAGTATGTATGACACTGATGCATGGTTTCGGTGAGGAAAAGGCTATGGTCGTTTACTGGATGAAGCACTACAGTATGATCATATTGATAGAAGATTGTCACTTGACAAACTCAAATGATTTATGCACGCTGACGCTACCTTTCGACGTCTTCTCGCAGCTGCAAATTGATGCGGCGAAACCCCAAAAGCTTCGACAAGTTCTCAAGTTGGCGCGACATACATATATGTAGGCTAAGCTTTACAGGTTTCATCGATGATGAGGATCGAATATCTCTTGCGGAAACAATTCTTGCAGACCTGCCATATTGGTGCAATAATTCAACATCCAATTTTTTTCTATTGATGCCCTCCATTGGTTCATTTGGATACATTCCGAGTGGCATGTGGTACGCAACCTGTTCATGATCTCCTCTTATCATCTCAGGACTGGTGCGCCAAAATTGCTCATCTTCGTTTATAAATCCCCATAAATTCGTAGCGACGCGATTCCAACAGTCAGATGAAGACTGCTGTATGTAGATCCGGCCGGAGCTGCCTGTCGGTCCGATGGACGCTGCGCCGACCAACACGATCGTATCAGTCTCTTAAAGCGCGTGGTGGTCCTGGAGGCTTGGCGCGATTTGAAAATTCAAACCACAATGTCGATATCTAGTTTGTTTCCGAACCAAAAATTGGTTCTCCTCGATGGTGGAAACGGAACGACCCTCGCTGACGATCCAGGGAATGAGCTTGATACTGGCTTATGGTCTGCGACGCTCTTGGTCAAACATCCCGAGAAAATCGCTCGCCTACATCAATCCTGGGAGAAAGCTGGAGCCGATATTATAACAAGTTGCAGGTGAGGGTTGGAAGAATGGTTGTGTTGTTCATGTAAAATTGGAAGGACCGGGTTTTCGACTGACAAGGTTGTCCATGTGGTCATGAAGCTATCAGGCCACGGTCCAAGGATTCGAAAATTACCTGCTTAAACAAACGCATACAGAGCAAAATGACGTGGAAAAGCCATCCAAAGAAGCCGACGAAAATGCTACACATTTACCTCGACTCAATTCTCCCCTTGACTTCTTGCGAAGCTCGATCGGCGTGGCTCATAAGTCTCTGTCAACGGCCAAAGTAGGACTATCTCTCGGTCCATTTGGGGCCACACTTACTCCGCCTCAGGATTACGCGGGTATATACCCTAGCCCTTATAATCAATTGGAGCCGCTGAAGAACTTCCATCTTGATCGACTTCTCGATTATGCTAACGATGAAGCAACTTGGCGAAAGGTGGACATGGTGATTTTCGAAACTATTCCGAATCTTTTGGAGGCTCTTGCGGTTCGCTCAGCTTGGTCCACATTACTACAATCGCTAGAAGATCGCTACGAGAAAACGGAATGTATCAAGTGGTGGGTGAAACCTTGGGTATTGAGCTTCGTATTCGCTGGATCATCAGGTCAATTCGCTTCGGGCGCTTCACCAACAGAGGTTCTCAACGCAGCACTTGGCCTCAGTAAAGACCTTGACCAACTGTCACTCCCGAGACCGTCGGCCGTGGGTGTCAATTGCACTAAACTGCAGTTTATCGATAAGATAGTTTCAGCATGGACCGACTTAACTGAAACCCAATCTCTTCGGACGCTCGAAAGCCCTGCACCCTGGCTATGGATGTACCCTGACGGCGGATTGGTGTATGATGTCGAACGACGTTGTTGGTCAGGCGGCCAGATTGGAACTGATCAATGGGCTCGCCAATTGATGAACATCGCTCAACAAGCTTCACTCCACTGGCCCGGAGTTGTTGTAGGGGGCTGCTGTAAGACTGGGCCAACTCATATTCGCGCCCTCAAAGACATTCAAAATACTTTTATATAGTTGAACTTCAAAGCTATCTTCTGATGCCATATTCCACGCGTGAAGATGCCCGCATCATAAAAAGCCACTTCTCATCATCTGATAATCATCCTACGTAACATCGTCTTGAATTTCATTCCTCAATTTGTACTTCACCGTCGCAATGCAGTTTCGCTTTCCGCTACAAGAGCTCAAATACCATAGGCTCACTCGATTAAAGGTGCAATACCATTGTTTGTTTATGTAGCTTGAATCAAGATGAGCTCCTCACCTGTATCAACAGTTACAGTGACACTAAGTCTTTGACATTTAAATTCCGCAATTGGGAAGTTCAATACAGGCCTTATGGTCTAGTCGTATGATTCTCCCTTTGGGTTGGCATTCTTGGGAGAGGTCTCGGGTTCAATTCCCGATGAGGCCCTGTCTTTTTGGCCCGGGGGGAGAAGGGCCGGCCCATATTGAAGCCTGTTTTCGCGGCGCTACCCGCATTCCAAGTTTCAAATCTCACCAGGGCTTCACAATACATTTTGGGCAAATGGATGACTTCTCTTCCCGATGGCTTGGAAATGTAGACTCAGTTTTGGCATATCGGGACAAAGCAGGTGACGGAGGACTGATTTCAAGTGACCATTGCAGAGCTATGAATTGGTACAAGAGGTAAGACGATAGATATCTTTAACGTTGAAAAGAGAGCTAGAATTGTGAAGCCTTCATTGTGATTTTAAGTTTTGAGCATTGTAGAGCTATCTTATGAATTGTAGTACAAGAAGTAAGACAAAGATAACTTTAACATTGAAAAGAGAGCTAGAATTGTGAAGCCTTCATTTTGATTTGAGTTTTCGTAGATGAAGTGTAAAAATTGATTTAACTAAGCCTTACGTGAAGCTTTCTTTTTTCCCTTCTTTTTAATGACCTTTGCTTTTGAACTTGATTCTTCTTCTTCTTCATCTTCAATCGAGGCTTCAATCGTTTGTTTTAACTTTAAAAATGATTCATCCCCAGGTGGTCTTTCTGATTCTGGAAGTGCAGCAAATTCATTAAGGTATACCGCATCACAAGCCGCAAGAGCGTCTTCAATTTTACCCATATACCAAAGTGCTTGAGCTCTTCTGTACGCAGCTTTACGAAGTGGAGGTGCCATCGGTATAGGAAATACACCCGTCAGACACTCGTCACAGTCATCCAAACAAGCTTGATATTTGCCTACCAATTCAAAAGTTAACAAGGATGATTAGTCGATGAGTTAGTAAATAAGACAATTTTCAATTAGAAACTAAAAAAAGCTGACCTTGAGCAAGATAACAAGCAGCTCTATTCGAGTAAATCGCCCTTCTAGACACTTCTTGTATCGGGTACTGATATGGAATACCGGGGATTGGGCTTTTAACCCTTTGTGAATCAGATAAATCTATCGCATCGCAATATAATTCGACAGCCTTATTGTAATCTTTGGAAACAAAAGCTTCGTTTCCTTTCTTTCTGATCGCATTCACGGCTCTCTCGAATGGTCTGTTCAACGGTAGCTCTTTTCCAATAGGCCAAGGGGGTTGATCCCTAGCATCTTCCCATTTTCCTAAACACCAGGGTTCTTCGGTACAGAATTCAACGGAGTCGTGCAGCTTTTCTGTGCAATCGTCGTCCATGATGAAGTTTGTTGATTGAGTAGTGAAGAGTGTTCGAAGTGTCGAAGATTGGTTCTTTGGTTTCAGGTGAGCACCTAAGATGGTTCGATTGGAAACGTGAAAACCTGTCGAAAAGAAAATTTACTCAAATACAGTTTCAAGTCAGCCCAGGGCGCGAACCTTAACTAAGTCTCTGAACCCTAACACATACATCTGTCATCCCTCTCGGCCGAAGGAGTATTGATTCATGAGTGCTGATCTGGGCTGATTCCAACAAGATAGCTTTGACATCAATTCAGCTTTTCATGATTGAATATATAACGATAAGAGCCTGATGAAATTACTCTACACCAAGCATACGTTAATATCAAAGTCAACATCCAATCAAACCTTCAAACCCACTGTGCCACTGCCATTGTGTATTAGTACATTTGTGTTTTGAAATCATTCATTTCTTTTTATGTATGTACAAGACAAAATTACTCCAAAAAACTTTTGATTCTTAAAGTTGGTTTGTTAATTCTGCATAAGATTGTACATAAATAGAACAAAGTTGAAAAAAAAATTATACATACCATCTGTTTTTTTAATTTTCAGATTTCCTTATCACTTATACCTTAATATAATTTATTGTATATCAATTCATCTTCAAAATATCGATTGAAAAACAAAAAAAAATCAATAATGTCATTAAATTTCTGCAAAATCTTAAACTTGTCTAAGGAAAAACCAAAATTTGATTAAATCCTCCAGACTTGGATGAATTTAGATTTTGTTGATGTTGATGTTGATGTTGATATACTTGCTCATTCTCAACCCCTTTAACATGTTCAAATTCTCTAAAAACCTTCAGTTCTCTAACCCCATCCAAATCCCCACGATCATCCCCACGATCATCTTCATCAAATTCATCAATCCCTCTTAAAATCTCTTCAATCAATCCACCACCATCTTCTTCATCATTCCTTTTTAAAGTATTCTTATTCACTTTTTCAAAAAAAATCACTTTAGGTATTTCAATTAAACCTAAAACAATCGGTATACCAATAATTTCAATCGATCTTTTCATCCCAGGTAATAATTTAAAACTTTCAATTAATCTTTTGCCACTAAAGATCCATTCGTCACTTGGTTTTAATTCATAATTTAATGTTTTCATTTGATTCTGAGATTGATTTTCAATTAAATATGTAATTTTACATTTCTCATATATCTTTAAATGTGGTGGTAAATTATTAGTGATTAAAATTGGTGGTTTCTTTTTGATTGGAAATCGGATTGGGTGAATTGTGGTATGAGTTGAATTCAGATCTGAAGTTTTCTTCATTGATCTTTAATCAAATAATTAGTTTGTAACAATCAGTAAAGAGTAATCAATCGAGCCACAAGTCAAGCTTATATTTCTTCAATACTATAGAGTGAAACAATTTACCTTTCCCATGTGATTTTTAAAGCACAATTATCCGATTGGGATCCGGTTGCAAGTTCGATCACATAACCAATCGAAAGTGCCGAACCAGGTTCTAACTCAAAATAACACACGCATCAGAAACAAACAAATGATAACCCTACCTCAAAGTATAGTAAGACAAAGATGTTTTATCAACGCTCACCAAGTGGAAAAGCATTATCTTCTTCATTCGATGAAATTGAACTAGACAAAACCTTAATCGGAGTGACCACGTTCTAAATTCGAAAAAAAGAATCACATTTCAACCATTAAAGCGAGTTTAAAAATGTCTTTAAAGATTCAATTCATTTCCCAAACACATACCTCACATTGTATCTGAATTTGGTTCAAACTTAACTTAATCAAATCATTCGATTTAATAATCACATTCACCAATACTCGATCCGATTTATCCCAAAGATCAGGTAAACAGCAATCCGAAAGCTTTCGATTGATTGAATTTCGATTCAAATTAAGATATCTTATATCAAATTCACATAAGAATGGATCTTTAACTTGTAATAAGATCGGTTTAATTAATTGACATGATGGAAAAAATGGTAAATCGGTTTCTTCCAAGGTTGAAGTCTCTTCCACTGAGTTGGTCGTAGCTTGAGATTGCTTGATGGCATTGACGGTCAATTTCATGTGCCTGTTACCTGCGAGAGACGGTTGTAGGGTTATGATCTTCTCTATTGATCCACGAGGTTCGAGTGAACATAATGTGTACTCGTTCAAGTTGATCATATTACTCTCTTCATCGATCATCAGGGTATCTTTCTCTATCATCATCATCGTTCATATCAGTGTCCATTAGCCAACATAATCGGTCAAAGAAACATTAGTGAACACTGACCTGAAACAGGATCCCGACATTCGACATCTAATTTGAATACCAAAGTCTCATCTTCTTCATCATTATAAAGCTTGACCTTGATTGACCCTGTTTCATCTAATAATACCAATTCTTCGTTTTCAATCTCAGCTCTAGCAAGTGGAATCTTATCCCGTACCCTATTTAATCATCAATCAAAAAAAAATATCAACCATCAAAAGAAACCATTTATGTTTACAAAAAGCCTATACAACTCACTGACAAAAGGAAGATAAACCTTCAGTAGTTAAATACTTTGATTCATTAGTCTTCTCATCCACTTCATGAACCCATCTAAAGTTTGAATAATCTTGTTGAGGGCTAATAGGTTTAGTCTTCAATTCAAGTATCCAAACATCATGTAGATTTCTTGAAATAAATTTAATGAATTCTAATTTCACTTTACCTACCATCAAAGGTTTAAATTCACCATTAAAAATCATTAAATTAAATTCATTTGTCCAACTTAAATTTCCTTCAAACTTTAATGATTCTTCTGAAATTTCATGAAGATCCAAGTTAATTAAAGGTTTGACTTCTTGAGATTGATGATGGATGATGATTGTTGAAAAGTTACTAAAGTGTAATTCACAAGAAGTGAATGAAAGATGATAACCTGGAAACGGATTTTCTGAATAAATCTTTAATTGAAAATTGATCGTGTCACCTAATTGAGCCGAAGAATTCCAAAACACCACTTCTGATCTTACTGTATCATAAGAATTAAGTCAATTCGTTTTTTTAGTAAGATTTACTTTCCTCTTGAAGGGCATATATAGAAGATGATAGCGTACATACAAGGTGATGTTGAATTGGTCATATCCAATGTAATAAGCCGAGGAGATTCAATAGATCCATTCCCTGGTATCTGAAAACAAAGTAAGTTCAAGAAGATTTCAAAAATCAAATCATCAAACTTACTTGAATCATATCTTGTAACTCATCACAAATCTTAGCCTTGGTTTCAATAGGTACAATCAAACAATTCGAATCAATCAATTCATAACTAATCTCCAGTAATTTTTCAAATCTTTCAAATTCAGGTCGATCATTCTCAAATTTAATTAAAGGATATCCAATTTCAAGTTTAATACTTTCATAAAATCTCATCAAAGCATTATCTAAAATCGGTTTAAATCTTTCTTTTCGATATGTACTCGTAATCCTTTCAAAGAATTTCCCAGCCGTTACATAATCTTGATTATCAAAATGAATCATTGCAATCTTAAAGGCCAAGAATAAAGTCATCCGAATCGAATTAAACCGTTTGAATAACTCATAGGCTTTAGTGAAAAGCTAAAAGATAAACACACAGACAAGCCCATTCAATGAGTTTGAGAAATCATTCGATCATTAAAGGAGTGATAAGAGAAATACTCACACCTATTATTAATTCAGTATGATTGACTTTTCTCTCGTAAGCTAAAGCAGCCGAGCCTTGAAAGGTAGCAGCTTGATCCTTTGATTTAGCAATAGACTTCATCTGTTCCTAAAAAAGTGTTTTCAAAACATCCACATCAAAATTCAAAAGTTGTTGTTTTTCATTCCAAATCAAGAAGAATTTCACTTACTTCAGCAATTTCACTAGCTCTAAACTTATCACGTCTATGTGTAGCACAAACCCCACTTTGATAATAATAAAATCCAGGATGTAACAAAACATTAGCAGGAATCTGAAGATGATCAGACGGATGATTCAATGAAAAGAAATTAACTTCATTAAATGAAGTAGATGGATTAGGTAACAAGTTAGGTAACCTTAACCCATTCCGACAACCACATTCGATCAATTCGGAAAACATTGTATATTGTTTTGATAACCAAGACCAATATTCAAAGGTTTCATCTCCTATACCCCATCCATTACAAAGATCTCTAAATCGATTGACATGTTTACTAAATTGATCCATAGCTCTTGAAGTTTCTTGTGAATAAAAATAAAATTTACAAATCTGAAAGAAGAAAGAAGAAGAAAAAAAATATGACCCAAACATCAACACTTGAAAATCAATTAGCATCTCCATTCTGAGTGATTCAAAATCGCTTACTTTGATATTTATACAATCTATCAATACTTTAGCTTCAGCCCATCGTTTAGTTCTAGGAGGTAAGATCGCAGTACTACTAAACATCCCACTCAAGCCGATCCAACAATCTTCATAAGACTTTAAAGCCACATCATACTCTTGTCTAAACTCAGCAAAAGTAGCCAATTTGAAATCCGATCTAACAATCCAACCTTGTTGACCTAATGAATTCAGAATCGGCTGATTTGATTTAGAATAACTATTATTAAGATTGGATTGATGTACAATCGAATTACTTCGTGATCGTTTCCTTCTGACTTTACGTGAATGTTCTCGATAATAATCTAGGGAAGATTCAAACAATTCAGATTTTAATGTTTTCACAAACGATAAGATTTCCGAATCGATGACTGGTGAAAGAATAAATAAAGAAGATCTTGAATCTAATCCTGATTGTCTTCTAATATAACTTAATCTCATATCTAATGAAGGATGATCTAACATCGTCTTAGATGTTAAGATCACCACTACTAATTTAATTCCTCTTTCAGTGGTCGTCTTTTTCCTTTCAATGATTTCATAAATCAATTGATGATCAAATGATTTTTGTTGTTCAAATTCTTTTGAATCGATTTCATCTGTTCCATTTCCAGATCCATTTAAATTGTTTTCTTTAAATTTAGCCATTGATGAAGGAGGTTCCCATAAAGTTAAAGTCAGTACAAAAACCGATGGAATCATATCCCGATGTTTTCGTATCCAAATAGGTGTCATGATTCCATCTGGATAAAGTGGTGAGTTTGGTGTTAAAGGTGAAAGTGGTGAATGGATCATCGAGCTTGATGGATTGGAATTTGATGAAGGTCTTGCTTTTCTAGGTGGAAATCTAACATTCTATATAAAACATTCCATAGTTTTCTTTGATTAATTTCATCATCAGAAATGAGTATCAAATTCATTTTACCTTGTCTACCATTACTACCCTAAAATCTGGAGGTTTCGAATTTTGATGATAAGTTCTTGGATCCCAAATTTGAATACCTGATTGATTGATAGTAAGAGCATGTCTCAGACTGTTCGATAATGCTTGAAAAGGATCAATTGGTACTGATGAAGGATTTTGAAGGATTGGATTAACATTCTTCACATCTTCAGGAACTGGTGTTGAAGTGATAGGATTAAGACCAGCAAAGAATAATAATGGTAAATGATGTGATAAGAATTCGATGGGTCTGTTTAGTCAAGAAGTCAATGTAAGTTTGAAGTTGCTGATAAGAAGTAGTGAATGAACTTACTGAGTATCCATTTTGATTTCAGATTACTCTTGAATGTTGATTGCTGATCGAGGTGAGAGTCACAGGGAAATTGGAAGTGGTGGTACTCTAAAACTTGATCTATGTATCCTAGGGGTTTAAGTACATAAACTATTTCATCAGCCACATTCTTTTCTTGTCAATCTCATTCTCCTTTGATCAATCAAGGATTAAGGCAACTTCAATGAGCTCTATCTCATCTACAATCTTTCAACTTAAAACTCCTTCAAACTGCACTCACATGAACATCCATCAAATCAAATCATATATATATATCCAAATTACAATTCTCAATGTACTTAACATATAAAAGAAAACCCTCTCCCCAAAACTAACCAAACTTATTCTCTTTCAATCAAATCAAATCATAGAAAAAAACTGTCCCAAAATAATCAATCTAGTATCATCCAAAATCAAAAACCTAAAGCTCATAAAAAGAAAAAAATGACAATACAAAACCTTACAAAGAACAAAAAAAATAGAACTTCACATTTCCAAAAAAAATGAAAGCATGAAAAAACAAATCACGAGTGTTCTTCATTAATTTCTTTCCATCTTTCATCCACCCATTTACCAACCCAATCCAATTTCCTATTCCCTTCTCCCTTTTCTTCTTCTTCTTCTTCATCCTGATTTTCAACCGATTTCTTAAACTTATTAAAATACATTTTACTAATCCAACAATCTTCAGTTGATTTTAAAACTTTTAACTTGAAATTCGATTTCGAAATCTTATACTTTGATTTACCTTCCCATTTACCTAAACTAAGGTTCATTAAATTCTTGGTTCTAAATGATTTGTTTAAGTTTGTTGGATCGATGGTTTCTGTATCGATTTCAGTTTGATAACTTTTTATATAATACTTCAGTGGGTTTGAGCTTTTGGAGATTTCGATCGTTGGATCTTCTGAATTGATTAATTGAATACTTAATGATTTCCTTTCTGGATGCTACATTCCATTACCCCCCGTCCAAAAAAATTAATCAATCAATTTTAATTCACTTTGAATAGAAACTCAAGATCTTAGGAAATATGAGACTTACCCATTCAGCTTTATAAAGTTCTCCATCTTCTATAATCTCATTCACTTCATTTCGATATCCAAATTGATAAAGATCATCATCACTTTCCTCTTCTCTTTCTCTTTCTCTTTCTCTTCTTAATAAATTTAACATTTCTTTATTCCTTGTATCACTATGAAGATGTGAAAACTAAAATTCAAACTGAAATCAGTCAACTAAAACATCCAAAAAAAAACAAAAAAACAAAAAAGGTAAATCATCTACAAAAGGTATTGAAAACACTTACATGTTTTAAAATCGAATTACTTAATTTATCAATCGTTGAAACCAAATAACCAATCTTAGGAAACCCAATCCTAATCAATTCTTCAAACGAATTGATTTCTAATTCACCATCAAACAATCTAGAAATCGAATCTAAAACGAATCCATATAGTTTTTCCGATGGGTTTTGATTTTCATCATCATCTAATCCTAAGATCGGATGACTTAATCCTAATTCGATTCCAATCGGATTGATTCGCTTCCAATTAGGTTCTTGAATTCCGATTTCGATAGCTGTAGTCTTCAATTTCAATAAACGTGAATAAAGTATCTAAATGTATCAAAAAAATGAGAACATGAGAACATGAGAGCATGAGAACATCAGCTTTTAGACTTTTTTCAGTTTTGAAAAACAAAATGAGGTTGTTTCTTGAGGGGGGTATGAACGTACATGAATCAATCGAAATAAGATCACATAAGTAGAAGTTCCAAAAACATAAAAATATCGACCATGATGATTTGATACAGAAGACTCCATCTCTTCATCTCCATCTTCACCTTCAAGTTGAATATCGGCCCATTTCCTTAAAACAGAAAACGTATGATGTTCATCATTCGATTTATTTTCTTCTCCATTCGAATCAAACAAATCAAACCCATTTCTTCTTAAAGGTTGATGATCAAGTGTTGGTACTGAATTAGGTGGTGATGACATCAATGGAGTTTCTAATTCATTGATTCCTAACTTCATTCTATCGATCCTTCCTCTTGCTCCATTCGATTCATTAGTCGAATCAAGTTCTAAAAGTCCTCGGGTTAAACTTTCAATGCCTTTTTTCGAATTCAAATCTCTTTCATTCTCTTGACCATGATTAGAGGATTCGATTCGATTCGGATTGATTTCATCAGTTGTAGATTCACTTGATTCATCATCATAGATCATCGGGATTTGTTTTTCAAGTTCGATTTGTGATATATTCCAAACTGCTGGTATTAAAATCCGAATGGTTTCATCTATTCTTCTACGTTCTGGATGTGAAAGTGCTGATCTATCAAGTGACATTGCAATGATCTTCAGCACATCAAAAAATACATCTAAATCTTGAAATCCTAGTTCAACTTGATGTGATGGTCTCATGGGTGGAATCTTCATGACTTCTGGTTCAGGAATCGTAGAATAAAGTGCATGAGATGGGTTCGGTTTCGGTTTTGAAGTCGTTTTGTTTTTGACCGACTTCTTATCAATTTTAGGTCGATCATTCAAAGGTTTTTGAATCACCGAAGGATTGGGTTCATCAGCTAAGACCACATCAATCACTAAACATTCCTTTTTCTCTTTGAATTCTTCAATCTCTTTAATAAACTGATGACCTTTAATTAAACTTTTCTCATTAGATTTAAAACTTAAAACTTGATGATCTTGAGCTTTATAATAATTTTTCCTTTCAACTTCTCTCCAAATCAAATTCCATTGAGATTCAGCAGATTTCCAATTTAATTCGATTTCTTTTAATCTTTTTAATACAATCGAAACCGAATTAGCTGGATAATCTCTTAAGAGTGGAAAGATTTGATTTAAATATTTCGATTCATAAACTTTTTTCAAGGTACGATTATAAATCGATGGACTGATCCCTCCTAAATTCTCTCCTAATTGAAAATTTAATCTTTCCTTTTCATCCATCGAATCAATTCGAGTTTGTAATGATTCTAAATGTCCAATCGTTCTACTCATCGATTCTGACCAATATGAAAAATGAGCTCGTTCTCCTTCAGTCATCGCAATCACTTCTTCAAAATTCGTTTTCCGATGTCCTGGTCCACCTGATTCAGTTCCAAACTTAGCCGCTCCAAAGTATTCATCATTCAAGACACTCCAACATAATTCATCTCGACCTGAACATGCTAAATCGATTTCACACTTTGGTAATCGTTTATAACTTGGTCCATATTCTCTTTGAATGATGGATGCATCTACCTTTTCTCTCTCTCTTACATCTAGATTTTTAATTTCCCATACTTCATCTTCTACTAACCCATCCTTCTTGACATCATATCCCACAAACCCTTTAAAATCGTCTAACAATTCATCATTATCTCCAATATAAACTGATACTCTATCCACAAGTGTTTTAAAATCAATAATCGTTTGATTATAAAGTTCCAAGACTCGTAAGAACTCGTGCCAAACTTCTGTATCATTCAAATATTTCTTGATTGATTCAAACAGAATCAATTCTTTCGTGTTCGTCAGTGTACGTCCACCCATAGCATCATGAGTCTCAAGTCGATGAGTGTGCCACAAATAATTATCTGGTAATATTTCTTCTGTGGTGATCTGATGATGCGATCGAGATGAAACTCGTTTGTCGTGATGTTGAAGATGATCATCGACACTTGTATCAGCTGATTTGTGTAGGTGATGTTGAGAAGCTGTACGAAATGGAGTCGTATGTGGGTTTGGTTCATGATGGGTTGATTGGGTTGAGACTTTGGTGACTGGATCAATCATTTCTTGATATTTGTTACGAGACCGATTTGCCTTGGTTCCACTCATTTTACTAGCTACCGTATCAAGTTGACTTGGTGGTGTGGAGTCTAGTGGCCCTCCAACTGAAAGATGATGATCATTTATAATCTTCTTCTTCTTGTTCAATGGTCCGGATTCTTTTGAATGGTCAGCTGTTTCGTCAGCTTCTGTGTTGTGGGAAGACGCGAGTGGTCGTTTATTGGAGGGCGATGTCGTAGGAAGAAAGGTCTTTGAGGGCCCGGTACCATTGATGGGATTTTTTGGATGGACTGGAACACCCAATGGCCTGGCTGATGAGGTGTGAGTGGTAGGCAAATCAGCGATCTCAGGTCTAACCACCAGGGGAGCATTTGTAGTATTCCTGATATTCATCTCAGCAGTCTTATTGAGCGTAGGCGCTAAAGCATCAGAAAGTAAAGATACCCCACTCATCACCCGTGTCCCAGGCGAAGGTGTATGTCGTCGTAGATCACTAGCCAAATCAGAATTTGCAAATGGTTTGCTCAATCGATCATCGATCAACATCGAATGAGGAGTTTGAGAAGTTGACATCAAGGTTGATTGAGATGGCTTTGGTACAGGTGCTTGAGCTTTCAACATTGTCACTCCACTCGCTCCATTCTCGTTATTTGGATCAGGTAAGAATTGTTTAAACTCATCGAGTAAATCAGTAGCTTCAGCAAACAGCTTGGTCACTTGTACATAGACCTATTAACAAACAAAATTGAAAAGGATTAATTCAGATCACAGCGTTTCATAGATCTTGATGATAGAGGAGAAGTATTTACCACATCAATCGGCATTCCATCTCGCTGATAGGTTTGTAAGATTTCCAAAAATGTTTTATAGATTTCGGGTTGATCTATAAATCGATGTTTGATCTTGTTCACATAATTAATAGCATAATTGAATTCGACCGGTTTGTTATTGATACTGTTAGCTTGAGGGGGATTTGCAACGGTTACCACTGGTGTTGGGGTTCTAGTGATAGCAGGTTGATTTGAATGAGATCGGATAGGTTCAGCTACTAACTCGGGAGCTAATAACATTTGATGATGATTGGAAGTTGAATCTAGAGCTTTTAGATCGGGAGCAACTGGAAGTTTAGAGTTGGAAGTTGGATTTGAATTCGAATAGAGATTGTGAGTAGAGTGGCTCGGTAGCGAAGTTGATGAAGAGGCGGTGGTATTGGGTCGATAAGGAATAGCGGCGCTGTGAGTGATGGCTAAATGAGGAAGAGGTCAGAATATGATGATAGAGATTAAAAGAAAGGAGATCTGAAGACGTACTATTAGCGGTAGGATTGGTATTTGTGGTTTTGTTGGAATTGGTTTGATTTAGATTAGCTGTTATAAGAGGATCAGTCAGTTTAGATTGACCTTCATCGTGATTGAGAGAAGATTTCGAATTCATGTTTGTGGATGTAGTAGGAGTGGTTGATGAAGAGGTAGAATGATTGTTGATCTGTTTATGTTTTGAAGGATGAGATGGAGGTAAAGGAGGTTGAGGTGGTTGAGTAAGATCCTGAATTGTAGTTTGATGTTGGGCATAAGATGTTGAATTAATTGAAGTTGAAGTTGAGCCAGTTTCAGGACTATCTTTAATTTCGATCCAACCCATTGGAGTTAAAGTATTTTCGATTCGATCCTTGATGATGATTGCATGAGATCCATCTCTAGGAAAAAGAGAAGTTTTATTGGTGATTGGATTTGGAGTGAGAACGGTGACGAGATCAGCTAATTCTGGATTTGAATCATGATCGATTCTTTTAAGTAAAGTACATTCGATACGAAAACCAGAAGGTAAGAAAGTATTAAAACCTTGAATCAAACTAGGATAACCTCTAAAAAGAGATGAAACTCTTTCAATAACACCAGGTGTATCAATAGATTGAGTTTTAAATAATTTCATCACATCTAAGAATTGATTATAAACTTCATTTTGATCTTGAAATCGAATCTTAACTTGATCAAGATAACTAAGAGCATCTCTAACGTTCAAAGTACGATATGAAGAAGTGACGACTGTACTATCTGAATTAGGAATCGAAGTTGAAGTTGATGGATTTGGAGAGTGAGTTTTGGTTGGATTGTTGTTGGTTGACAGTGAGTCATCTATTGAGGAATCCATCATGATAGGTTTGGTGTTGATAGATTGATTTCTTTTTAACTAACTATGGAATTGTAACTTGGAAGTGTTTGATTTGTTATTGAGACTCATTTGATTTGATGGTAAACTAGTTCGATTTGGATGGTATTTGATTTTTGATTTGATGATATGATGGTAGTTGCTTGATGGTGATGGTGATGGTGATGGTGATGGTGTTTGATGGTGATGGTTAATGGTTGGTGGTTAATGGTTAAAATGGTGTTTGTTGTAGAAATGTAAGATGATGTATGCGCTTGTTGTACAGGGTTGTATGATAGGGTTTCGATTTCGAATTGACTTTTCTTGTTTGAAACTGTCTCATTCCATTCTCGTCGATTCAAAACTTGAACCATTCTCGAATCCTAATCGATCCTACTCAATCAATCCATTCCAATCCATTCCATATCGACAAAATGACAATGATAGAGGTTGGTGGAATGTTCTTCAGTTCGACTGGCTTTTAGAATCGAATATCATTAACCATATCGATTTCTTTTGTTCTTATCTCTAGGTAATTGTTAATGATCGATTAGGGACAAAAGGTAAATCAAATTCAAAAAGTCATTTCTTGAAAACCTACTTTAGAAAAACTCATTGATCAATCGGTTTCTTTTTCTTTTATAAACAAAATGTTATTGAAATCAAAGTAAGAGTTAAATGCGAGTAAGTAACCCCTCAACTTTTTCTACCAAAAAAAACCAAGCCAAACGGGGGTTTTCCGATTTCTGATCTATCAATATCATCTTGAATCTCCTTGACGTTTTCTTTCTTTGTTTACAGCTCTGAAGATACAATAGGTGAATTTAAAATTTTGGTTTCTGCTCAAACTGGAACAGCTGCATCTAAGGTCAGTTTTTAAAAATACAAACATCTTTGAGTGCTTTGGTAAAAGAAAGATTTGATTTGATTTTTCAATGTTCTGCTTAGATTCGACTCTTTAAATGGTAAAAACGCTCAATCCTCTCGAGCCTTGCTTATAATCCTCACTGATTTTGTGGTTCTATGGTTTTTATGATATGGTAATCATAGGTATAAAGAATTTAAAGATCATATCACTTTAGCTGATTATGAAATTCATGATGGGTTAGTAGACTATTTCAATGCCTTCTTTACCAAAAGAAAACTCATCATCATGATTTGCTTTTTATATGTTCGTTCTGTAGAATGAGTATCGAATTACAATAATAAAATGTACCACCAAGATTTTAGCCAATCCATTTGGAAAGTATATATATACATAACTTGATTTGTAAAAGGTTTGAAGTAAAAGGTGTGTTTACTCTGTTGTGGAATTGGGTATCAATGAATAAATATGTATATCTGGAGATGTGGAAGTTTTTAAATATGATGATTGTTTGTTATTTTGTTTTTTGTAAAATGAGATTGGCTCGGTGGCAAAGTTGAATAAAATTTTAAAAATTAGTTCCATTGACCGTAGAATTGTAGTCACCTTTACTCTCTGAGCTCTGGCACCTCGTTCTCACTTAAAATTCGTCAGATTCTGACCATAGCTTTTGAAAGGTAACCACGATTCTTGATGGTAAAGGACCTTTGAAGGAGTTGATTGTCAATCTTTCTGAGAGTTCGGAAGTGATCAACACAATCACTCGAGTTGTTTTGATATTTTCTGTGCTTATGAATCTGAGCAAAACGCACCGTCGTCAAGGAGTAGAATCCCTGAACATTTGAGGTGAAGGTGTGAAGCCCTAGTATAACAATAGTCGACTTTTGAATTCCCATTGTTCCCTTAACCGAAAGACTTTTCGAGGAAAATCCACCTATCTGGGAAACTCCACGATATTGCTACAACTTTCAACATTGCACAGCGAGGTGAATTGGAGACATCGAACGTATAAGCTACCGCAACAAGTTGTTCAAGGTGACCTAAATCCTTCGGTTGATTGACCTCTGCAAACAACACACCTTCGCACACGCACAGTTGATAGAAAGTTCTTTATCGCTGCCGATGTAGAACATAACATTGGTTGTAAGCCTATCAGCTCTCTTCTACGCCATCTGATCGGGCTCATGACTGAGTTTTTAGAGTGAACCTGAAGATATAAAAAGGGCACCTGCTACCGTGTTTTTGTCAACTCCTTCCACCTCATCATCCAATCATCCAATCAAATCCATCACATCAAAAACATTTTATACAAAATAATTCTTTGTAAACTCAATCACAAAAAAATCTTCACTATGAACTCTGCTATCATTATCTTATCTATCTTGGTCTCCTTACAAATTATTCTGGGTTTACCTACTACTACCTTAATTCATCGATCTGAACAATTAGCTAGCTCTAAGCAGATTCATGAAAAATGTTTTGGTCAGATTAGTCCTACTGGTTATCTACCTGGTTTTCTTCCTAATAATCTAGGAGGTGTTCATATTCCATTTACTCAAGAATTTTACTACTCTATCAACAACAATTACGGTTATAGCACTTGTAACTCTTATCCCAACAACATTCAATCTTTCGGTAACTGTGCTACTATTGGTGCTTGTCATGAGGCTTATACTGGCTACACTAACCTTTTGAGCGGTGTTGGTAATCTAGCTGGTGGTCTTTTGAACACTGTTGGTGGTGTGGTGGGAAATCTCGGAAACACTGTTGGTGGTGTGGTGGGAGCTGTTGGGAACACGGTGGGAGGTGTGGTGGGAGCTGTGACTGGTTTGGTGGGAGGTGTGCTTGGTCTACTTTCGGATAAGGAACTCAAGGAGGTAAGTCTTTTAGCTGTACTTTATCCCCTCCTCACACTCACTTCTCAAGAACCCTTTACTGATTTTCTCTTTGTATCTCTTTTCTAGAACACCAAGCAAGTTTAAATCCTCAACTCGTGAAATTACAAAAATGTCCATAGATCCTTCTTCTGCTTCTCATCATAATAGAATTTTCTTTCAACCAGAATTTGATCATTGGACATGTTCACATTTTACATAATCTATATCCTAGCACACTTTTCCTTTTTTTAATTCAGTCTCTCTAATCCTCTTCCCTAATTGTTTTATGCCCTCAACTCGAATCCAATGTGTATAACTCAAAGACCTGCTTTTTTTCTACTCAATAGATGTTCTCAAAATTTCATTATGTATCAGATTATGCTTTATAGAATTTAACACCCTATGTATCAAATTTTTGCTTTATTCACTTTTACACCTTCAAACTGAGCCTGTGAGTTAAAAATTCTTCATGCCACACTGTTTCCATCAGATGAAACATACTCTCAACCTCTAATGCACAAATGCGAGCACCAGAGTTGTGTGAGACACGATCAAATTATCTTGATCCCAAGAACTTGAAGTCCATCTAAGATATTATGACACCTTCAGCCAGGCGATCAAAGGATTTCAAATGCTTTTGAGGCGAAAATCAAAACATCACAAAGACTGAAGTTATTTTTTTTTTCAATCTTTTGTTCATATTCAACTTTTTGGACTGCAAGGATTCAATCATCAAAGCTCGGATGATCCGCGATTCCTGTAGGATATGCTATATTGATCATATGTAGCACTGATCATGAAATCCATGCTGAGATAGATTAAACTTGTCTCTTTGAATAGTATTTGTCAAAATCTTCATTTTCACTTATTTTATAGAATGAGTTTCAGATCACGATAAGGAGATGCAACAAAGAGTTTAACAGAATTTAACCAGTCAATTCTCAAGATATACACTGCTTGATCTGCAAAAGGTTTGCAAAATACTTGTTCACCTGACGTGGACAGAGTTATCCACACATTATTCCCTCTGTTCACAGCTAGTCATCGAAGACACTTTATCTTTCTCACTTGATCCTAGCAGACCAGCATAAACGCTAAACCCGCATCATATTTCCCTATCAATCAATGTTGACCTTATGTGACTTTCCGGTGGATTCTATGTAACAGTCAGACCAACTTGTCAAGATGGGTAAAAAGGAAGATTGTATAGATATGGATGTTCATCAAACAGGTAACTAATCACAAAGAAAAGCAATTCTTTAAGCAGCTAAAACCAAAAAAGAGGAAGATGCGTCCAAAAGTCTAGATATATATATACCATGTGATACGTATCTGTAAAAAGGAAAAGATATTTATCACACCGTTGGTTTTCGGTTTCTATGATCGGTTTCTCTTCAGCGGAGAAGTTGATGAGGAGGTTATATGAGTGTAGGGTTGAGGTTTAGAAGAATAACCCATGTGAAGTGAGTCTGTTGGGGTTGCTTGGGAAGAGGACTTATTTGCTGCCGGAGTATCGAGCTTTCCGCTAGAAAGAACAAGATTGTAGTAGTCAACTAAAGCATGCAAGCATGATAGAATGGATGGAGAGTATTTCAAAGTGGCGGGGACAATCTTATAGATAGGGAGTGATAGACAAACCATATAGTCCCATGGCACGTATTTGTATCGTCGCATATGTGCAATTTGTCGTCTCATCGTGATGGAGAAGAGAACGAAAAAGTAAACAAGTAGGATCGCTGAAGAGGAACATTGAAATCAGTTTCAAATCCTCTGTGCATCAGATTGCTTGTTCAATGACGGCGGAGATAGTGCTTACGCCAAAAGACCGGGACATCGGTAAATTCAAAGAGAGTAGCAATCAATGAAAATAGAGTAGCTCGAGTGGCTGAATGCCTATTGTGACATTCAATTGTCGATTCCCAAGAGATTTTTCCAAGCGATCAGTACATTCTCTATTCAAACCTATTCACTGTTCAAGTCTTGAAGGCACGAACCAAAACTTAAATTCTGGTAAACGCCTGATGAAAGGTTTAAATTCTTCATCTGTTCCACCATTCGTGTTGCCAAGGAGTCCATCAGATGGACCTCCAGCTTCTACTTCGTTTTCAGCCTGATCTTGCTCAAGTGATGGATCGAATTTGGGTTGTAAGAATGCCAAGAAAAGGTTTAAGAGATAGATCCCAACTAGAATTTCGAGAGTTGAGCGCCCAGGTGTTAAAAAGTCGCAATTCGAGTCATTATTTTGAAAATGAAGATAACATTTGTCAAAGACAAGATACATGGAAGTTTCGACATACGGGCATAGGTGACAATATACCATCCTTGTGACAAGAGTATCCTAAGCATGAAAAGAAAGATCAATCCGATTGTGCCTGCCCAACGATAAGTTGTATAAGGAGTCAACCGGTCGAGCTGTGACTGATAGGTCTTTGAGTCCGTCAAGATCGTGAAAAGCATAGAGATAAAGCCAAGTGGTCTGATTAGCTTGACATTCAAGATCATAATTCCGTTTAAGATTGAACAGGATGATAAAGACTGATTGTATGCGGATAAGCTTGATGTGAGAAAAAGGAAATGAATGAAAGTAAAAATCTAACTTGTTCGAATTCTCTGTACTTCTTTGTAAACGCAGTAGGTGAAGATTCATCATCATCTCCAAATTGACCATCAGCTCTCATCATCTTGAGACTGTTAAGTTGATTTGATTTCGATGTGATTGGTGAGTTGATTAGTTGGTTTTGATAATAAGTTTGATTGGTAAAGAAAGAAAGAAATCCAAAGTTGGATGTTCTGATTTCTTCAACTCTAACTTCAATGTTAATTTCGGTGACATGTCTCAAAGTGACCGTGGAAGTAACATACTTGATACATAGTTGACATGGACACCGATCACCACGTTTCACATGAGATCCTTATCTTTCACGGCGGAATTCACTACCACTGCGACTCGCTACTCGCTACCAGAGCCAACACTAGCCAACATTGCCTTCATTTTTCTTAGTTCGCTTGATTTGCATTATGGAAGGTTTAAATATGAAATTTGAATGTCATGAATCTTTCCCAAAATACGGGAGGGCTGGAGAACCACCCATTTTGATTTTTGTCAAAATAAAACCATTTTTGAACTCATTCTTGTCCGATAAAGCTGATTGCCTGGGAACTTGGGAAGGGATATGGCCCCTGAGCAACTGGCCCTACGGATTTTTCAACTTTGCTGCTGTGTACTAGACTCAGAGTAAGCGCTCTCACCTACTCGATAATCTCATTTAAAACCACCCTCACAGCCAATCTGGACCACCACACATGAACGCAAGCAATTGATATGTGGTCTTTCGAGGCTAAAAATCCGTAGACTCATAACCACTTGACTCACAAAGATATGTGGAATAAGAAAATTTCTGCTTATGATAAGAAATTCTTTGTCTTAAGTATGCCTGTTCTACCCAACTCTCATATTACTACACTTTCACCAAGCTTCCTTCTGAACTTCTTACTTACTCATCTTCACTAATAGTCTCTTGGCATTTTACATGTCAGACTTACTTCTGCATTGTCCAAGCAATCTCTGGCCTTTCTTTCTGCTTTTCATAAAGAATGAAACCATTTACACAATCTTAAAACAATTCTGTCCCAAATCACAGTGTTTACCCCACTATATATGATGAGCATACCCGTCCTCAAAATTAACAATGAATGTTTCATGTGATTTGTGTTGTTGAGCTTGACTGAATGGAAATAAAACCATGGATCAGCACTTAGAAATCTTTGACCACAATCCAGACCAATACATGAAGCTTTTTGATAAAGTTACCAAAATTTCTCATATTGCATTACATGATTAGTCCTTGAGTACTTGACATATGTTTAAAGTTTCTCAACATCTGGTAGAAAGAAAGAATGAAGGATATGGAGAAACCACTTGAAATCACTCTAAGCTTTCATGTTTTGACAATTTGAATTTTTTATGAAAGACATACCTATATGTTTTAGCATGGCCTGTCCTCTGTTTTAGGGATCCATAGAGATATTCTTCATGATCTTGATGAGACAATTTCATCTGCGCCTCACTCAATTGACATCATGGAAGCTGATGTTTAACCAAATTGTTTTCAATTATGTGCAAGGTTTCTGGCTGCTAGAAAAATATCTCTTTGAACAAATCAAAGAAAATCCCTCTTCAGTCACACGTGCATATGTGTCAAGGAAACCATCTTCATTGCAGACAAGAATTTTGTAAAAGTTTCCAAAGGCCAGCTCCATGGGGGGTCTCGATCAGTCCTCATCCCGGGGCCCCTCGGGGCCACTCGGGGCTGTGTGAATGCTTGTTTTGCTGAGGATGATGTCATGTCGTGCTGAATTTCTGAAGGTTTTCAGATGATGAAATGCAGGGAGGCGAGCACTGCTTCCAACATCGCTCCAAGGTGGAAGACCGCAAACGATCGCGTTATTTTTGCGGAAGTCGAACCAAAATCAGTTCTATAAAAAGCCCGATTCGATAGACCATTGTATCACTATTCCTACTTGGTACACGCGTCCTGGTTCTCCGTTCATCTGGATCTCTAAAGTCGCTCACGAAACACATGAGTAGGATGGCCAAATCTGTCACGATTGCGTTGTTTCGGAACGATCTACGAGTTCACGACAATCCAATTATATTTCATGCACACTCATCATCTCAAAAAGGTGTTGACAAGACTCGAGTTCAACGACCTTCGGATTATTACTTACCAATCTACGTCTTCGATGAAAGAATGGTGGAGCTCTCCGGTTTGCCAGGGTATCAACGCGAAGGATCGGAAGCTCGAACCGGGGTGTGTGGGTTTTGGAGGACAGGATGTCATCGTTTGAAGTATGTCATTCGATTATCCATCTTCAGATCTTGACTATGATTCGATGTCGAAAATAACGAACCCTGCCTCATATTGCTCTTCAGGTTCTTGTGCGAATCTGTATACGAACTTCAGCATCAACTGAAGCAGCGTGGAAGTGATCTGGTCATTCGGTTCGGTTCCATAGAAAAGGTCACTCTTAGCATCATTCAAGCTCTACAGGACACGGATGTCAAAGTCGATCAAATTCTGATTAACAAAGAATACGCCTCTGAAGAGATTGAGACGGAGGTCAAGATAGACGAAGCACTCAAGAGCTTCAAGATTTCTGTTCCTCTACTTTTTTTCCATACGAGGTCATTAGGTGAGGTGATGGAATACAGACCGATAACAGACAGGCTTTGCCTATCAACTATACTGACAACAAATCCGTGTCTCTACCTGGCTTGTGCGAGTAGTACATCCGGAAGACCTACCGTTTTTACCTTCAAAGACACCAGATGTGTACACTCCATTTCGAAAACACATAGAGTCTTTACCGGAGCAGAAGCTATGTAGACCTCTGTTACCCTGTCCTGATCGTCTGATTGGTATGCCTCCGTTGAAGGAGATAGCTCCTCAGCGCGGCAACTCGGGATCAAGCTATGACACCATGAAGATGGATAATATCTTGGAAAGCTTAATGAAACCGCTCTTGCAATGTCCGGATCTCGCTTGCCCAGCGTTCCCTAAGCTCTCGAGCTATAATTTCGACGATAGATCTGCATTTCCTTACAAAGGTGGAGAATCAGAGGGCCTTCGTAGGATCAATGACTACTTTTATACGGGAAACCCCGCTCCAGTTCGAAGTTACAAAGACACGCGTAATGGGCTCCTTGGACAGAGCTATAGCACGAAGTTCTCTCCATTCCTTGCTCATGGTTGCTTGTCGCCTAGAAAGATAATCCTCGAACTACGAGAACACGAGAAAAAATTTGGAGCCAATAAAGATACCTATTGGGTTCTCTTTGAATTGTTATGGAGAGACTATTTTGTTTTTATCACGCAAAAGTTAGTCCCACAAATTCTTAACGCGTGACCAAAAAGCAGATGTTGATTTTGCGCATCGAGATTTTTACTGACGATATTTATCAACCCTGGTCAGGTATGGCACAGCACTATTCAAACTAGGAGGATTCGAGGGCGTCTTGAATCCCAAAGCAGCTTCTCAAAAGATTCATCAGTGGAAGCCTTTCCAAAATCTCAAGATGAATCAAAACCAACAGGGATCTCGAGCCATCAATCAAGCTGCATCCAGATGGCTGAAGGCTGAAACCGGAATCCCATTCTTAGATGCCAACATGGCCGAGCTTCGATTGACTGGATTCATGAGTAATCGAGGCCGACAAAATGTTGCATCTTTCTTGACTAAAGACTTGTACGTCGATTGGAGGATCGGGGCTGAGTTTTTCGAATCTCAATTGTTGGACTACGACCCTAGCTCCAACTATGGAAATTGGCAATACGGTAAGAACTCGTGTTCCTTGAGGCTCCGTATACATGGTTTAAAGACTCCTTTCCGTCAGTAAGCCACTGATCCTTTTTGGTTTCTTCACCAATGTATTCTCCCAAAAAACAGTTGCAGGAGTCGGGAATGATCCAAGGGCATCACGGCAGTTCAATCCGATCAAACAGGCTAAAGATTATGATGCAAAGGGAGAATATGTCCGGTGCTGGCTTCCTGAGCTAGCTAAGGTCCCACAGAAGAGCATACACAGTTTAGTCATATCATTTGAATTTTTCAAATATTGTATGGCGAGGTTATCTTGATCGAAAACTGATGCTTTGATTCATATGCGACTGATCTTCTCAGATCCTTGGCTACTGACTTCGAAACAGTGGGAAGAAAGTGTAGGAGAAAATCAGAGAAGACCGGAAGGTTATCCTCATCGCCCTATGCTTGAGCAACAAGCATGGAAGAAGCACTATCAGCGCCCATAACTGTTTTTGAATGAACAAAAGACTCTTTGAGATGAAAGTCAACTACGGCCAAGTTTTTTTCGCGGTGTATTCAACTTCGTAGTAATGTTTGAAGATAACGTTGTTACCTGCATGCATGTGATAAACAGTAACACCACTGGTTGCGCAGTGTCAGAATTACGTTATCTAAACATTTTTACTTTTAAACAGACTGCTTATTTTCGTTTCTCTTTATCGATGTGTATCATATCTGATGCGTATGCTGTAGCTATATCTCAACAATCACAATTTGCCGCCATGAATCAATTCAATTCTGATTGACCAAGGTACATCTGGAAACTATTCGAAAACCCCGTGCAGTGAATGAAAAAGGTCAAGGAAGTATTGACAGTCATACTTTAGGTAAACATAAGTTCGGCAGCTCCAATACAAGCGGTCGTAAAGTGTGTAATCTCAGGCCTATGAACCCCAAATTACTGGAGATCTTGACCTTGGCTCACATAATGATTTCGAATATAGGTAGCTCCGACTTTAAAAAGGGCCGACCAATCATTTTTGAAGTAAGACTAAGGTATCTGTAGTAGTGTTTCATGAGGTTTGGTTTTTTCGACCAGCTTGGAGTCTCTCCACTGTCTCCGCCTGAAAATCGGAGAGATGACTTCGTAGCTCGGATGAGGGCAATTTACTGTGATTGGCCAAAGTGACTAGGGTGTGATAGACCTGAAAGAAACTCGTCAGGCAAGAGCGTAGTATTATACGATACAGATTCTTCTGGACTGACGTCTAAGATCACTTTGCGTCGCATCAAGATGGCAGAAGTCTCACTGTCCTGGTCAGCTTTCTGGTCTAGAGAGACCATCATTCCCATCACTTCTCGTGCTTTGCTGACAACGTCTTTGGGCAGTGAGGCAATGGAAGCCAACTCGATTCCTTTAAGTAGAGCAATTCGAACTAGTTCAATCTTCGTACGGTCAGGATACAGTTATGAGAAAGGAGGTATTACCGTATCCAGCTTGCTTGGTCGGGCCTCTGTTTTTTTGTTTTCATCAAGATATACGTGATTAGAACAGGGTTCCTTTATCACCGATTCTTGAGAGCTTATAAAAGGAGCACTCAACTCTAATACTCGGTGTTGGAAATCAAGTCCAAGAGCCATTTCTTGTCGGCGTATGTGCGTCTCCAAGTGCAAAAAAACTACATTGGGATACACTCCCTGTAGAGGAGAATTTGTAAGCCCAGTTTATCAAAATCTCCATAGAAAAGCTGAGACTCGCCAGCGTGGTTATTAACTCCTGCAAATTTTGAGGCAAACTCATCTCAGAACATGGATTTGAGCAGGGATCTTGAAATGAACCTCAAAGTAAAAAGGTCTTAACTCTGAAGTGCGTGGCAAAGAAACAGAAAGCCTTCTTCTGGATAATATCTTCGCTGAATGCATGTGCCAGACCAATCCCTTCAAGCGGCGAAGTTCCTCTTCCCAGTTCATCGATAATAACCAAAGCATTTTCACAAACTGACAAGGCCGAAAGTATGCTTGACATCCTGAGACAGATCCCATCGAGCATGACAAAGTGTTTCTAAATCGTGTGTAGACTGTGTATATGTTACTTACGTTCTCATTTCTGATGCAAAGGTTGAAAGACTAGCTTCTAGGTCGTCGTTCTTAGATAAACAAGTCAATATGGCATCGTGTATGCGAAATGACGCGTAGTTCGCCGGACAAAATGAGCCAATCTGAGGTGAAAGAGATGTCTCATAAACTTACAGCAAGCTGAAGACAGCTCTTGCAAACTCACTTGAGCCATGATGACGAGTAGAGGAATTTGGCGCAAGAATATCGATTTACCACTCATGTCTTCAGGTTTACCAGAGTTTGAAGGTTGAACGCAAGATTAATCTTGGATGCAGGGATCAGCTAGCAATTATCAAATCAAGGACCAGCTCACTGGGACCCGTGACCAATTGAAATGAACAAGTTTCGCTTGCAAAGGTGTCGCTATAGTCCAGGATGAAAGTATGAGAAGAGATAGATAGTTTTTTGGGGAATCAAAGTACATACTTGGGAGTGAACTCAAGAAATTCGGAATCAAGACGTTCTTTTATTGGATGTCTTCCTGCAGATATTGCAAGTGTATCTGTGAACTCTGGTCGAACTAGAGATTTGGTTTGTTCAAGAATATGGTAGATTCATCTGGCTATGTTGCACCAAGTAGTAAAATGTGAGTACTGACCATATTGTTGAGTAGATGCCACACTAGCAAAGCTAGATGTCCAAGCCCAGAATGAAAGATCATTGATCAGCGCTCATGATAGTAGTGTACGTAGATATCATTCTGCATCGCTGTCGAAGTACCTAGCTAGGGTGTCGATGAGAGCAAGCGCCTCCGAAAGCCGAAAAAAAGATGATAGGCGCTCCTTCACTTGCTCTACGATTTGTTCCAACAATCTGTAGGACACTGCGATCAGGAACTCATTCTACGTCCATGTGGTTCACGCTCCTTGAGTTCTAAAACTGACCCGACGCTAAAAGACAATTTTCAGAGTTATTTATAAGTTAACCTGACTAAAGTGCTTACCTCAGCAAACATATTTCTTGGTAAGAATTCGCAATCAACTGGTTCTTCTTTTTCTGAACAACATAAATCTTCACTCATGTGATCTGATCATGGAGATGTGCTCAATAAAGTTCTTACGAGTTCCAGACAAGAGAATTGCAGTGTCTTCCCTCTCTTCACCTGAGCTCATTCGTTCAAAATTTTCATTCAATTGATTTGTGAAGTTGACCAAAGGTAAAAACAGCGGCCCTTACCACGTTCGTGAATACAGTTGGGAGGCCTTGCGGTCCAAAACCCGAGTCGTTGCTTGTAGCCCTCAAATCGTCTTTGCTCAAAGAAAGTATAAAACCGGCCCTGTTTTCGAATTTCAACCCAAGGGTAGGGAGGTGAAAGGTTGAACGCAGCTCTTCCTGTAAAGCAATTGCGTCTGATATATTTTCCTTGTACATTTCTCGACTAAGAGATTACCTAAGCATTGTAAACATTATCAAGATCCAGGAAGGAAAACCATTAATTAGACTTACGCAACATCCAATAGTTGATTGTTGTCGTCCGTTTTGATAGCGTATGCATGAATATTTTGCTTTGCCATACCCCCCTTTTGAATCCCAATGAAGGAATCTTCGTTCACGGTCTTGCGAATCACTTCAGATATCTCCTCCAGTGCCGGATCCCGCAAGAACTCTGATGCCAAGATCAACAGTTTGCTGGAACATGGCGAAAGAGCTTCACAAATTGCACCCAAAGAATCTAATAATATCCTCAAGGAACGCAGCATCTCTAACTTTCGGGTGATTGCAATGGAAGGATCTTGAAAACTGGATATACCATGTCTCCCTTGTCGCCTACTTGAACCGGATACGGTCCCTGAACGGTCTTCCGAAGCTATACTGGTACTTCGACTCGTTCTGAATAAAGCCACAGTGCCTATCATCTTATCGACATCCATCTGAGCTAGTCTAATTGGGAAAGGATACCGCACTCCAGTGAGCACTCAGGTTACACGACTTAAGAATCATGTCGTGGAGGATTAGCGGTACCGCACCGCTTGAGTGCCTTTCGGAGAGAGACAAATATATCTTCTTGATCTACCAATTCTTGAACCGCGTCCAATCTGGTTTCGATGGTTTCGACGTCAGTCAATGGCGCAAGTATGTTACTTCGTAGCTGAAGATATGAAGAATCAAGTTTTACACATCAGACGTCATATAGGTGCAAAATCCATGTATTGACTTTGGGGTTAATTACCAAACGGCTAGCCATGGGTGTGAAGGTATGGTTGAGCAGGCCAAACAGGCTATGTCTGGATTTGCTGCTCACTGCCTATTGAATGCCCAGTCAAGAAAATCAGAACCTTTTGTCTACTTTAAGCTTGAGAACGGGATCTGAGACGATATTAAACCAACATTAGTGATGAGCTCCAGATCGACTGCGGTATTCTTGTCTATCAGCATTGAACCTTCGATGCTGATCCATTCAATATTTAAACAGCCTTTACTCCAGCCGAGATGTCCCGTTTGGCCAGCTTGATCTTGCATCCAGTCGATCAATGCCGAGGCCGCTCCAAGCGCATAATACTTAGGACGTACTTCTGATATGGTCGCCGTGCTCTGTGCACCAGGCGAACCCAAATCGATTAGTAGTGATAGACCTCTCTCTGATGAAAATGAAGACCGCGGTAGTGAGGTCAAAGGTGTGTTGGGGAATGTGTGTTCTAGCAGGATTTGTAAAATCGACGGGGAACTCGATGGGCTAGGCGCGACCAAGAGGATGGCACGAGGGGGTCGCTGCAATCCATCCCATGCAAAGGAAGGAAGACAGATGTATGAGGTAAACAAGGTACGCAATGCTTTCTGAACACTGCGTGAGCTCACTTGATGCAACCAATGTATGATCTTGACATATGTCGGAGAATCTGCCAGCTACCAAGGTAGGTTGATGGTTTTAATCATCTCGATATCATGAACAAGAACGCAGGCTGACCTGTGAAATAACGGCCCTGCTGAGCTCGCGTTCAATGCCGACGATGCCGACCTCACGACCAACCCCTCGACTCTCAGTTAACGCGACTGTCCAGTTTCCTAAATGGCTCTCACCATCAACGGAGAGGTTGGATTGAAATAAATGCTGAGGGGCTGATCGTCGTGACATCAGTCTTCAGATGAATCTAGGCTGTCTCGATAAGATTTTAGGTTAACAACGATGATGGGAATCAGATTGTGTCAAGATGGCAAATTAATGTGATGGGGGGATGGATGGTCAAGAGCTCTTTTAAAATCTGAGGAAAGTTTTCATATCGGGGATGGTAAACAAGAGTCAAGTCTTCAAAGACTCGAAAGCATTTACGCCTCACCGGACTCTGTCTGACTCAGAAAACAGAACCTTACATAAGCGAGAAGGCTGAGAAGGGACGTAAAATACACAACGGAGCACCCTTGTTTCTGTACAATTTGGTCAAGCTTCTGTTGCGAAAACTTTCTTGATCAGATTGAAAGCACAAGCTTGAATGATCATCAAGAAAAGACTCATCCGTTCCGACTTATCCCATCTCTGAATTTTGCGGGATTCAATTTTCTTATCATGTCGAGATCTGCTATGATGCTGTTTCAATCCTCAGCTGTGACCTGAAAACAGCCTAGGAAAGCTCAACCTCAGACGGGAAGCTCACTTCGAATGTGAAGTCCAATCGAAAAACAATGAAGTTGGCAAGAGTTGGCATCTGGATGCATGGAAAGATGTCGGAGACGGGCGACTTTCTGTACAATAACAGGTCAGGCGGGGAGGCGGGGCCGGCCGAATCGCGCCGTCGAGAGCAAAATACTAACCCGCTCTACGCTTGGGTGAATACATGTGGCAGATTAACGACTGACGCAACATACCAGTCTCGAATTTGCTTCACTATCAACTCACTCAGCACAACAACCTCAATGTCGTTTCTCTCATCTATTCAGGGTACGGTCCTACAAGGCTATGCTGCCTTACAGGGTGCTCAAGGCCAGCCGCAATCTGCCAACGAAACTCTCTCCAAACTGGTCGATCGGCTCCAAAACTCCGTGCAACACGACGATAGACGCAGTAGTTTACTCGGTATTAAAGGAATGGCTCGTGATTGGAAGTCTGTAAGTGGTTGCAGCACGTCGGTTTGGACGAGTGATGTCGGGTTTTCAACCTCATCGTCCTTACTGCTAGGAAGTCGGTCGTCTGGCACTACCTGCAATTTTAGATGTCCTATGTCGCGAGGATCTAGCGGATGATGTAGATATGACAAAATCAGTCCTCGAAACACTTCATGTACTTTGTGAAGTAGAGGAGAATGAGACAGGTAAATTATCTAAGGCGGGTTCGGGTTTAGCAAATGTAGACGGATTTTTGAAGGTACGTTGTTCAACCTGGCTAGCCGGGCGCACTTGCACTCATCATATTCCTTGCTCTTGAGATCCCGACCACTGAAATGTGGACATACAATCTGCAATTTGCTTCGAGTCACAGGCACCCCAATCAGCACACGCCCTCTTGAAGCTTCTGGCGCTTCCTCACTTTTACGTACGGTTCTTCTCTCTGCAGCTACTTGGGACGCTTCTCACCGCTCCTGCACCTCGGCCACATACTTTGCAATCATACCTTCTCACTGCACCCGGCGGTTTGGGTACAATACTTTCTATCTTGGATGACACACGTGAAATCATCCGCAACGAGGCTCTCCTACTCCTTATCAGTATCACTGAGAAGAATGCCGACATTCAAAAAATCGTTGCCTTCGAAGGTGGATTCGATCGATTGTTCAATATTATCTCACTTGAAGGCGGAATCGGTGGCGGTGGAATTGTCGTACAGGATTGTTTAATATGCATTGGCCAGCTTCTACGTTACAACGTCTCAAACCAAGTAAGCTCGAACATTTTTTTCTCTGATCATGATCCTGATCGCATGGTTCGCTTTATGTCGACAGAACTACTTCCGGGAGACTTCTTGTATACCTCATCTAGCACCAATGTTACTCTTTCCACCTATGACCGATCCATCAGACGAGGCTTTGGACGCATTTGCAACCCAGCCATGGACTGCGCAAAAAGTCACAAATGCTGCCTTGGTCATTTCCTTAGCTCGTACTCTCGTTGCTGGAGGGGGGACTGGCAAGTCTGCGAATCAAAAAGCTCTTTTGAACGGTGGCTTTACACGCTGTCTGGCCGAGATTGGATTGGCAAGCACTTCTCCACCATCATTGAAAGCAGAGGCGTTGAATGTTCTTGCCAATGTTATCAAGGGCAGTCAAGTGAACCAAGAGTTCATGGGTCGACTCGTCATCAGTCCGATCGCTGTATCATTACCTCCTGCTGTAAACCAGTCTCCGCGGCCAACTGAGTCCGATGGACTGAATCCATCATCTAACGAGCAGAATTCAAATCAGGGTGCCGCTGAGCTCTATCGTGAAGCGCCTCAAGCCGCGGTATTATCTCTGATGTCCTTATCAATCGATGGACTTCCCGGTCTACGGAATCTCAATGTCACTGGTGATCGTGACATTCTGCGTGTACGAGCCGCGGCCGTGAATGTTCTCGATGCGTATCTTTCTGGAAACTCTGATGCTCAGACAGGCATAGCATCTACTATGAGGATCCTACCTCCCAGTAATGAACCTGGCACGAACAATGACCGGCCACCTCATTCTCCTGGATCGCTTCTATTAGAAGCCCTTCGCACATTGCCAGTCTCTCCGATCATAGACTCTTATACCACATTCTTTGCCTGTCTCATCTTCACATATCTATTGCGTGGTTCTGAACACGCCAAGGAGATTGCCCGCCAAATCAAGATAGGAGGTGATGACATCACGGAAGAAAAGCTATCTGCAGAAAGTGATGAAGATGGAGATCAAACTAGTCTAGTGCAGATTCTCATGGGCAACCTGATGATGGCGCAAAGAGCACAAGGTCACGATAACAACGCGGGCGAAGGTCTGCAACGGTCGTCAGATTGGACACGTATCATGATTGGCTATCTGATCGTTCTGGCTTCATGGTTATGGGACAGTCCTCTGACCACGACTGAGATGCTCAGCGAAGGCACAAACTTACAGGTGGTCAGTCCCAAACATCCATACGGTCCTCTCGGCCCGCTCCTCGTCAATGTCTGGTTCTGTTCTGACTGTGGCTAGGACTGTCTTAGTTGATCGAACCTGTCGGGCAGGCATCAGGCGTAGATCCTTTGGTACAAGGGCTATGTGCGTTTGTCTTGGGCATTGTATATGAAAACGATCGAGATTCCAACTCGCCCATTCCCCGGTTGGTTATCGGCTTGTGATGACTCGGCGCATTATTGACATGCTAAAGCTTACACCGTTTATGACCAGGGCTACATTGCAACCCATTCTTCAGTCACGTATCGGACCAGATCAGTTTGTGAATCGAATTCTTCGCTTACGTGAAGACCCGCGGTTCACCGACATCGGACCTGATGTCTTGGAACTGTCCGAGCAAACAGCGCCTCCATCGGATAACGATGACTATTCTCTCACAGCTGGACTCTGGTTTGATTGGCCGTTTGTAGAGTTCTTCAAAGCTAACTATGGTGAGGCCGGTCAAATTGAGATTTGTCGGCTTGTTTGGATACAGTGACTGACTTTGCATCTGTTCTCAGTTTCTGTCCAGCATTCAATTCTATCGGATCCAGTCTCGTTGACCACTAGTCGTAAGTACCACATTCTTCCCGTTTCTTCCGAACCAAACTTATATTCTTTGGCTTTTTGATAGGGCCTACTACTGAAGATAATTCGCGACAAAACGAGTTGATCGCTAGTTTGAAAGGCCAAATCGCCGATCAGGCTAAAGACCTACAAGCGCTGGAGCAAAAGATAGAGCAGCTAACGTTGGAGCGGGAAGATGATGTAATTATTCTCGCTGCCCGAGTTTAATCTGTTTATGTACTGAGACATTTTAATGACGCTTTTTCATCGCTGTGACATGTGAACAGCGACAGGCATTCAGCACGGAGATCAGATCGTTGACTGAACAAGTCGTGAAATTGAAGGAAGAGGCCGAAAAGATGACGTCTGCACAGAAAGAGAGCGAAAAGGAGCAAGAAGATTTGTTGGTGCTGTTAGAGGAAGTTACCAATAAACGAAAGTTAGACAAAGCTCTGATGAAACAGAAGGGGTTAGATGTGAGTGAAGATGAAGATGAAAGTGAATGACGGAGCAGTTTGAGCGATCTAGATGTGATTTAGAGAGGATATATATATATATCGATTTCGATTGGTGAGCATGCCTTTGATTTGGCTCCAAATCACTTGCTCGTCATGTTTGCTCTTTTGATATGTTGTAAAACCTGCAGGATCTCATGCAATTTGTCTAGCATTCTACTGTAGTTCAGCTCATGTGGTGGGCGCGAGCTTGGGGAAAAGTACGCGCCCGGGCGCGCCTGGAGGGGTCAGGCGCGCCCTCATTTTGGCTGGGGGTGCGAGACGGCGCAGGAGGCGCAAAAAAAGGACAAAAATGGGCCAAGTTTTTGATGATGCTTTGTCAGCCACATCTTCTACATCCCATAAAAAATAATAATCTCATATCAACACCCTATAAACAAATTCAACAGCAATAGTTCAACAAACATCAACCAAATCAAAAAAAATAATCAAGGAACATGTGTTGCTATCAATGTAGTCCAAAATTTTGTTGTTGGGGTAACTTTCAATCCAGACTGTAAATGCTTCCATGACTGGAAGATTATGGTGTGGGGTGGTACCCATAACACACATTGATTGATTTGAGATGATTTGAAGGTGGAAGAGGACTGATTTCAGCAGAAAACCTTGTAGATCACATGCTTGGGTTCATGGGCGCGCCCACTTGAATTCAAACCAAAAAAGACGCGCCCGGGCGCGTACCGGGGCATCAAAATTGCGCCGCGCCCACCACATGAAGTTCAGCGTATCCACCGGGTCCGCTAGTTTGCATGCTCCCTCTATGTGTTAAGTCGTTTAGGGGTTTAGGTTTCATCAATTATTTGAAAATTGTCTATATGACCGGCGTGGTATTTTGGAGTTTGATTGTTTAGACAATAAGTTGAGTAGCGACATGTAGTGATAGGAGACTCGAGAGGGCGCCCATCGTAAAGCACAATGGGATTCCCCTTCTTCTAGACACGCATGACACACTTTGCAAATGAGTTAGAAGTCACAACAACTACACAATGAATGCTCTGGATCCACAGACATGACTTATAGACAAACAAGGCGCCTGTAGAAGTTGGCATTAATAAAAGACAGAATGCTTGATTACAGAAACAGCTGAAAACACATATATGTTGTGTAGGTACAGTCATTTCAGAAAAGCTTGTCACAAATTCCGTGTTGATTTGCTCGAGTTTGGCGGGCAAAATTGGTTAAGCTTTTGTAAATTGACTGTACTTGGTTTTCTAGACATAGGTTAATTCAAAAAGTACAATGACCAACTTGTGAGAAACAATTAATGATGATCAAAGGGAACAAGATGACGGAAAATATGAAGGGAGGTGGAATAAGAGGAAAGTAAAATGAGAGAAACAGAGACCTTGGCGCTGAGCACGTAGCAATTTGGACTTTAGGATGATAGCTGGTGATCACCTATAATCCACTGAGCCGATTAATTTCAAAAATGCAATACTCATCAAAATTTCCAAATAAAAATCAAATAATTATATGATAGCTTGAGTGTTACAGGCATTGTGAGACTTTCAGTATTCATCGCTGTTCCAAAGCGGCTGAGCACTTGTGCCCGACAGAGATTCTGGCTGTGACAAAAATGCCACAAAGCAAGACATCTATCAAAGGTACAAATGTGATAATCAGTCACAAGGATTAGCTAAGACAAGAGTAGACCCCAGCGGCCAAAGGGAGTGTCGGCTTGCAACCCCAAGAATAGTTCCCAGTCCGCAGTTCTATATTATATTTCCCAATTACATAACTATGATGTTGAGCTCACAGAGATTATGTCGACGAGGAATATCCATGAAATTGAAAACTGAAGCTCCAAGATATGGGACGTAAATCAGCTTCTGTAGAGATGGATCTCTCATCACAAGCCCAGGCGTACTCACCAACAAATGGATTAAGGATTGTATATAATAACACAGTTGACGCCATCAGGATTGCTTGCCATAGGACATTGATAGAATAGCGGCTCAAGTGATCATATCTCCGACTGAGCATAACTTCATCACATTTCTCCCAATCTTTGTGGCCATCCTGAAATAAGCAAGAACTCCATAACACGCTTGTGACTTCTACTCCGCTTTGCAGAGGAGGTAACCACAGAATTAGACTCTTAGCGCTCTTAGGATCTGGCACTGTGATGGTTGATGAAGGGTGCGTCTTCAAAAACTCGATTTTGTGAGTCGTGGCAGTGCTGCCCATAGTACAAGCTGCCCTACAACAATGAGTGCATTCCCGCAAGGTAGTGACTTGGGACCAGAGTGCGGACATAATTTGCCAAGTAGATAGACAAGAGCAAACTAAGAATGTCATGTTGAGACCGAAAAGGATGCCAGAAACAATTTGCACATTTTTCAAGATGCCGTCTCTTAAACTCGCCAGTATTTTTAACTGATACATCATAGAGTCTTCTAGGCTTTGGGTGAGTTGTGCTATACCAGATCCATCTGGTAGCAATCACCATGTAAATATCCTTGTAGCACGTCGACATGCACACACAAAAGACTTTCCTTAGACCCTGTAACAACCCATCAAAGAGGTGCCACAACAAGCACATCTTCCCCTTATCACCTGGGAGGTTGAAAGTCAGTTGACCCCTGCTGACAACAAAGGATTCTGCAAATCCTTTGAACAAATCACAAAGCACAAAGGGTGCTCAACAACAATCTCCGTCTAAATTCGACCAAAAGACTTGGAGTTTTATTTCAAAACTCTCCGTGTGTGCATGTCGACGTGCCACACGGATATTTACATGGTGAATAAGGTGTGTATCAGGTGATGATGCATGTCAGTATATTTAGTCCAGTGAAGTTCAATTTCTCTCAATTTTTTAACAGCTAAGTATGCAAAGGGTGTGATGGACGCAAAAGAAATCGTGTAGACTGCGATGATTAATGAATTGAAAAGCTTTGGTCCCATGAGCTTTCTGAAGTTGGTGCCATCCTTGGTGGATGAATTGCCATGCTTCAGCCACAAAACTGAGGGAGTTGTAGCGTAGGCAAAGCACCAGACTAGATTTACAATAGATCCCAAATGATACTCATCATTAGTCTATTGATAGATAAGTCGTGGCTGCATTGTACTGACCTTTTGTCCAACCTGCAAAACAAACTCAGAGTCAAGAAAGTGTCAGGATTTTGGCTACAGCACTCAGAACAAGCACATCAAGTCAAAAATGGTGTCAATCGTACCAAAACAAAACAAGACCGGAAGTGATGAAAAGTGTAAGGCAAGCGTGTACCAGTTGACATATGTCAAAAGGTTTATCTGTAAGCATATCAGCGCCATTGTATTGACTTGAAGTGGAATGAAATTGCAATGCCAGCATAGATCTATGAGGAAACGTTGTAGAACTCCTACACAGTGTAGCGTAGGCTGCACCGGAGAAGGTAAGAATCACCACTCAAGAGAGCGGATGAAACTACGGGTGCTGTTACGCTGCCTTCAACCTTAATTTTATTGCAGTTTGAAAAGAACTAGAGCAACTCTAAACAAATTCTATCCCTATGAATTTCTCCCGCAACACTTTTTTAAGATTTCCAAAGGATCCACAAGGTTTTCCGGACTCCGATGATACCACACACAACTCTACACAACGTTGTGGTGAAAAACTACGTTGATTTCGATGTTAACACGGCTTTGAACGCATGTGTAACAATGCACAGGGCCAAAATGTAATTTTGGATCCCTGACTTGATTCGGCCTCGACTTGGATCAAGAGGTGGGTTTGGCGAAGTTGATGCAGACCTGAATTTGACAACTCCTTGACTTCCTTCTGACCAAGCTCTGCAATAATACAACCCAACAAACAACACAATAACTTTGATTTTAATGCTAATACAACACACTTCACTAATTCACTGCCATCAAACTTCTACAAAGATAAGTTCTTTCAATCTCTTGTTTCTTAACACGAGTATCCAATAACTAAAACTCTTTCTTTTTTAAACTCTTTGAATCTTTTAAACTATGACACTTGCTCACAACAATCAAGTCGATAACACTTTTAAATCAAAAACTCAAACACAGTAACGCAAAACACTTTAATACGCTCACTACACAAGCACTAGCACAAACACATTCAGAACACTAACTCAGGCACACACACATGTACACTCTTCTAGATGCGAACACACAGATGGATCAATCAATCGAAAGATTCTCCAAAAGACCCTCCTTTATATATCTTTTCCTTAATCCAACCACAACTCAGCCTCAGGCCTCTTTCCCCATCTTTTACACTGTTTTCCTTTTGCTCCGACCGGCTCCGACCAATCTCTTGGCAATCCTTGGCTTTTCTCACGCTTTAAACAATCGATTTCCTTCAATTCAACATCAAAATTTGACCTGTGATCAACTTTGAACTAGTAAGTCCTTCCTTTTCTTCCATTCACATACTAACTTTCCTTCCTGTCTCTTTCTTCTTATTGATTTCGATCCTGGACCCTGAAATTGATATTCATCTTCTCTCTACTCTGCCATTCTCCAAGTCGCACCCTTGATCTAATAAGCTAATCAAATACAATTTTTGATCTCAGCTTTCTTAGTAGGTTTGCCTTAGGTTTTCCACTTGATTCATGAGTGATTTTGAAATTTCGATTTTGGGCTTTCAATTGGAATCTTGAATAAGTAAGTTCTGTTCACTTTCACTTTGGTTGTTCTAAGTATGCACCCTAGATCTAATTCTATTGACTTCTATTTTGTTCAGCATTTTGATCTCAGCCTTTAATCATGGTATGTCATTCTTGTTTCTTTCTAATCATTAATCTTGATTTTGGACCCTAATCTTGATCCTGAATAATACTGACAACTTCATGTTGATTGACATCTAGATATCCTTTGCTTTATTGAATAGTAAGGACTATTTTCGAGTATTCTTCTTCTCTTTGCCTATCTTGATTTGTTTGTATGTACTTTATCTGATGTAATAATGAGATGTTATAAAGTAATCAAGGCACCTAATTCAAAGCCAGAAAACTATGATCAGAAATGGGATGAGACCAATTAATTTGAAAATGAAAGTTGAGCCTTGAGATTATGAATGTAAAGATCATTAATTGTGAAAACTGTAGTTATGATAATGTGATATAATACACTGTTGAAGGATTTGCTTTCCACAACGTGTAACAGAAAGTCATGCTGATCATAACATGAGGACTACGAGGCCTGACGAATAGTATACAGTGTTGCCCAAAAAGTGATCATGAGAATTGGATTTGGAGCAATATACCCGCCTGAGTCGATGCGGCATAGCCACCACCCACCGTTTGTCATTCTGTGTTTCAGACCGCTGACTACGAAGATTATCCCGGTGAGAGGGGAAACTACGGTCATCACAGCTAGCAGTGTATGTATAGTAGCACTAGATTGAGGATAAAGCTTGTGCGAGCACTGCCAGCATAGATGCCTTGGGTTGAGAAATCCAAGGCATCATCGGAGGCAAATCCTCGACAAACCTTGTCCGAGGTTTTTGCCCGAGGTATTTTTTTGCCCTGAGAATTACCTCGGATCAAAACCTCGGGAAGCTTCTGTCCGAGGTTTTGCATCCGAGGATCCCTCGGATTACAAAATCCGAGGTAAATATGTTGGTGGTGGAGGCTATGTTGTAGAGTTGATCCCACACAGCGGTGGACATGGACAAGTGGGAACTCATATTGTTCAATTCTAGAAGCTGAGTTGAAGATAACAAACGGCAGTGATAGCCAGATTAGAGTTTTCTCTATATCAAGTCTGGCTCGCAGCGCTACCCAGCGCTGCTAACCGTTATTTGACCAGCGTAGCTCAAATCGAGCTCGGCCAATCTCAGAGGCAATAGCAGAGGCGGAATTTTTTTTGGGGACAAAACGGCGGCGAGAAGCGCAGTTTCTTGACGCAGCGCTTCCCAGCGCTGCAGGCTAAAAAGTAACGCAATTTTTTTTTTCACAAACTAAGAGCATCTCCAACGGTGCTTGCAAAATGCGGGCTCCCAAACAGACCCCCCAAAGCAAATTCGCAGATGTAGGGGGTCAAAAAAGCGTGTCTGCACAGCGGAGCACCTACATTTACGTAGATCCCCCGATTGAAGTCTTTTTGTATGTTTGTACTCAAACACATGCGTACTTGGCTTCACACATATACTTCATCATATATATATTTCAAATTGTCAATTCCTTTCAGAGTCATACTCATCATGGATCCAGACCAACTTGCAGCATTTATCAACGACCTTTTTGAAGATGACATTGAAGAAGACGCAGCTGCTGCACAAGCAGCAGCCTGGTACTACGAAGAACATCCGGAAGAGTTCAAGCCAAAGAATACTCGTCAACAAATTGTTCGACATCTTTATCTTGCTCATCATATCATCTTCAATCAGTATTTTGCAACAAATCACTCTTATACTGATGACCAGTTTCAAAGACGTTATCGTGTCGATCGAGTAATAGTTGAACAACTTCTCAACGATCTCCAACTTCACAACCGTTACTGGATTCAGAAATACGATGCTGCCAAGCAACTTGGACTTTCTCCTCATCAAAAGATCACCGCAGCAATGCGTCAGATGGCTACTGGAGGGTCTGCCGATGGACAAGATGAATATATTCAGCTTGGTGAATCAACAGCTCTTGAATGCCTCAAAACGTTTTGTGAAGATGTTGTTTATTTGCATAAGGATGAATACCTCCGTAAACCAACAGTTGAGGATACTCAAAGGTTGCTAGAAGAGGCTCGAGAACAAGGTCTACCCGGAGTGCTAGGGTCGATTGATTGCACTCACTGGGAGTGGAAGAACTGCCCCACTGCCTGGCACGGTCTGTATTGAGGGAAAGAAAAGGTCCCTACTCTTGTTTTGGAGGTTGTATCCTCATACAATACTTGGATTTGGCACGCCTTTTTTGGTCTACCTGGGACTCTCAATGACATCAGCATACTCGATCGATCACCACTCTTCCGCGATCTTACCGAGGGGAATGCTCCAGAGGTGGAATTTAGTGTCAACGGCAATTTATACAAGCAGGGTTACTATCTCTCTGATGGTATCTATCCCGATTGGGAAACTTTGATCAAGAGTGTCCCCAATGGTAATCAAAGAGAACAGGTAAGTATTTCCTTGATGACTCTCAGTGTTCCTATTTCCATGTCTGACTTCCTGGTCTTATCTATGTATGTACATAGGTTTTCTCCAAACTTCAGGAGTCCTTACGGAAAGAAGTCGAGCGAACTTTTGGAATTCTATTTGCACGTTTTGGAATTCTACATGGTCCGGCACGGCTTTGGAAGAAGGCCGACTTGGAAAGCATAGTTTACTGTGCAGTCATTCTACACAACATGCAAGTTGAACAAAATCGACTTGCTGGCCACCGCGACAAAAGGATCCCCTCTTACCTTGATGATGCAAGACCACCCCCACAACCTACACCCAACTCATACACTGAATACCAGCTATACCTCACTCGACTTTGCAACATGCGTGATAAGCATCGACACCATGCACTATTGCGTGATTTGATTGAACATGTTTGGAATGAACATGGGCACCAAGAGTAATAGCTCACTACTTTAGCGTATTGGAAGTGTTCTGTTTGTTCTTTCATTTATTTTTACCTCACTTTAGTGTGTGTCCTTTCATTTCTTTTTACCTCAGTTTTGTGTTGGTTCTTTCTTTTATTTTTAAAAACTTTTTGGAGAGACAAAAACAACGCGCACATATGTTGAAATAAAGAAGTATGACTTGAAAATAACCACTGAAACAAGTGTTTGGCCAAAAGTTGAAACCACGCTCACCAATGTTGAAAGTAAACACTTTTGATCACCAAGAAAAAAATTTGGAGAGACAAAAACAATGCGCACATATAAAGTAGTTCAATGATAATTGCAAAGTAAGCTGAGAGATGAGTTCTACCATGTCAGATCCTCCTCAACTATCTCATTCAGCATCACCATCTGCTTCATCAGTTGGAAATGATTTCGAGATCTAAAGTATGATTAAACATATATGTGAGTATGAAGATGATTGAGTTGAACAAATTGCTTACCTGGGATGAAGATTGGCGAAGTCGATTGGCAATCTGCTGTTGTCTGTCTTGCCAGTATTGCATTTGTACTTCATCGAGATCTTGCGGAGCGGGATTCAGCATGATTCTATCGTCTAACGCTTGACGAGCATCTGCGGCAGCCATGGCTGCAATCTTTGCCTTTTCTGCAGATGCCTCGGCAAGCTTCATGTTTGCAGAGGCAATGTCAGCACCCGTATTGTTTGCGCGCTTCTTGGTATTAGCTTTGGATTCTTTGGATCTCTTGCGGCCAATTGGTCTTTCTGCCTCGTTGGATTCTGAAGGAGCATCTCCATCTTGAGTGGTGGAAAAGGGATCTGCATTGATCGCATCGGATGTTGGGTTGGAAGAGGTCATTGCGGCTTTGGTGGTAGTCTTGTTGGTCTTTTTGACACCGGGTCCTTTCTTGCTCTTGTTGTTAGGGTGATCCGAAGTAGTGCACCACTTGGGATGCTGGCGAAGGATAGCCCAGCAATGCTCAAGGGTGAAGCGCTTGTCCTTGTTGGTGGCAGAGTAAATCTGGTGCGCAATTTCGAGCTAGTCAACGAAAATGTCCAAAATTAAGAAAATTGAACAAACAAAAACAAAGCCAAAAATTAGACTCACCACATCAAGATGTCCACGCCCAGTATAGTGAGCCGATGTGGCTTGATCATACGCCCCACAGAACTTATTAACATCATGTTGAATTATTCCCCAACGACGTTCGCAAGCTGATGTGTTACGTTTTGCTTCTTGACCCGTAGCATCTAATACTTGTTCCTCGAAGTTTTCAAAAATACGGCCCCAGTACGTGGTTCGCTTTTGTGAATCTCCTTGGTCAGGATCAATTGAAGTGTGCGCCCAAGCCTTGCAAAGAAAGACATCCTCATTTGGACTCCAATTCTTCTTGTTTATAGCTGCTTTTGCAGGCGGTGCTTTGGTGTTTGGATCTTTTGCAGTAGGATTGCGAGCTGAAGGCTCTGATTTGTACTGGCCAAGATCAATTGAATCGAAAGGAAATATGACGGAGTTGTTGTAGGAATCCATTGGAGCGTATGTTCAATGCAATGAAGAAATAAAACAATAAAAGAATTGAAATTGAAAACATGAGATTTCTTGAGATAGATTACTATGAGTAAGTCCAAAACAAACTACAATTTTGGGTTGATTTCGAACAAATACGAATTAATCAAGGCAAATTGTCTGAGGCAAGTGAAGGTTGGCTGATTCTATGGTTTTTTATACCCATCAATCGTATGATAGGGTGTGTTTTGTTGGAAAGTTCAAGAGAAATGACACTAGCATTATTATTTTCAATGATGAGAAAAGAAAAAAGGTAGCCTGGTCTTCTTCAAAGGTCACCTCTTGGCTCCTTGGCTCTTGACGTCAACGGAGGTAGGATTGATTGAATGTTCCATGATGTCTTGTTGACTTCAATTCAGCTAGAGACTCAAGTGTAGGCTTGAATAAAACGGGTATCGCTATAGCGCTATGCCAATACTGGGGGTGCACGTGATGTCGAGAGTCTTGATTGAGCCCCCAGATCTGGAGACTCTCGACAAAAATGTTGAGAGTCTTGACGTCCCACCTCGCATTTTGCAAGGTCCGCTGCGGCGTTTTTTGGCGTTTTTATCGCCTGTATTGTCGAGAGCCCGCATTTTGCGAGCACCGTTGGAGATGCTCTAAGAAATAAAATCTAAATAAAGGTATTGGGAGGTAATGTGTAAAGAAATTGTATAGAAAGTGTTTTAAGTTCTGTAATTCAATCTATCCAGAACTGATCCAAAAACACTATCAACCAATCATTCCCTCAATCTGATCTTACGCAAAAAGGTCAATCTTGCTTGATTGTAGAAATCAATTGTTCAAGTTATTCCAATCTTCCATTAATTTGATCTCAACGATTCGCGTTTTGGATCCTACTACGTAAGTTTTCTCCAACAACTGAAAAAAATACCAGAACAATCAGATCCTTTTGATTAATCAATTCTAATACATAAATATAAGGAATAACATACTTAAACCGAGTGCTACAGTGAATAAAGAAGCTTCAGATAAAAAATTGGCACCATTTTGAATAGCTTTAGTGTCACTAAAGATCAATCAAGATATTCGGTTCAAGATCAAATGATCATCGATTCAAAAATGTATGAACGAAATTCATCAAGATCAAATGCAAAGTTTAGGTTGACTATGAGTTATTCCCAACCCACCAAAACATTTTAAGTAGGACTATTCCAAGAAGCTTACTGAGCATGAAAGGATTCTAAACGTACCTTAGGGGTCTGATGGTCGGTTGGATTTTGGAAAAGATTGAGGCTAATCTGGTTTCATAACGTTGTAAAGATTGAGCTACACCAACACAAATCTTTTGAAACCTTTGGAAACAAATTTTAATTAGCTTTTCAGAAGAAATAAAATGGAAATAGATAAGTGACTTACTGAGGATGATCCTATAACCCGATTTCCAAAAGATAATGTCTTAAGGCTTCAATCTCAAAGACAACGACAAAGTAGTTCAAGTCTGAGCACTCACTTGAGCTCCTGATTTCAATCTACTAGCAATCAGTTTACTCAAGGTTTTGATTGAAAGTGAAAGGACTTAATCCAAAAGAAGAATACCAAACTCCAGTTAACACCCAGACCAAATTCATATTTCTGTATTAATCGCATGGAAGCTGTGCAGAAAGTCGATCAAAGAGAGGCACACTGATATACCACCGGCACCATATCCGTACGCCAAATACAATCGCCACATTCATTCGAGCTGGGAGATCAGATGATTTGACTTGATATTTAATATGATCAGATCATTTGAATTGGTAAACATTTGGCACCACAGAATTGTATAGGTGGAGGTGGATGGGTGGATGGTGAATTGAAGTTCCAAGTAGCGTGACCTATAGTGGTGGCTGATCGAGTGGCAGAAAGCGTGGCTGTTAATTTCCTGGGGCCAAAATGGCAGCGCGCGGCGTAGCTACCCGGACCCTGCGGGTCCTGGGTAAGGAGGCGATAGCGCCGGGCGCAGCGCTCCGCACTGCTGTCTGCGCTGCGAGCCAGACTTGTGTATATGTCTTTGTGAATTGAGTCAATTTGGCTATACACTGAGTCCAATTTTTCTATTCATGGTGAACTCCTTGAAAACCAGACTCAGTCAGAGTGAAGGAGGGTCCCCAATCCTCCTTCAGGACATAAGCTCCATTCATAAAAGATCTATCTGACACATCAATTTCTGGCAGGAGAGCAGAGGATCCATTCACGCACCCAAGGACTACAAGCACAGACCAATATCATAAACTAGCACAACTTTACTTGGAGTTTAATATCAGGGTGTGGGGCCCATTTTGCAATTAAACTCGATGTTGCCCGGGTCTCCAAGTCCAATGCTTCAACAATCCGTGCTACTCCCAGATAGGGAATCCTGAGCTTGACGACTTTTACAACAAATTAATCACTCTTGTAGATGATTGGGAAAACTGATTTGGTCGTAACGGTTCAGGCCTAGAGTGGCAGCCCTATTTGCCCCCAGGGAATCAAGTCAGTTTGCATAACCCTGTTGGAATAGTCACAGATTATGTCACGAGAACCTGATCATATTCCAATGTACAATCATCTATAGTGTGCTTTCCCACCATCAAATGCTTCCTTCAATCATCTCACATGTCATTCTGTTTACTCGATGAATCTTGTATAGTGCTTACATAAGTATTACACAATTGTTACATAAGACACCTTTTGTATATAAACTACCTGGAGCCACATCAGGAAAGGGTTCTTTTCCTCACCCTTTCCATCTCCTATTCATGCGCTCCAGTTGATCGCAACAGGTTATGAGACCCATCTCTACCAACTGCTAGATTTTTTTGACTTACGTTTAATAAACCATCTACAAGGTCTAAATCTTATCTCGTACATCTTGCGCCACTCTATAAGGGTCCCCGGTTACTATATTAGTGTACCGGTGTTATAGTTTCTACTTAGTTGCTCTGTCATACATACCAACACTCTCCAATCTCTTCTAGCTTTGTGTTTGTGCATCAGCAACACTGGATTTTCCCATCTTATACACTTCAACAGTATATCCCCCCACTTCGTTCTTGCTTTATTCTCCTTCTTCATTGTTCTTCTTCACTATGTCATCTATGACTACTTCCAATGATCGTTTGAACAAACTCTTGGGCATTACAGCGTTGAAACCCCCTGGTGATAACTCTAATTATCTCGACTGGGAGTTTGCTATCAAACTCTATCTTGTCAATGCGAAACTTACCTATGTCCTCAAGGAAGTGGATCCCAAATCGAGGTCCTCGACCTGGGAAGATGATAATGCGCGTGTCTGTACGCTTATCAGTCGTGCTGTCGACGACGTTAATTATCAATATCTCAAACCCCACCGACATAACGCTGCTGCCATGTGGAAGGCTTTACGCCTTGCACATGAGGACTCTACCTCGGGTGGTCGTATGATAGTTTTAAACTCTCTAATTACCTTGAAGATGGGAGAAATCGATCTAGATACCCATCTTCAATCAATGAATCGTCTCTTTGAAAAACTCTCATCGCTCATCACAACTGATCATCCGCTCACTGCCGATGACATCTACACTACCTCTCTGATCAACTCACTACCCGACGACTGGGCTCACGTGGTAACACCACTCGTACAACAAAAGACGACTGATTCTGTCTCCGTAATTCGAGCGTTGAAGAATGAACAGAATCACAGAAACTCTTCCGGTCATGTGAAACTCCTCGTCTTCTTCAGCAGTTCCAAGACTCTTACCATTGACACAACTAGAGTTCGCAGTGGTTGGTTCATAATGTCAGCCCTGGGTACATATGTATGTACCCAAAGACTAACTTGTAACATAGATAACCACCTTTAGACAACTAATTACATGTACATACAGCTTATAAAACACATGTAACATGTAATAAAATACATATAAACATTAATTACATATACAAGTACATGTAAAATCATATGTAATATGTAATAAAACATTATTTACACCTCATAACTCAGTGTCAAGAGTTAAAATGCTTATACTACATAATATACATATCAGGTATATGTAATTATGTAGCATTAATGATAACCATAACTAATAGTACTAATTAAACCCTAAACCACAGTAGTGATATAAGCAAATATCACCACAGTTAGGTTTGGAGAGAAGAGTATATAAACCTCTTCTCTCTCAGCCTTCAGAGATTCCCCCCAAGCTTTTATTACACACTACTTTTAAGAACAATTAAAGTTCTACTGAAGTAAACATCAAGAGTCTTATAAATATAAGACTAGTGATTATCTTCATTACTTTAATCAGTTCCTTGATTAAAAGTAAGTAATTCCTTCACCCCCCTGGATCCTCTACTTTCCCCAAGTAGAAACTATTTTAGGTTGGTGACCTTCCAACAACCCAAGGCTAGTGACCTACGTACAAGCACTTTCAGGCTGGTGACCTTAAGAACAACCCCAAGTTGGTGACTTTAAGAACAACCAGAGTAGTGACCTTCATCTCACTCTTTAATCTGTTACATAAAGATTAAAGGAAGGCCTTGGATCCAACCTTCTATAATTATAACTTTTAAGTAATATAATTATAAACCTCCTTTTAAGGAGTCAACTAACTGTAGTCTGTCTGGATTTATCCAAACAGACCAGTCCCCTTTTTCCTTCCTCCTCTTTCTATATTTCTAGTTGTACTTACATTATATTTGAAATATAATTAATCAATTACAAACTACAAATCTCTACATTGCCCAAATTAGTGAGCCTTGAGTACTCATCTGAGCACCCAACCCTCACATTTGGGGGCCTCATCGTGTTGAAACCCAAAATCAACCTCAACTTTTACCAAAAGTGTGAGATTCCATACCTCTAGACAAAAGCATAAGAACCAATCAGCAGACTGTAGAACTAAGTGTGATTGATCACCAATCATTTCACTTAACTCATAACAGTCACCTCACACTCCTAAATAACAAAATTCTCAAGTACTACATATTAGAAAAACAATCACCAATAAATTGAGCATTGTGATTGATCATCAACCACTTTTTACCCAATCTACAGCAACACCCTCTCATCCAATTTCAAAAAATTGTTCAATTTTTTAAGGAACCTCTCATATTTTCACAATATCATATTTCAATTTTTTTTTGTTGTTGTTGTTGCTGTTATTATTTTTGTTTTGTTTTGTTTGTTTTTCTGAAAGTGACACACTTAAAAACATCCCTTTCGAGTATTCCCAAAGTTGAGAATAGAAAGGACCGGAGTAAAAGGCACATTACAACACCGACAAGTCGAGTAATTACATATACAAGACTTGGAATTTGGAACATCCAGACAAAGGATATTAGAAAACACAAAACATCCTTTGAAACTTATCGATATCAAGAAACGACAAGAACTATCAATTTCAGGATATCGAAGTGGACGATCAATCAAAGAATTAGAAGCGGACAAAGAATTAGCGGGGCATTCCGATCAAAATCGGAAAATCAATTTTTGTTCCGATCGGACAAGCCGTACCAAACAAACCAAAAGGACCGAAGTAAGTACTTTCGAAAAGAAAGCCACAATTCTTTTTTTTCTCTTGATCTCTATATTTTTTTTCTTTATTCCGAAGAATCTCGACCAATAACACCAAATTCCACCTTTCGATTAAGAAAAATTACCTTCTATCCGACTTACAACCGCGAACACAGACTCGAAAGACCATTTCCTCACGACGAGAAGTCCAAAAAAGAATAACAAAAGTGAGTCAGCTCACAACAGATAAGTATTAATTACTTTTACAAAGTACTGACCTACTTCGTTCTAATAGTGATTCTCGAACAGATCCGTATCGGAAACGGACCTAATCGACAACCTCATTCGTATAAGAATCGATCTACTTTTGAGTTCGATATCCCCTCAAGCAAATCAATTGTGAACAGATCGAATTGCTATCTTTATTGTACTCACTCGAATCAACCAATCAACTTTCAAAAACTCTGTAACTTCATCAAAGTTATTTTAAAAATCAAAAGTAACCTTCATAATCTAAATTCCTTATCATCATCCTTACTTACACTCCAATCAATTCTCTCTATCCTTTTAATAACTTTATCTTACTCAAAGTGAAGTTAAAGAAGTAATACTAATATTACTTGATTTTTTTTCTTTTCTCTTTCGTATTCTACAATCTTTCGGATCGATCGTAGTGTCTTTCCCACAGCTGTTTAACTCTTTAGACCTCGCAAACCACGGCACCCCAGTGCCACAACCAGCTAACGCGAATAACACACACCAGTCTACTCCTGCTATACAAGACCCGAACTACGACGGATCCGTGATCGAGTTCGAAGACGCGTATGGTAATACGACCCAAGAACCGATTATAGTGGATTCTGCCGCTGCGACACCAACAGCCAACCCGTTGGTCATAGACCTAGCATCTCCCGGTTCTGACGATACGGCGAGAAACTACGAACAATCTCAAGCACCTCCTCCAGAGAACTTGATCGTCCAACACCAAAGTAAGCAAATTTTTCCTTTGTGTTTTGTTTATTCTTTCATTTTATCAATTTTTTTCCTTTATCAATAACCTTTATCTAATACTTTTTAGACAACGGTCACAATCATCCTGCTGAACCAAATCAAGATCAGCGTGTACAACCTCATCGTAAGTAAGAATTCGAATAAAAAACTAAATTTTTTTTGTATCCTTCTCGAACGTACTGTGTTTTAAGGAAACATAAGACTGATACACTT